TGGAGTGTCAGCCTGAAATAACTGGCATGGGGGTGTCAAGCCATTGCATATCCTAAAGTATGGGGATACATTTTAAGCATGGTTGGAAATACAGTAGTTGTAGCAGTATTTTTTACTGTTATAACATTAGGGTTTTTAGGGTTTTTTTTCCAGTTTTCCAAAACCTTTCTTCCAGACATTAAATTTAAAGTGTATTTAATGGAATGGAGGCAGATTTTGTATTCCCAGCTAACAATATTGGATAAACTATGGTTGTAGTAACTAACGGGATATGAAGTATCTGTGATGTGGCTTCTAATGCAGCAACAGACTGGTCATAATTGTGAGCCCATTGAGTAATTTAAACATTTCATAATTTTAATGAAGCAAGCTGACAATGTCAGGCACATCTTTAACTCAAAAGTGCGCAAGACACAAAAGCTGCTTTGAATTTGGCATACGAGAGCAGTCTCAAATGAAATTCGCAGACACAAAGACTGAGAGGGCATATCAGCAGAGCCCCAGAGTTGATGCTGAGATGTAGAATTTGGCAAAGATTTTGAATGGTACTAAAAACATGCCTTCAGGAGTTGTTTGATTGAAATCTGATGGCTTGTCAAAGTCAAATTCTTTTACCTAATGAGGAAACCACACAAATATAACAGTGGAATTTAATATATACAATTCACATATGTGCATGTACATATACAGAATCATTAAGAACCAGATGTTTTTTTAAAAAGGCCTTGTCTTTTTATGCCAGTAGTTTGATGAGAGCATGGTCCTGACTCGACATGAGATCATAAAAAATTGCCTGTGCCTCTTTTTACACAGTGAGCCTATCCTCCAGTTATGCCAGCTGGGATGGGTTAGGATCGAAGCCAAATCCTCATGTGTGTAACCCAAAGATATACCAACATAACGAAGTTGCACCAACATTGCAAGAGCATTGGGTCTAATGAAACTTGGACCAAAGGAAGCAAGCCAAGGCCAGCAGAAGGGGCAATAGTGGAGTTGGGGTATTGTGGAGGAGAAGCAATGGTCAGTGTAGCTGGACTCCTGTGCCCGCTTGCAGGTTGCTCCATCTCCACTGCTAGCACAAACCTATGGCTACAAAAGAGGTGAAAGAGCACAACAACAAAGGAAGTCACCTTTGAAAGCACCATGAGGGTAGTGACCAAACAAGGCCTGAGAAGCTATGATCTGTTTGGAAAGCTGTATTTCAAATACATCAGCAGAAGACCAGTGGATGCACTTCAGCTTATAAATAGCAAGAAGAAATCAGCACGTTATACACAAACGAATCTTGTGGGATCGAAAACCTAAGCAGCAATAAAAGTGGCTATTACATAACAGGATTACAGCATGCAAGATTAAGTACAACTTCATCATAGCTGTTTGCTGCACTGACCCTCCTAAACACCACCAACCCTCTAGTAGCAGCTTGCTTGGCGTTTGAGAGAAGCATCACCGCTGCTTTATTCTTATCCCCAACTCTTCCATTATTGTGTTTTTCATTTGCTGCTGGAGCAAGCCCAATGCTCGGCTGCAATTTTATGCAAGCTTGCTTGGGATTACAGTCAGTTGAAATCAGCGGGAATTCTGAATAATCGTGGGGAGTAAGAATGAGGCTGGAAAGAGCTTGTTGCACTTGCAAATATCCAGCTGAAGTTACGCGGTCCTCATACTATTTATTTCTGGCCAGTTCCATAGATTCCACACACACACACACACACACACGGGAACTGCAGATTAATTGCATTTTGAATCTTCATTATTGACTGCAGATTTTCCTATGCAAAAATGAACACATGCAAGCAATGTGAACATGAAAATGTGATCCTCTGTGTACTCGATGGAGAAAAGATTATGCGTATTTTTTCAGTATCACTGTGGTGCTGTGACATTTTAAAATGGCATTTCCTCCCATCTGTTGCACATTCACAGACGAAAGAGTGGGGGACAATTCCCCTGCAATATCACAGTAGAAAATAGTGCCTTTTCAGAATTAAAACCACCCTTCTTGCTTGACCTAAAAAAGACAGTGCTCTTACTTCCTGATCAAACAGTCACCAGCTGTTCACAGAAGTTCACCCTTAGCAACACATACCTAGGTATGTTATTTAAATATATAGTCTCTGCAGCTATATTAAAGCAAATAACAGAAAGACTTAAATCCCCACAGAAACAACAGCGCATTCCGTTTTCCTTCAAGCACACCCATCTGGGGAACATCTGCTAGGGAAACACTGGCAAATTGAGTTAAAATACATTAAAAACATGCAGCTAAAACCTGGATCTTTCCTTTTCCTTTCTGTTTTACACTCCCTGGATTGTCTTTCTTCTCTCTTTCCTCTTCAGTTTCTTTTTTAAAAAATACCCTGCTTTGCTGCTGGCTGTTCCATACACTGTCCATGTTTTCCATTCTTGACCACCCACTTTCACCTTAAAACTACAAAGCCTTTTCTCTTTTTTGCAAAATCCCGTTCAGTTTCAAGGTGGATCTTCATCATTGCTTTCTTCTGATATTCTTTTAGGGCAATGGGAAGCTGCTTTGTACCAAGTCAGACTACTGTTTCATCTAGTTCAGCATATTGCCTACACTGCCTGGCAGTGACTCTTCAGGGTTTCAGACAGAGGTCTCTCCCAGACATACCTGGAGATGCTGTGTATTGAACTTGGGACCTTCTGAGTGCCAAGTAGATGCTGTACCACTGAGCTAACCAGGTGCTCTGCTCCTTTCTCTTTGACTGTCCTTCTTTCCTATTATGTGGCCATTTCCTCTTGTGCAATGGAACAAGGCTTAGTTTTATGCAGTGGACAACGACTGAATCCAGAGATGGAGAATAGCTGATTTATTAGGGTTGCCATATTTCATGAGATAAAAATCCAGACACAAAAAGAAAGTTGTTGAGCTTTTCTAGGGCAATTGCCCAATAGCCCCTCTGTCACCACAGAGCCTGAGCCACCCACGCCAAAGCCCGCACCCAGGTCACCTAAAAAAACCAAATCCAGGTCATTTGCTTTTAAATGTAAAATTCCCCCTGGATGAGCATGTAGAACCCCCAAAAGAGGACATTTCTGGGAATTCCCAGATGTATGGCAACCCTATATTTCTGAAGATATCAGAAGCCAGTGACATAAGAATTAGAGACCCCAGGTGTACATTTTTATTATTTTAATAATGTTTCACTTTAATTGCGTTTAGCCTTTTAGAATATATTAGGCTTGATTTTTGTGTTCTGCATTTGTGAGTTTCTCTCCTACGCTGCCTTCCATCTCTCCTTAATCTACCCCTGAAAGTGGTACCAATGGCAGGATGTTTTAGCAGCAGTGTATAAATCAGAAATCCTTGAAGCTATCGAAGACCCAGGAAGAGGCTTTTCTGATGCTCTTCCCTCATTGAAGCCTAGGTTGCCAGGGTAACGCCAGACGTTCGAGACCTAAATTGGTCAAATGGCCTGGGCACATTGGGGCCACTCCAAGGTGATCCAGGGGTGAAGATACCAATATGGAGCCATGTGTGCTTTACTTCTCGTGACCTGTAACCTTTCCTGACGGATGTGAAGATGTTTTAGGACTCTTTGTTTGCTGTGTTTGAACTACTATATAAGCTTTTGTTCTGAAGTGACTTGGGACAGTCCTTCTCAACTGGCATGTTGAGTCCAGTGAGCTCAGTCCTATTCCAAGAGCTATAATAAATGCTGGGTCCCTAAATCCGGATGCTGGACTTTAAAACAGTTTCCTTTGTTCTGTGGTTTATTCAAAAAGTGATTATTCCTCACCTGGGTAACGAACAAGGTGGTGTAGAGGTGAATTCTTACCACACCAGTCAAAGGACCACATGTATATCATCCAGTAGTTTGGCCTGGCTCTTTTCAGCCTCTTTTTATGTAGAATTTCCTGTCATGCCTGGGGTTTCCTCAGAATTCCCCTATCAGTGAATACTTCCCAAAGTTTCTTTCTTCTGTGTGTGTTATTTTGCATTCCTCTGCGTATACTCAGCTGCTATTTTGACATCCCCACCTAAGGCTGGCACTGCCTCAACAGCCTGTTCTTTTCTTTCTCTGATTGTTAGTGTGGAAATCAGGGACTCTGTCATGAATGCCTGGAAGCTGATCCAACTTCCAGTATTAGATGAGTACGGGCATAGAAAAAGTGATGAAAGTGGGTGGGTGGATGTGGGTGCAAGCAGGCTCTTTGCAAGTCGTAGTAATAGAAAACAGGTATGACGGGGGGGGGATTCCTCATTTAAGCCTTGGCCTTGAGAGGTAGCAGGAAGGGCTGAGTGGAAAGGGAAGCTTGCCTTTTGGCTCTCAGCATGAATGTTTGAGGAATCCTGCTTCACTGGATGTTCTTCGAAAAAACGGGGGTATATTACTGCTAGTAATAGTCTCAGATCCTTGAATGCCAGGGCAGGGTCTAAAGGCACATGATGTACCCACCTTACTGAAGCTTGGGTCTGAGCAGTGCTTAGATGGGAGACTTTTCTGGAAACTCCCAAGTACACCCCCTTGAGCTTCATAATGGAAGAAAGCAGTGCTATTTTTCTAGAAAAAGAGGTGCTGAAATTCACCATGAACACCTCCCTCATTCTCTTATAATGGCAATGATGCCTACTTGAGAGGTGCCAGAACTGAGTTCCGGCTGAAAGAAAGCCCTGGAAGAAAGGTAAGATGTAAATAAATAAAATAAAAATAAAATAAAACATTCATAGTCACCTGCCTCACACCGTTTCTGAGGGTAAATGAAATGAAGACTGGAAAACATGTTACACAACAAAATGCTGTACCAATAACAAATATGGTTTTTCAGTGGTCCTTAACTCATTGAAACAACTTGAAAGTTCCAGATACTCTGATAAGACAGCAAAGGCTGCCAAAGTTTGTTGTTGTTGCTTAGTCGTTTAGTCATGTCCGACTCTTCGTGACCCCATGGACCAGAGCACGCCAGGCACTCCTGTCTTCCACTGCCTCCCGCAGTTTGGTCAAATTCATGCTGGTAGCTTATGAGCATTAAATTGTTGGTTTCTGCTTTCCTTCACTGTGCAGCTCTGCTTGTCACGAGACAGGTGTTTACATTCCACAGTCTGTACTGTTGGAGTTTCTCACGGGAAAGGGAGGCTGGATGTGACGTACACTGGTTTCCTGTTTTTCACTGTGTGATTCTCTCCGAGCTGTCGAGGAGAGAGGATGCATTTTCTGCTCCGGCAGAGGCAAGATGTCTTTCTGTAATATACCAGCTTTGAACTGTAAATAAAGCAATATAGAGTATGCAGCACGTATTCCTCATCCTTCCGCTGGCCACGAGACTCTGCTTTAAATCAACACGTGGTTATGGGCCCAGAAGTCGAATCGGAGTGCCGGCAAAGGATCGGAATGCAGAGGGACAGATCGGAACGGAATCTGCTCTGCGCGTAGAAGTGATTGATGAGGTATGTGCTACTGCTCCGGGCAGCCTGCCAGCTTCAAGTTAATGGCTTTATGGCTGGACTTTGAACTTTTAAAGCCGGTTTTGCCGGGAATAGGCAAAAGGCTCCCAGGCACAAGTCACTATGCTGGGGAAATCGAAGTAACTTTTAAGTGCGCCTTTGTAATGAAGCAGCTGCAGCAGTGACGCAGCAAGATTTAAAGCAGCATATATATGACGCTGAAGGCTAATGCCAGAGTCATGATGGCCCTTCAGGATGCTTGTGGGATTCCTAAGCTCAACAAGAAAAATTACAGCGACTGGGTTCAGTATGCAGAGGCAATTCTGCGGAAAGAGGGTTTGTTTGAGGTGATTACAGGAACCCCCAGTTCCAGTTACAGATGCATGGGAAGCTAAGGATTCCAAAGCAAGGGGAACTCTTACATTGATAGTATCCCCAGAAGAGCTCTGTCTATTGCGTGATAAGACCTCAGCCAGAGAAATTTGGGACGCTTTGAGAGAGGCTCACTTAAGGACAGAAGCTGGATCCACTATGTTTTACTTTAACAAGCTGCATAATATGGCTCTTGCTGAAGGTGGAGATGTGCGTTTACATCTGATGCAGATGCAAAATCTGAGACATGAGTTGCAACAGAGAGGACTCAACTTTCCAGAGGCTGTGTATTCTTTCATGATACTACAATCTTTGGGTTCAGGTTGGGAGTCTGTTGCAACCCAGATTGCTGTGCAACCAACTGCTCAGCTGACAGTGGACTTTGTTACTGCCGTGATTTTAAATGAAGCAGATCGCCGGGGTGCTAGCTGCATGGGCAAGGGGGGGTCTTCACAGACGTCATCCCATAGTGCAGTGGAACCACCAGATGGCGCCAAAGCTTTGAAGGCAGTGAAATGCTACTCGTGTGGACGTCTAGGCCATATGAAGAGGGAATGCAGACATCCCAGGGCCAAGACAGAGCAGCGCAGCGAAAGCTCATCGCGCGGAAAAGGCCGAGGCAAAGGCAAAGGTCCGGTGTCTAGGACAACGCAGCACAAGGCTATGGTTTCACGCTTCACTCCAAAGGTTGCAGAGGTCCAGAAGACGTCTAGATCTTTCTTCGTTGTTGATTCAGCGGCCACCCACCACATGTGCAACGATAAGAAACTGTTTGTGTCTTTTACACCGCAGGAAGGTGCGATTCACCAGGCGGATGACCACACTATTCCCAGTAAAGGCTACGGAACTGTTGTTCTTCACAGTTTGGACTTATCGATACAGAATGTGCTTTACGTGCCAGACGCCAAACATAATCTGCTCAGCGTTGGACAGCTGAATGAGCGGAACATTGATGTTTCCTTCAAGAACAAGAAGTGCATCATCACAAAGAAAAATGATTATGTATTGCATGCAGAATATGTTGATCGTTTGTTTGTTTTGTATTATGATGATGTGGTGCAGGATGACACTTGTTGCATTGCAGGTTCTAACAAAAGTTTGCATGCAGAATGTATTCACGATTTTCATCGAAAATTTGGTCATTTGCATTTTGAGGCAGTATCTAAAATGCCTGCCTTGGTAGAAGGTATGACTATTAAACCCTGCAGGTACCACATGAAGTGCAAAGCTTGCGCAGCAAACAAGGTAAAAATGGCTGCGAAAGGTAAGGTGTCTAGTAGGAAAGCTACAGAACCATACCAGGTTGTTCATGCTGATTTGGTTGGACCACTAGCGCCCTCTTTGGGTGGAAATAGATACTTCATGGTTCTCATTGATGCATTTTCTAGATATATTTTTGTGTACAATCTCAAGCAGAAATCGGAGGCTTTTCCTAGGTTCAAGGAATTCTGTGCTTGGTTGGAAAATGTGCATGGTAAGAAGATAAAGACTCTTTTCAGTGATCGCGGGGGGGAATTCACTTCTCAGCAGTTTGAAGCTTTTCTGACTGAGAAAGGAATTCAACACGATTTGTCTAGTCCTCGCTCGCCATGGCAGAATGGACTTGCGGAACGGGCAAATCAGACATTGCTTCAAGGTTTAAAAACCTTGCTGCATGATGCCAATCTTCCAGAGAGTTATTGGGCCGAATCTCTCTCGTGTTTTGTTTACAGTTACAATCGCAGGTTATCTTCAGCGATTGATTGTACCTCTATGAAAAGATGTTTGGCAAGAAGCCATACATCAAACACATGAAGATTTTTGGTTCTGACATGTGGGTTCGCTCACCACAAAACTCCAAGTTAGACAAGCGTGGATTGCATGGTATCTTTCTAGGTTATCAGAAAGGGTCTTACAGAATAATGATGACTGACTCTAAGACAATTAAGCTCACGAGAAGTGTTGAATACAATGCAAAGTGGGGGGAGAATGTGGGAATTTTCCAATGTTATCCTGATGACGGTGATGAGACAGAAGATAGTCAAAAGCAACCACAACAGCCCACACCCACTGATGAAGGTTCTGAGTCTGAATCTGAAACTGAATCGGGTGATTCAGAGGATTTCGAGAGTGCGAAAGCCTCTATGCGACCCTCTGAAAGCTCTGATCAAGAATTGGAGGAACCATTGTTCACAATAGGTCGTTTTTCTCCTAAGAAGGAAGAGGAGAGTGTTGAAGACTTAAGGCTAATTCGTAGGTCACAGAGAGCCACAAAAAGCAAACCTCCAAAGAGATTTGCTGATGAGTTTGCTGAGATAGCAGTAACAGCTGTTAAAAGCTCCAAGAAGGTATTTGAACCTTCAAGTTTCCAAGAAATCCAGGGTTTGGATTCAAAGGAAGCTGAGCCATGGTTAAATGCCATGAAGGCTGAGCTTGATTCCTTAGAAAGGAACAAAACATGGGAGCTAGTTCCAGTAGTTCCAGGAATGAAACTGCTTGGAAGCAAATGGGTCTTCAAAGCGAAGACAGATCAAAATGGCAAGATAGTCAGACACAAAGCCAGATTGGTAGCCAGAGGTTTTGCACAGGTACCAGGTCAAGACTATCACGAGACCTATTCACCCACAGTGAGATATGAAAGCATTAGGCTTATGCTCAAGCTAGCTGCAGAGGAAAATCTACACATTAGTCACCATGATATTAATACAGCTTTTCTGTACGGATCTCTAGATGAATCACTTTATATGCTTCCACCTGATGGCGTACAGGTAAAACAGGGATTTGTTTGTGCTCTGAAGAAATCCCTTTATGGTCTCAAACAAAGTGCACGGTGTTGGCACACAAAACTCACTGAAGTATTGTTTTCTCTAGGTTTTCAGCAAGGGAAAGCTGATCCATGTGTATTTGTCAAAGAGGAGGGGCAAAAGAAACTGTACTGTTTGTTTTATGTTGATGATTTATTATTCTTTTGGAAAGATGTTGCAATGTACAATAGCGCCCTAGCTCAACTGAAAGAGCACTTTGACATGAAAGATCTTGGTGAGGTAAACAACTACCTATCTCTGGAAATAGAGAGAGATCAAGATGGTAACATTCTAGTACACCAGTCACGGAAAATTGCTGATGTGTTAAGCACACTAAATCTGATGGATGCTAACCCTGTAGACACACCGATGACAACAGGTTATCAGGTAGATGACACTGAAGAAGCATTTTCTGACACTACACTGTACAGGAGTGTGCTAGGCAAGCTAAACTTCATTGCCAGATGTTCAAGACCAGACATTGCTGTTAGCTGTAATTTGCTAAGCAGACAAGTCAACAATCCTAGTGTCAAGGATTGGAAAGCTCTGAAACGCATAGCGCGGTATTTGAAAGGCACTATGCATTACAGACTGAGATTTAACAATCAGAAGTCTGGTGGTCTTGAGATATTTGCAGATGCAAGTTTTGGAAGTGACACTACAGACAGGAAAAATACGTCTGGAGTTTGCTACATGTACAATCAGAGTCTTTTTGATTGGTCATGCAAGAAGCAAACAACAGTTAGCTTAAGTACTTGTGAAGCCGAACTGAATGCACTGTCTTATTCACTTAAGGATTGTGAATGGTTAGTACAATTGTGCAAAGATATGAAAATTCCTGTCAAATGTCCAATCCAGGTTTACCAGGACAACAAAGCATGTTTGGCTTTGCTGAAGTCTGAAGGTTGTAAGCAAAGCACAAAGCACTTACAATTAAAGTTGCAGCATGCTAGGGAATGTATTCAGAAGGGACTCGTAACGGTGTCCTATATACCAGGTAATGAAATTCCTGCTGATGTATTGTCCAAGATTGTATCAAGGGATCAACACTGTACCTATGTGCAGAAGTTGGGTTTGTACTGATATTGTGCAAACACGCTGCCCAGTGATGTTCACAGAAAGGGGGAGGATGTTGGTTTCTGCTTTCCTTCACTGTGCAGCTCTGCTTGTCACGAGACAGGTGTTTACATTCCACAGTCTGTACTGTTGGAGTTTCTCACGGGAAAGGGAGGCTGGATGTGACGTACACTGGTTTCCTGTTTTTCACTGTGTGATTCTCTCCGAGCTGTCGAGGAGAGAGGATGCATTTTCTGCTCCGGCAGAGGCAAGATGTCTTTCTGTAATATACCAGCTTTGAACTGTAAATAAAGCAATATAGAGTATGCAGCACGTATTCCTCATCCTTCCGCTGGCCACGAGACTCTGCTTTAAATCAACATAAATTGCCCTGGTTCTTATGTATGCAACATGAACACCAGACCTGCATCAACTCTCAAGGCTTAAGCACCCTTTTGAAGGCATCATTATGAGGTGCACACTTCCATATGTTTCTGACAGGGGATCACAGAAGCTTCCAGTCCACTGACATGTCCAGTTTCAAAACTTGGCACACTTGAATAATTTAAAATTGAATGAAGAGCCACATAAGTGGTTTTAAAAGTACCGAGTAAAATATGTAACCCAGGGAGACGAGAGGCACAAGACCACAGTCCTGATTATGAGTGTATAAAGCTCTACCTGCTTGACCTCCTTTCCTTCTGGCTGTAAAACAGCTTCCTGCAATTCCCTTCATGAGTCACTGGTCACTCCTGGCACTGAAACTGCATACCTAAGGAACTGACTTCTTGAGATACAGCAGGGACATTCCACCTTCCTAAAAATACAGAGAGGGCAAAATAGTTCCACCTCCAGTTGAAACAACATGAATCGAAAACCTCACCTTTTAATAATTACCTGGCGTTGTTCCTTCCGTGCCAGAGTTTGGTCACGGCAGCTTTTTCCTATTTATAATGATGCAAATGTTTGCTTAGCTGAATAGCTCTATTTATTATTTGCCATGTTTACAAAAGCACTCAAATGCCTTCTGTGCCGGTAACTATGGGACGAGAAAAAACTGCGGATTCATCCATTTAAGTGGGTTCTGTTGCTGTAGTGCTTCTTTTCCGCCTCCCCCCCCCCCATAGTTTGCTGCTGACTATTCATGAATGAAGCCTATGAGCCTTTTTGGACTTATATGACCTTGAAGCACATCAGACTGCAATTGCAATTAATTTATCACGAGTCTCAGTAGGAAGCAAAGTTCTAATTTTATAGCTGCCTTCATGAAGACTGACAACATTTTGCAACAATCTGGGTAAGTGTACTGTTTGTCTTTGATGCATCTATCTATCTGTTAGTTTCCTGCTCTCCATACTGAGTCTTATTGGAATTAACAGTCTTGGACCCATGTATCTAACAACAGGGGTGGCTGAAAGCCATTTGCTAAAGCAAACGTAGCAAACATTGGGTTAGACTGTAGTGATTTTGGTGGACAAATAGACCCCAGGCAGTTGGTGCTGGAAGATGAGAAGCAGCAGTGAGGTGCTGGAGGCCTGCCCTGCATAACTTATGTTAACCTGCTACCCTCAGGTGTGATAGAGGATGTCATTCTGCCACTGATACTTCTGTACCTAGAAATGGCGCCAGGGAGACCATCTTGGCCTTTTGTGTCTTGGGGTAGCCCTAAGGTATGATCCCCTCTCCCTCCACCCTGTGCCTTCCCTCTCAATATTTTGATTCTATACAGATGGACTGTGCTTTTAAGTAAGCCAAGCAGATAGTAATTTTGGTACACATCAGAAGAAATGTGCTCTTACATGTTAGTTAACATGTGACCTAAGATGGCCTCCTCAGTACACTTAGAGTATCCTATTACCTTTTCTGAAATTTCAATTAGAGCTACTAAAACTCCCACAATGGAGAGGCCATTTGGGATATTTATAATACTTCAAGCTCCCACATGCATGGCTTGGACTGCTAGATAGAATTGTAATATTCTTTCTGAGGATAGGACAAAGGAAGGTTGTTGGGAATGAGGGAGAAAGGAGAAAAATACTGTGAGGAGGAGAAGAGCAGTGTAAATCAGGGGTTTAAAGCAACACAAGGACTGTGGGATGTTTCTAGTCCACCAAGGCTTACTGGCAGAATTGGGGTTTTTTTCAGGCTATGGAAAGACATCTCGGTTGGTTGTATCCATGGGTTGCCTAATCCTGATCCAAGTTAATTTGAACAGAGATGGGTGACACAGCAAGATTAACAACAATCTTTTTGTTTGCAAATGTCTTCCACCACATTTTTTGACCAATTATTTCCTGAAATGTCCCTTTGTGGGACTGATCTCTTTCTGCACCCTGTTCTTTAGCATGTAACTGCTGCTCTGTGCAAAACAAGGACACAGTTCTGGGGTGCAGCATTGTCAGATTTATCAATCTCCATTTTGTTTTTTGGTCAGAACTCTTGGACAGGAGAGAGTGCCAGGGACCAGACCAGTGGCCACCCTCTCAACTCAAGCAGTAGCAGTCATATGTCTGCCTCAGCCATTAACATCCTTAAAGGGGTGTCTCTGTTTCCCCTTTTCCAAAAGCAGACTTTTCCACTATATATTCCACTATATTCTTTCAGGGGAGAAAAACAGCTGAGGAAACTGATAAGGGAGAAGATCAAAATCTGATCCCAGTGCTACAGATGTTACTACATGGGGTAATTCATAAATGGATTTTTCCCAGCAAAGCACCCTGATTTGGGATCCCTGCCATCTAGCATATTCTTGGTTGAGACTTGCTGTCCACTTTAGGGGCACCTTCTAATTAGGCTTCTACTATAGAGTCTAAATGAAGGGTGGGCTATTCCCCCCCCCAATGGTGGCCTTCCTTTTTATGTTTCATGTTTTAGCTGCGAAAACAGCACTACAGTGCCATCAAGTGATAATTTGCAAGCATTACACTGGCATATTTGAAACATAACAAGACTCTGTACTCTAATTCAGTAACCAAGCACAGAAACACCACCATCTATATCCTGGATTCTCAGACGGTGTGTGTCAGGTTACCCCAGAAAGCATAGCTGTCAACTTTTCCCTTTTCTTGCGAGGAATTCTATTCGGAATAAGGGAATTTCCCTTAAAAAAAGGGAAGTGTTGACAGCTATGCAGAAAGGGAACAAGAAGCTGGTTATCTCTCCATTCTTGCCTTTATCATCCTCCACTAATTCTTGAGCAGAGCCCTATGGGACAATTAAAAGTGAGGCTGGATGCAAACAGAAAAAAATGAGTAAACAATAAGTGAATGGTTTCCATTTTTATTGTCAAAGCAAGAGCAACTACACTGCTCTTACTACTTCCTTAATAATACTAATTTTATTATTTATACCCAGCCCACCTGGTTTTATCACTCCTGCAGTTCCTCCCTCTACAAAATCCTGTTTTATAGATATAAAACCACAGGCCTGGTAGTGAGCCAACTATGACATACAGTGGTACCTCGGGTCACATATGCTTCAGGTTACATACGCTTCAGGTTACAGACTCCGCTAACCCAGAAATATTACCTCGGGTTAAGAACTTTGCTTCAGGATGAGAACAGAAATCGTGCTCTGGCGGCACGGCGGCAGCAGGAGGCCCCATTAGCTAAAGTGGTGCTTCAGCTTAAGAACAGTTTCAGGTTAAGAACGGACCTCCGGAACGAATTAAGTACTTAACACGAGGCACCACTGTACTTGGGCCATTAGAAAGCTGTTCCTCTTATCTCCCAGTAATAATGCCAAGGCAAAAGAGAGACCAACCCAGTCCCACCCATAGGCCTTGACATGGAGCTACTGCAGAGCTCAGTCTCTCCCTGCCCCACTAGAAAGAATACGCACTCAGCTCCAAGTTGTCAGTTGTCCAGGGACTAATCAGAAGCAAGAGGAAGGATACTCTGACCCCATTTGTGAGGTAAAGGAACAAGAGCCACCAACTGCTATTCAAGGAAGAACACCAGCAAGTGAAGACTGGCCTGGCTTAAACTCTTGTAGCTCACCATTTTGCCTTGGAGAACTAATCTCCATCCTCCGTGTTTTGTCTCCATCCTTCATTCATTGTGTGTTATGCCTTTTAGTTTGTAAGCCTGGTGGGAGGTCCTGTCTCTCTCCTTTTTAAACTTTATATATTGATGCGAGCTACTTCAGGAGGCAGTAATTGTTTGAAAAGTGGACTAAACATGCAGCAAATAACTAAAATCTATAGAACCTCCTGAAGCAGGGCCAATTTTCTTTTAATAATCCCATGCATATCTACTCAGATGTTTACAACGAGGCTTAGTCCCAAGCAAGTGGATATTGGATTGCAGCCCATACTTATTCATAGCAAGCCCCACTGAGTTTACTCCTAGGTAAAAGGGTTATTCCTAGGTAAGTGGGTACAAGTCTGCGCCTTCACTGTTCACAAATAAGGGCTCTGTATTTTAGAGTTGCAAAAGCCTGCGCTGGACGTTATTAACTTGTCTAAAAATAGAGGCATTTCTTTACCGAGAGTGCGCAGAGCCAACTTTCTCCTATAAAGTACCAACTTTGAGGCTTGTGGCAGCCACTCACCTCATCTAACTGCTTTGTCCCTATGTATAACTACATATAAATTTAAATGCAGCAACACAGACACTAAATGGCAGCAGCTACCCAGAGCAGAACACCTTATTCAGTAAGAAAACAACTCTAAAACCACCTGCCTGAAAAAACAACCTAATTTAAACAGATGGTCTGGTAGGTGTCCAGAATTTTGAGATACAATCAGGTGTTTAAGTAAACGGAAGTGCTATTTGCATAGAGCAATATTTACAAAAAAGCTAAATGCGGAATGCAATCTACACTTGGGCAAGCAGTCTTTCCAAACAGAGGAACTTAGAAAATCTTGAGCTACCCTGCAGGTCCCAAGAAACCGAGCGATTAGATGCTTTGCTTTTTTTATACTGTGTATGCCTTGCAAGTTGCAGAAATCCAGAGCATCAGTCAAAGAAAACAAAAACCGCTGTTTTGTTTTGTTTTTTTAAATGCAGCCTCCTAAAACTTGAGCCGTGCTTGTCCTTTCGGCTGTGCCCTTAAAAATACTGCGTCGCGCTTTAGGCAGGAAGCCGATCGTTGAAGCCCTACATCTAAAGCGCGACGCAGCAGCATAGAAGGCACAAAGCGAGCGAATTACAAGCAAAGGGCGCCCGGGATGCTCGGCGATAAGAGACTACACTTCCCAGGAGCCCCCGGGGCTGCGGAACGGGAAGTGACGTATGCGCGCCGCTACCTGGTCAAAGGGTTAGAGGAGCAAGTGGCAGGGAGCATGTGGCTTATCAGCTACTCGCTGCGAACCCTGCGCTTCCATTGATGGCAGTGTACGCGGGCTAAGGACCGGAAAGCTTGGAGCTGCTATAGCATGGCAGCAGCAGGAGGCAGCGAGCAGAAAGAGCTGCTGGCTCTGATGCACCAGTACTTGGTCCAGATTGGCTATGAGAGAGCAGCAAGGGAGCTGCTGGCACAGAGTGGGCAGGTAATTGCACGGGCTCCCACGTGGGTGGAGGGGGCGGGGGGGCTGACGAGCCTTGCTCTCCCCTCGCCTCACTAGCAAGCCTTCCCAATAACTCTATGAAGCTGCAACCCTATAAAGTCTTTTCTTTCTGGTCTAACAAGGCAGCTGCCCTCACTCCAGCCCCCACCCCCCCGGTAATCCTGCAGTAGGGAAGAATTCGCATTGGGAAGCTTGTTCTGTGGCGTCCAGCAGCCCATTTTCATAGCAGTAGCCTTTACTTGCCTCACAAGGCCTTAGCAAGGGTTTGTTCAGTTTATTAGGCGTGTATTTCTAGGCAGCTCTTCAGAACACCCAGGGCTCCTATTGAAAGGATTTCTGAGATTTTATTTCAGTGGCTTGTATCTTCTAGCGGTGTACGGTGCAGTTATAAAGATGCAATGAAGACGAGACAGTGGATGCTTACCAGAAAGCTTAAAAGTCCCAATTTGAAATTAAAGGTTTTCACTAGGTGGTGGAAGTGGAAGGTGGGCCTCCCTGATCTGAGCTGGGAAGTTCTTCAGAACTGGGCCTGGGTGGGGACCACTAACAGAGGCTCCCCTGGACACCTCAGGCAGGAATACAGTGGTACCTCGGGTTAAGAACTTAATTTGTTCCAGAGGTCCGTTCTTAACCTCAAACTGTTCTTAACCTGAGGTACCACTTTAGCTAATGGGGCCTCCTGCTGCCACCGCCGCACGATTTCTGTTCTCATCCTGAAGCAAAGTTCTTAATCCAAGGTACTATTTCTGGGTTAGCGCAGTCTGTATCCTGAAGCGTCTGTAACCCGAGGTACCACTGTACAAGGAATCAGGTGGTCCTTATGTACATGAAGCACTCTGGACACTTGGAACATGGTGGGTGTGGTTATATATATCTAAGAAATCCTAAGGAGCTGTGGTATCCTAAAATGTAAGGTGTTCATTGTGTGATCGTGTTCTGGAATAAGGGTAACTTGGCTGAAGGCACCTCTACCCCCATGTTGCTGGTTATGTTCTACAGGTTGGCCCAATAGTAGGTATGCTGCTTTAGAATCCACTTTTTGTTCTTAACGCGAGTTTGCTGTCATCATTCACAATATCAGTAAAGAAAAATAATCCATTTATCTGACTCCACTATTCTTTCCAACTGCCACTTTGATTCAGTTGTATACCTACTTTTGGGCCACCCTGTACTGTATAGTTAAAACAAAACAGTATTTGATAATTTGCTATCTAGATATGTAGGATAAACAACCTTGCTTTTTCATTTTACTCTGGGAAGTATTGCCTATAAATCCAGATTACCTCTCACAGTCGAGTATTTGGGAATGGTAATTCATTGATTTTTCTAACCTTTCTGAGCAGTCCTAGGAGTGGATTGTGAATTCCAGTCCACATTTTGACTGTTGAGAGTCAGTTATTACAGTTATTACAGATTATCAAGAGTAATATGTTCTTGTATGTTCCGTTTTATGCTAGTACCCTTGAACCTAGCTGATTATTTAGTCCGCTTCAGCTAGCATTGTCCTGGTATCAGTGTCAACAGAGTCACACACACATGCATATTATTTAGTGACTTGCCGTTGAATGTGTGACTGCTAGGTACAGAAGACAATACTGTGTACGTGGAGCCTGAAGGGAAATGAAACTGAAAGCTCCATCTGTTATACAATGTTAGTCATCGTTGGAATAGATTTCTTGGAAGCAAGGGATTTAGTAACACTCATGTCCAATCTCTGAAGCTGTTTCATGGATGCAGGTTTATTCAGAAATACACATGCATGTGTGAATTTGCTGTAAGCCTGTTAAATTCAAGGGTTCCAATTAGAGTTTGGTTTGAGGTTTATACACCCAAAGCAAGCTCATGATAAAAGCACGTGAGTTTTACATTATCTACATAATGGGTGTGTGCAACTGCTTAAATATTGAATAGATTAAAAATATAACCTATAGAGGAAGCAAGGGGTTAGTGTGTTGTTTGAGTATAGCCTCAGGAAATGAGGGTTTTTAAAAACTTAATATTTACGTTCTCTTGTACTGCAGTAAGCCACTTGTGACCTATCCTAAATTTTGTTTACAGTTGGGATGGTTGAGGTCACAACCCAGAAACCACTGACTCTGTAAAGATTTATTATTTGCATTTGGTCTTGAGGATGTGTCTGCAGGTGCAGATGGTCTTCACCACCCAATATTAAAATAATTTATAGCTTAAAATAGCAACACACTTGAACAATCTGAATATTTTTACTGTGGTCATCTAGCAGGGTGTATGTATGGAAAATATAGCCTAGTGCAAGTACAAGACCACATAACACTGGTCTTGAAAGACCTACATTGACTCCCATACGTTTCCGAGCACAATTCAAAGTCTTGGTGCTGACCTTTAAAGCCCTAAACGGCCTCGGTCCAGTATACTTGAAGGAGTGTCTCCACCCCCATCATTCAGCCCGGACACTGAGGTCCAGCACCGAGGGCCTTCTGGTGGTTCCCTCACTAAGAGACGTGAAGCTACAAGGAACCAGGCAGGGGGCCTTCTCATTAGTGTTGCCCACCCTGGGGAACGCCCTCCCATCAAATGTCAAGGAAATAAACAACTATCTAACGTTTAGAAGACATCTGAAGGCAGCCCTGTTTAGGGAAGTTTTTAATGACTGATGTTTTAATGTATTTTTAATTTTTTGTTGGAAGCTGCCCAGAGTGGCTGGGGAATCCCAGCCAGATGGGCGGGGTATGTATGAATGAATGAATGAATGAATGAATAAATCTACAGCCATGAACTCTAATGCAGAATCATTTTCTCCTTGGAGGCTCTGTAGTCCTAATGTCTGGACCACCACAGAATTCCCCCAACGCTGTAACCTTCTAAGTGGAGAATCTCCAATGTGGTTCTACTGTCTGGGCTCTCTGTTTAGTATGAAACTTTTTCTTCCCACCTGTGACAGCTATACAGAGCTTCGTGGTAGCACTAGCAAGACTTGATGCACATCAGCTGTGAACATTGCCATTTGAGAGGTACTGCTAAGCTATCAGAGTGGCGCTGTGGTCTAAACCACTGAGCCTAGGGCTTGCTGATCGGAAGGTCAGCGGTTTGAATCCCCGCGATGGGGTGAGTTCCTGTTGCTCTGTCCCAGCTCCTGCCAACCTAGTAGTTCGAAAGCACGCCAAAAAAAGTGCAAATAGATAAATAGGTACCGCTCTGGCAGGAAGGTAAACGGCGTTTCCATGTGTTGCTCTGGTTTCAGCGTTGCGTTGCACCAGAAGCAGCTTAGTCGTCCTGGCCACATGACCCGGAAAAACTCTGTGGACAAACGCTGGCTCCCTTAGCCAGTAAAGCGAGATGAGTGCCGCAACCCCAGAGTCATTCGCGACTGGACTTATCTGTCAGGGTCCTTTACCTTTACTTTTACTAAGCTATCAGACTGAAACAAATAATTTAGGCAGACAGGGTTGCAACTTGAAGGTATTTTGTGGCATAGAGGAGAATGATGCTACGTGTATATAGGATTGGGGTAGCCAGACTTGAAGCTGGGAGGTTTGAGAGATTATGAAGACCCTAAACATGAAATTACACTGAAAGCAATATTGGATGAAATCTTTATGGTTTCAGAGGTATCCGCTTGTTTCTCATCCAGACTGAAGTCATGTGGGCTTTTACCACCTAGAAATAACATTGTAGAGCAGTGACTGTTACTATTAGGGGTGTTCAGATAAGCCATTCTCATGCATTGAGGAGCTGTGTTGAATGTGTCCCCCCAACCCAATGCCCATAAGTGGCTTTGTGTGAGAAGCATTTCTCGATATTTAAATATATGTGAGTTCCTCCCACTTATCCTCATATAGAGGAGGCCGGTGTGTGTACTTTAAAATGCACATAGCACTGTTTGATAAATATGGTAAAGTCTTATCCAGCTGTGTTGCAGGCACTTTTGTTTGTGGGTGTGGTTCTCCCCACTGCTTGGACTTCTCCATTTGGATTGCAACTATGAGAGGCAAATAAAGTCTGGAGCCAAAATTGGCTGTACTGACAGTGGATTAAGTAACATGCAAGAGGGAGAGTAAGAATGCAAAAAGCATATTACAGGAAACCTGCAGTGTTGTGTTAGTTGATGTCAGAGTCGGCAACCGCTGGCAGTTTTGTATGTGTGTTTCTTCAACATCCTACTTGGGTATAGGATATATTTATCAGTGCTGGTAATAGTATGTTTCCAATTGTCATAGTTGGCATTTATTAGGCACTTGGGTGTAGCTGCTGCCAACACTTCTCTTGAGAATTTTATGAAAGTACAGTAGTACCTTTGTAGTCGAACAGCTTGGCTCCTGAACAAATTGGCACCCGAACGCCGCAAACCCAGAAGTGAGTTTTCTGGTTTGCAAATGTTTTTCGGAAGCTGAATGTCCGATTGAGTGCAGGAAGCTCCTGCAGCCAATCAAAAGCTGTGCCTTGGTTTTTGAATGGTTCTGGGAGTCGAACGGACTTCTGGAATGGATTAAGTTCGACAACCAAGGTACCACTGTACTTGTTTAAGTATATAGACTTCTAAAAAAACCAACAACTTTCAGATACATTTTAATCTGGGGCCAGAAATACTATTTTCCATTATGTTGGGCTTATCTTTTTGCCTCTTTGGGGATATAAAACCAGTGGGGTTTTTTGGTAAATATTATACAATGAGAAGAAATTAGTTGTGTCTTGGGAGCATCTTTTGGCCAAATTGTTTTCCATTATTTTGTGGTTCTTAATTCTGGGCCTGTAATGTACTTGGAGCAACTCTACAGTTGCTTTCTTGTTGTTGTTATTGTTTTTAAAAAATGTGGGGCCAAAGAGTGGGGTTTCTGTTCTTGATATGGGTAAAGGGCAGAATTAACTTCTCTTTTTCTCGTACAGAAGACCTTCCTACCAACCCCAGTCCCCCTCGGAGATATCTTCACTCAGTGGAAAAAGTAAGCTTAACAAAAAAGAAACAAGTTGTGTTTTTGTGTGAGACTGTGCCTGATAGACACACTTTTAAATTAGTATTTATTAGCAATACATTTTAATAATAGTAGTATTAGTATTTTCTGCATTTTAATTACTTCCCTTTTGGAAGGGTAACCTCTAGACCAACATAATCTACCCTGAATAAAAGGATAGATTAGATAAAATAGTTTTGTTTCATTCTTGGAACATGTGGAGTTGCATTTGGCGTTTGTAATAAGGGGCTCTTCCTGGAGCAATTATAGATTTCCCAGGCCCCATGACTCCTCCTTGTGCTCTACATAGACCTGTCACTACATGCATAGAGGGTCTACACATGTGAGGGCGATGGCATAGCTGGCCTAGCATTCAAAGAACTCCTTGGAAGGGGGCATCAGAACCCCAGTGTCCTCCCCTCTTGTACTGTAGAAGGGTCAGAAAGCACTTCTAAAGCAAGCCCCCAATTATTTTTTTTAAAAATCCCTTTCTCCCAGCTCATGAAAAGTGGAATATTATGTCCCTATTCTTTTTTGCTCAAATTAAAACTTTGAATCTCCTTCTGTTTCACTCCATCAATCTGGGACTTCTTGGGCTCTGTGTATCCTTTATTATATTGATAATATTGATATTATATTGATAAATTGATAATGCAAAGTTTTCTGGCCTGAGGTAAAAAGATTAGTGTTTTGTCTATAAATCACCATGCTCAAGTAACAGTACACATAGGCTACATAATTTTGACTAATTGTGGGTCGCAACTTTGAATTGTTCAGTCTTTCATTTCATTTTTACCTCCAGGTTTTCCCCAATGTTGTTTTCTAAGTATTGCGTAAATCTCACACACTCTTCCTCTCTGTCCCTTCTAGCTAAATGGTTAGACATATGACACCTACATGATATAAAATGCAGTGTAAGGCAGGGATCTGCTAGGAAATGCCAACTTTCCTACTGAGTGATACTGTCAAGTTTTGCCCCCTGTTTATTCTCTCTCTGTGGTTCCTTCCACCTCCACAGTTCCCCTGCACATTGGCCCTTGGAACCACCAATACCATGGCAATCCTGTGTGGGGCTCATTCTCCCCCTTTAACCCTTTTTGGGGGGTTTTAAACTATGATCCATTCACTCTTGTGTGTGGGCAAGAGATCCATTAGCTGATCCCTTTTATCTTTAATTGTTTTTCTCTTGGATAAAGTTTAGACTCAACATTTTTTTTCTTGACAGGTAGGTGATCAGTGTGACAGGATTGGAAAATTCCAGCTTCAAATTAGCCATGCAGATAGGATGAAGCTATTACTAGGTTTTAATTAAGCTCCTCATCCTAATTTCACGGTCTTGGGTATGATTAGTTCTATTACTGCCTCTAATAAGTTAATTTTAAAAGTTGACTTGGGGAGACAGTTTGCGTGAACTACAAACTTTTTTTTATAAAAAGTCAAAGAAGTACCCAGTTTGTTTTATTTCCATAGCAAAGTAAATGTTTCATGAGTGACAGTGGTGGTTCTTGTACTACAGAGGCATGAGACTCAGAAAGTTGTTGAGTGAACCCTTTTAAGCTAACTTGTTGTTGTTTAGTCGTGTCCGACTCTTTGTGACCCCATGGACCCGAGCACGCCAGGCACTTCTGTCTTCCACTGCCTCCCGCAGTTTGGTCAAACTCATGCTGGTAGCTTCGAAGACTAACTAAACTATCCTCGTTTAATGCCTATTCAACATACTTGCAAAATCTGTTCAACAGAACTTCCTCACAAGCCCAGAAACGAAAGGGGGAGGAAATCAAGCAAGGCAGCCCAGCAAAGATCAGAGTTCCTGATCCCAAGAGCAGCTCTGAGAGCTCGGAGGAGGAAGCAGCAAAACCCATAAAAAGTAAGATGCACTTGTCTAATTCCATGTCCCCAAGCACTTTACTACCTGGCTATTTTGTGGTGTGTAATTTGCACCTTAGATGCTGTTTGAAAAGAGCAAATGCCGGTGAGGGACCGTCTCATCTCTGTCCTTGACACATGCAGTTTGCTTGCAAAGAGGTTTTGCTATGAGGAGTGCTGTGGAACTTTGAAATACTTTCTAGAATTTTGTCACATGGTGTCCTTTGACAGGATAGAAATTGTCCTGCGACTTCAGTTTTCCCTCCCCTTGGAGACACTGAAATCCTTCAGACTTGTATAGGCTGACATCTCTTCTCTGTTGCAGGCAATGTGGCTGTGAATAACAGTTCCCTAGCTAAAGCGGAGAGCAGCAGTGAGGACGAGGAGTCATCTTCCGAAGAGGAAGAAGCTGCTGGCAAGGAGGTGAGAAGGCAGTTACTGTTACTGCTAGTGCTTGTAAATGGTGTCTGAGAGAATAGGATAGCTGTGGAAAATCAGACTTCATGAATGCAAATATAGCACTTGCTTTGTTTGTGTATGTTCAAAATCTCTCATCAGGTAAACTTTGGAAAGTCCCTTTTTTTTAAGAAAGAGAACAGAGGAAGGTTTGAGCTGTCTCCTCACCTTCCAGAAAGGCAAAGCCCATATGCTGCACAGCTTTGAGGGTTAAAAAACCTAACCCCAAAATGCTTAATTCAGGGATACAGGAAAAGTCATGAGAGCCTGGAATAACTGAGATGTGTCTGCTTTGAAGGCTCACAAGCAGATATTGTAAGATTTGGGAGAAAAAACATACCTACCAAGAATCCCTATGGCAAAAGGAACCATTCCCTGTTTGAAATGCATCCAAATGCACCTTGTTAGGGTGACCATAATAAGTTGCATTCTATACATGGTAAATTCTAGACAAGCTTTGAATGTCTAGGCAATTGTCTAGAGTAGGCAGTTCTAGACAAGCGTTGATCTACCTTCAGATTGAAATCAGTCTTGAGGATATTGAATAGGAGAAAGCCTATAACAATAAACACATGGTCCAAAAGGTAGGGCACAGCTCTCCTCTCTCTATTGTACATGCAGAGCTGCCAGTTAATGTGCTCTTATTGGAGCTGTTTGCAAACTTGGAGTCTCTGTGATGGACTGCATAGGCTATGTATTTTATTTATAAAATTATACTGCTTGATTGTAGGAAAGCCTCAAAGCAGTGTAGAAGAATCAGTCATTGGTGGTGTCCTAAATACAACTTGACAAGTGTAATGAGATTGCTTCTCCTCTTAGGTGAACATCCCCGCAGCAGGAAACAAAACCAGCAACTTGCTGCAACTTGCTGCACAGAAGACGAACTCCTTCCCAGGCAAAGGGGTGGCTGTAGCTGCTGTCCAGGCAAAAGGGCAACAGAAAAAGGCAACTGCAAATAAGCCACCAACACCGGCTGTGACAAAGGCAGGACAGAATAAAACCCTCCCTGTTAAACCAGGATCTGCTTCGCAGCCTCTTGCTATACCAGGGCAGAATGCATCACAGGCAGCCGCTGCAAGGAAGACAAAGAACTCTGAAAGCAGTAGCAGCAGCAGCAGCTCATCTGAAAGTGAGGAAGAAAAGACACCAGCAGCAGTAAAAACCCCAGTACCCAAGCCAGGTAAGAAGTTGGCTGGCTTGAGATGTGTGTCGCAAGGCATTGCACAATCATCCAAACTCTCAGACTTGAATCTTTCATTTTGACTTGCGGTGAGGTTGACCTGCATTACCTTGCAAATCATGTTGTAGGCTTGATTGTTTCAGCTCTATTTGAGGGGATAAATATAAAAGAAAACTGTTCTTAACAAAAGGAAAACGTTCAGTACTCTTAGTGAAAGCAGGTATCTATTGCAAAGAGACCAAACACGTTGAAGGATCCAAAGGACACAAATGCAGTTGTGTTCATGAGCAGGCAGGCAGGCAGGCATGTGTGTAGCACAGTAGCTTTCTTGGGCTATAGTTATGGCAAGCGTGCTGAGCTGTCTGAGCACCTGAAATAAATACATTTCCATTTTGATGTCAGTCGACAGATTTTTCTCTCTGGATTTCCTCATTTATTTATGAGAACGTTGGCCAGTGTCTAGCTAAATCAAAATCACATGCAAAATTAGGGTCACTCACCTTCCCATAAATTTGTGCTGTATGGGTTTTCATAAGCCTAGCAATTGTAATAATATGTTGTCTAGTCTACTGGAAAGTCTTACAAATTATGGTCAACTAAGACACACTCTGTCTCATTGGAGTACAGTAATTGAAATGGGCTTAAGTAACTTGAGTCCATTAGCTTAAATGGGTCTACAAGGAGTGTGTAGTAATATTGGATATTGCTCATCACTTCTGTCAACTCCAGGAGCATAAACCTCCTCAGTTATGACCCACTTCTGCTGTGAATTCTTAACATCCCTCCATACTTGGATATTAAAACGTAATTGGTTTTTACTGCAGAAGAATATCCTGCTGCTGTGTCATTAATTGGTATAATCTCAAGTACATGATTGATATGTTCTGAACATGCCAACTGGAGACTAAAGACACTTTCAAATGGCATGACTCATGTGAATAGAAACACAGTTCTTCTATCTTGGGCTTCTCTTTCCTTTCCAGAGCTGAGTAGTCAGCAGCCAGGGCATATCTTTCCAAACAGCAAGATTTTTAGGTAATTTAAATCACCTGTGGGTCGTGGCCCACTTAAAAACAGCTTTGTGCAAGTATCTTAAAATCTGATGGTTGGAGATATGGATACCCTAATAATAAAAAAGCACTCCAGAGCTTCCTACTTTTTTGGTCTTGGATCTCTAAAGCTGCATTTAATGTTCTCTCATGTTTATCGGATTCAACTTAAGTGCTTTTGTCTCCTCTGTGGCTTAGCTCTAAAGAAGGCAGAGAGTAGCAGTGGAGACTCCAGTGATGATTCAGACTCGGAAGAAGAAACAAATACTGCAACAATCCAGGTAGTTCCAACTACTGCAGGAGTGGGGAACGACCAGCTCACGGGCTGGATGCAGCTCATGGCACTTTTGAATCCAGCCAGCTCTTTGTCCTACTTCCCTTTACCATACTTGGAGGGAAAAGGTCCCATTGGAGCAAAACGGGGTGGGAAAGAAGGGGAGTAACAGTGGGTAACCTAAAGAAAATGGATCCCCTGGCCATCACCAGCCGACCCTGCCAACTTTTGGCTTTGATCCTGCTTACCACTGGCTCCAGCCCACCCCTGGTATTGTGGCCCCAAGGGCAAGTGACACTTGTCATAGAAATGGCTTCCCACTCCTGATCTAAGAGCTCCTTTTAGGACAAAGAGAGTTTTACATACCTTGGCTAGGAAGGCTCTGTGCACACACTTCATCCTATGGCTGAGAGAAGTGGTAGTCTCCGTCCTTGCCTCCCAAAGACAAGTGAATATCAGAGAGCTACTTCCACATACAGTGGTACCTCGTGTTAAGTACTTAATTCGTTCCGGAGGTCTGTTCTTAACCTGAAACTGTTCTTAACCTGAAGCACCACTTTAGCTAATGGGGCCTCCTGCTGCCGCTGCGCTGCCGCTGCACGATTTCTGTTCTCGTCCTGAAGCAAAGTTCTTAACCCAGGGTACTATTTCTGGGTTAGCGGTGTTTGTAACCTGAAGCGTATGTAACCCAAGGTACCACTGTATAACTGTTCCTCCCACTGCTTTGCTTGAACGTCTCCTCATGTCCCAATCTCGCTGCGTGGGAAAAGCTTAAATATTGGGGTGGAACTTTCCAGGCTAATCTCTTCCCTATGCATTTAATTTTCATTGTGCCAGGAGATTTGGACACTGGGGTGCTTTCGTGCAAGCAGTTTCCCCCATGTGAATGTTAATGCATGTGCCTGTGCTAATATTTGAATTGGCTCTCCGGAACATCGCTCTAAACCAGCCTCCCCCAGTTTGATGCCCTCCAGGTGTTTTTGGATTACACCGCCCATCAGCCCCAGCCTGTTTTTGGGCTCCTCTGTCCGACTAGGAAAAGCAGAGTTATTTGACTGCTGCTTTAAAATGGGAACTGCTGTCAACTTCTGCTTTCTTCCCTGCCTTTTTCTGTGTTTCTTGTCCTGTCTGCTTTCCCCCCTTTACTCTTCCTCTTTCTTCCCCACCTTTGATGCCTTTGCTTTCCCAGCCTCCGGCTGAGCCCACTCACATCCTTCTTATGATGTCTTCTGCCACCTGAAAACTTGCAAGGGAATGCAGAGACAGTGGCTACATGTCATTTCTTCCATTTCTGTATTCCCTCCCCACCACACACTGCCAGCTCCAGGGCTTCAGCAGCACAAGAGGGTAGCACTGTGTGATGAGATCGTGTGATCATAACTCATTGGGATGACTTATTAGGTCATTGGATCAAGGAGAGAATAGGCCTGCCAATTGTTAGGGCCCATCCAAACATCCTTATCCTGCCTGTTTGGGCATTGTAACAGTTCCTCCTGTTCATTTGGTAGGATAGCAGGTATAAATATTTGAGGTGCAGTGCTGGTGGTGAGGTCACATTCATTATGCACCATGTTAGTTCTCCCCGGTGTATTACTGCCTATCTTCCTTCTTTTGTTTGGGTTCTATGTGTGTCCTGGGATCCTTTATATACATTTGTTCACTATCAGTATTCTTTAATTCAAGGTGCCCATTTCAAAGCGGAGGGGTTTTGAATGAGATGTTGAAAGTTGGTTGGCCCTGAATTCTGGGTCTTGCCTACCTAACCATGGTCCAATGCCAGATTCCAAAACCGCTTGGGAATCGAGGCAACTTGCAGTTTAGGTGCTTGGAGGACTGTGACCATGTATTGCTTTCTTATCAAAGACATGTTCCTTGAGAACTTCCCAGCTCTCTCAGTTGCCGTGCGCCTATTTTAACTTTCCTGTTGTTGTAGGTAAAACCAGCTGTGGAAAGCAGGCAGGTTGACACGACGCCGACAAAAAGTGTGCCAGCCACCACTGTACCGTCCAAAGGAAATGCAGTAAAGGCATCTCCCGCAAAGAAAACAGCACAACAAACCAGAGCAAGATCTGGAAATGTGGCTAAAACCACGAAGCCAGCAGACAGCTCTGAGACAAGTGACTCGTCTGACACTGAGATCGAGGAACCCTCCTTGGCAACACAGGTGAGACATCCTGGACATACCTGCCCTTCCTTTCTCTCCCTAAGGCAGGGTACTTGTGACCTTCCAGGAACTACTGGGCTACAACTCCCAACATCCTGACCATGCTGGCCGGGGCTGGTGGAAGTTTTAGTCCAACAACATCTGGAGCACCATACCTTTCCCATACCTGCTGTAAGCCACTAAGCACAAAATCCAAGAAGGGATGCTAGCTTAAAAATGGGCTACATTTGGCCATCACATACCCAAGCCCCCAAACCATGGGTTAGGGGCTCAGCAGTATATTGACTGGATGTAGGGGGGAAATCAATTTCCCCCAAAATGCCAGTAACAGAATGCATTGCTATTCCTAAAATTAGCCAATTCAAAATGAAACACTCTAATTGTGTAGTTTGGTTTGATGGCACATAGCTGTGTTTATGTAAGTCCGTTCTTAGTGATGTGGGCTGCTTCAAAGTACAGTGGTACCTCAGTTTAAGAACAGTCCTGTTTACGAACTATTCGGTTTACGAACTCTGCAAAACCGTAAGTAGTGTCCCGCTTTGCGAACTTTGCCTCAGTCTAAGAATGGAAGCCGAATGGTGGAAGGGCACTGGCGGCGGGAGGCCTCATTAGGGAAAGCACACCTTGGTTTAAGAACGGACTTCCAGAACGGATTAAGTTCGTAAACCAAGGTACCACTGTATCTGGGAAAGTGGCATAGCGGTGTTTCAAAGGAGTTAGTTTTATTATTTGTTCAAATGAACCTGAAACAAAAATCGCTGACACTCCAACCACAGGATAAATCGGCGTGTGCCTCTTATGACTCCAAAACAAGTTGCTCAGCCTTGAAAGTTGCTTCCCAAAACCTGTTTGCTGATTTGTTTTTAATGTTGGGATTTATTCATTTTTAAAGCCTTACATATGAACCACTTGAGTTCATGAATTGGCTTTTATCTGTTCGATTCCATTCTTCTAATCTTAAAAATAGGCAAAGTCACCTGGAAAAACCCCTCAGACCTTCTCATCCCCAGTGAAAAATGCAGCAGCACCCAGTCTGCTGTCAACCAAGACAGTCTCTGTTCCAGCTCTGTTGAAGCAAACGCCAAAGACTTCCGCAGTGAAACAGCCACCTCCTGCCAAGGCTGCTGGCGGGGGGAAGAAAGCCGAGAGCTCAGAGAGCAGCGAGTCGTCATCTGAGAGTGAGGATGAGGCTCCCTCAGTTCCAGTAAGCCAGAAGGTTAGAAATGCATTGCTTCTACTTGAAATAATGGGATTGACTCTGCCCCACCCCCGCCCCCTCCACCTTTCCTTACATGACCTAACGCATTCAGAATTATGTGTCTTCCTTGTGCATGAAATCTCCACTTTACAGGTTGCTTTTCTCAATCCCCTGTCCTTGATCACGCTTTTTAAGAATCTCTCGGGCTGTCTCCAATTCAGTTGGTTCCTCAGTGTGTTGCCAATCTAGCTAAAGCGTAATAAGCTTGCTTTTCTGATGCTCACATTTTAACAACAGGTCATGACTGATGAAGCAAAAATGTTTTCCTTCACAACATAACGTTTATTACACAATCACTATTGGAACTGCTTTCCAAATGTTGGACTCGTGTTACTGCTCCTCACTACGAAGCTTAAAATATGTTTATAGCCCTTGTTGGTGTCACCTCGATGCTCAGAAACGCAGTTGGTAAATCTCTGCTGTTCATGATGCCCTTATTGCCTTTTGGCCTCTTGCCTCAGTTCCCTGTCCTGTCTTGGGGTATGTCTGTCCTCCGCAGCAGCTTTAAGGTCGCTGCTTTGAGTATTTAGCAGTATTTGGTCGAGTTTAGTTTCCTAAAAACTGCTGATCTTTAAGACACTTCCTGGAATTTTCAAAGCGTCAATCTTACAAACCTCCGGAATGTCAAAGGGAGCACATCTTTCAAACTCCTATATTGAATTATTGCACCCTACCCATTTTGGTTTTTTGTTGCTTTGTAGTCTTTGTTAATTTTCTGCCTTGCAAATAATTTGTGTGACCACAGGCATCTGGTTGGTGACTTGATCCAGCAGGCTTTTATCTTCTAGTGAGTCCATCTAGCTCAGTCCTGTCTACACCGGCTGGCAGTAGCGCTCCTGGATTTCAGATAGAGCCTTCCCAGCCCTACCAGGAGATGACAAGGATTTTACCTGAGACCTTCTGCATGCAAAGTCATAAACTTTAGTGATTATTAATGGAAGCAAGCAGTGATTAATGAAACCCTTTCCCAGAAGGGTTAGAGGAGGGCCTGGGTGGCACTTCATTTGGAGTATAACCAGATATGTTTTGTCATGGCAAACTGCTGTGCACTTTGGAAGCTCTGGTTTCACTATTGTTAGTTCTAGGGTCCCATGTTCGTTTTTCTGGCTCTGTCAGAGATGTGCTTTTTCCTCCTAACTCCCCCTTCTTTTTGATTTGAATAATTCTGGTCACAGAACATGATCAGAATGAGCCAGCTGGACAAGGTGTGTTGCACAGATTTCCTTGCCAGCTTATTGCATTCATTCTTGGGACACAACTGGATGAGAAGTTAAGAAAGGCTTCCAGCTGTTATAAGCGTCCGCCAGTCTTGGCATCAGCCTCTCTTAATAGATGAAAGCTGCTCAGAAAACATCTCTCTCTTTTTGCCCAGAGCCTTGTTCTACTCCCCAGCGCTCTTAAAAATGCAGTAGACCAGATGCTGGGCTGGTGGTTCTTTTTGAAATGGCTGCTTTGATTTTGCTTCCTTTGGGGGCCTTTGAACTTCAGTGTAATTCAGCCCAACTATAATGTGCCTTGCTTGCTGCGTGGCTTTCTTCTAAGGCAATTGAATGGCAAAACTGAATTTGGTGGAGGGGACAAACTTGCTTCTTGCTTTCTGCCCATACCTCCTTTCATGTTCTCATGAGCTCTTTCATGTTGTTGTTGGCATCTGTCTGTCTCGAGAGACAATGTACTTCTCCACATATCCTTAGGTCTTGTGTGCTATGTGTGTAGGCCATCCTTTATAGCACTTAACAAATCAGTGGGGTTTTGAATTGGCCGATATTTTTGTCTCATGTCATTTGGAGAAAGCAACTGAATTAATTGGAGAGATGAAACTTAAAACATTATGAAAGATCTGCATTTGAATTATAAGGAAAGGATCCTGGTGCTTTTTCAGTTCAGTTTAGTCCTTTCCATCTGCTTTGGAACATACTTCAATTTGCCAAAGCACTGTCCTCTTCTGAAACAATTTTTAATTAAAGGACAATTCAGTTAGCCCTTCTTTTTTCCCTCGAGGCTTTCCATTATATCTTTGAGCCTGAAAATGTAACTGATAGCTTGTTAATGCAACTGATAGCTTGTAATACAAATTTTTTATAATAGATAATGTCCTTTTTATAATAGATAATGTCCTTTTAAATATTTTTGTCTGTAGTGCTTGCTGTTCAAGCAGTTGAATGCTCTGGTATTTTGTTTGATAGACTCCTTCCTCCTGGGATTGCAGCCACTTTATCAAGCTTTGCAATGCCATGCTTTGTGGGGGGTTGTTTCTCACAAGCACCTAGCTGGCTGCTGTGGGAAAGAGGATTAGAGAGACCTTTGATCTGATCCAGTGGGCGGCCTCTCATGTTTTTATGAAGGGGTGTTAGAAAGTGTTTTTATGTAGGGGTGTTAGAAAGTGGCTTACATGCAGAGTTGCTTAGTTAGGGCAAGGTGAGAGCAAAGGTAAGGAGAAAAAGCCTGGAAAGATAGGATTATACATTAATCCACAGTAATAGTAATATTATTTAATTATTTAATTGTTTGTTTGTTTGTTTGTTTGTTACTTATACCCTGCCCATCTGGCCGGGCCTCCCCAGCCACTCGGGGTGGCTTCCAACAGAATTAAAAGCACAATAAAAATCAGAAATTAAAACAGCCTTCAGATGTCTTCTAAAAGTCAGATAGTTTTTTATTCCCTTGACATCTGATAGGAAAATGTTCCACAGGGCGGGCGCCACTACCGTGAAGGCCCTCTGTCTGGTTCCCTGTAACCTCATTTATCACAGTGAGGGAACCGCCAGAAGGCCCTCGGCGCTGGACCTCAGTGTCCGGGCTGAACGATGGGGATGGAGATGCTCCTTCAGGTATACTGGACCGAGACCGTTTAGGGCTTTAAAGGTCAGCACCAACACTTTGAATTGTGCTTGGAAACATACTGGAAGCCAATGTAGGTCTTTCAGAACCAGTGTTATATGGTCTTGGCAGCCGCTTCCAGTCACCAGTCTAGCTGCTGCATTCTGGATTAGTTGCAGTTTTCTGGTCACCTTTAAAGGTAGCCCCACGTAGAGCGCATTTCAGTAGTCCAAGCAGGAGATAACTAGAGCATGCACCACTCTGGTGAGACAGTCCGCGGCAGGGTCTCAGCCTGTGTATCAGATGGAGCTGATAAACAGCTGACCTGGACACAGAATTGACCTGCTCCTCCATGGACAGCTGTGAGTCCAAAATGACTCCCAGGCTGTGCACCTGGTCCTTCAGGGGCACAGTTACCCCAGTCAGTTCAATGTAACCAAGTGATTTAGTGCAGGTGGGGAATGTCCTGTACAATGTCAACCATGTAGCTGCTCTGCCTGAAACAGCCAAGATAAAAGGCATTTCAAAGCACTAGTAGCAGACAGTTGCGCAGGTTTTCTGCAGGATCACGAACCACCCGCTCCACCTGCTTCTGCAGCCAGCCAAAGCATGCCAAGAGAAGGCTCTACTTTGTTTCTTCGGCCCAATGAGCTCCAGGAGAGGAGGCGTTTCTGAAATGTGTCCTGTGCGAATTGAACTAATTTGCTCCAAGAAGAATTCTGATGCCCTAGGGCCTAGAGTGATCTAATTTAGCGTGCTTTATTTTACTTGCATTTCGTAAACAAAGCTGAAAACTTTGAAACTTGCCTAAAATTGTTCTTTCAGTTGGCATCTATTCACTGTTACTAACACATTTATGAAATGGAAAAATTTCCGCCCCATGTCACTTGGCTGGCGGGAGTTCTAGCGCGAAACATCTGAACAGCACGTGTTTCAGGAAGGCTGCTTTAAAGTATGAAATTTCATTGCTTTAGGATGCCACTTTTATGGGAGGGGGCTTTCACAGCTGTAGGATTCCCTGGGGATTCGATAGAGAATACACACCACAGTTGGGGAATACAAACCTAAAGGAATATTCCTTCACTTCAAGTCCTAAACTCTCATGTCTGAACTTGAGTTCAGGTCATGCAAAATTGTTGTTGTTGTTTAGTCATTTAGTCGTGTCCGACTCTTCGTGACCCCATGGACCAGAGCACGCCAGGCACTCCTGTCTTCCACTGCCTCCCGAGTTTGGTCAAACTTATGTTCGTAGCCTCGAGAACACTGTCCAACCATCTTGTCCTCTGTCGTCCCCTTCTCCTTGTGCCCTCAATCTTTCCCAACATCAGGGTCTTTTCCAGGGAGTCTTCTCTTCTCATGAGGTGGCCAAAGTATTGGAGCCTCAGCTTCAGGATCTGTCCTTCCAGTGAGCACTCAGGGCTGATTTAATTCAGAATGGATAGGTTTGATCTTCTTGCAGTCCATGGGACTCTCAAGAGTCTCCTCCAGCACCATAATTCAAAAGCATCAGTTCTTTGGCGATCAGCCTTCTTTATGATCCAGCTCTCACTTCCATACATCACTACTGGGAAAACCATGGTTTTAACTATACGGACCTTTGTTGGCAAGGTGATGTCATTCAAAATAGCCATGTCTATTTCAGTTGCACTTAAAAACTGTAATTATCAGTCTTTCCCATCCAGGAATATCCCTTTTTTTTTTCCTGTTTTGGGAGACAGATTGGGGGCAAATCATAAGAAACCAATGAAACTCAAATAAACTCTTCAGCCATGAAAATAAATCCTTCACTGATGGCGGGTGTGTGTGTTTTGTTTTTTCCCTGTGGTGCAGAAATTGCAAACTCCTCAGCCTCCCGCTGGAGCCAGACAAAATCAGATTGATAAACCAGGCACCCCGGCGAAAGCTGTGTCGAGTGCTTTGAAGGGGAAGGAGATGGAGAGTGAGAGCAGCAGCAGCTCATCTGACAGTGAGGAGGAAATGATTCCTCCAACACAACATAACCTGCCACCTCCTTTCGGTAAGAAGCCCCTGGTTTTCATTGGTGCTTGGGGGCCTCTTGTTTTCAGCTTCTCTGTAAAAAATTTTTGCCTGAGCATTGGGGGCTCCGGAGTAACAAACAGCTTCCCTAAGGGTAAAAGCGCGCACACCCACACCCACAAATGCGCTCTCAAGTGCCAAAACACAGGAACAGATGCCAATTATTCTGAAACTGATGTGAGGAACTTGTCAGTGTTCCAATTCTGTATTTGTTTTGTTTCAGAACATACTTCCAAATTGGCTGAAGGGACTGTACTTTTTGAGGAGGGGTGAGGGGGGGGTCTCATTGTTTCTGGTTCCTCATAGCGTATGCCAAGCAGATCCATTTCTGAGTGATGAGCTCCCCTTGGAGGCTGAAGAAAATAGCCAGTAAAAGTGGCTTCATGCTTCTTGGGCTATTCATAAAGGAACGTTGTTAGCAGCTATGAAACCCTCTCTGGAATATTCTTTGCTTTGCTGCTTCTGTGAAGTTGAAAGACTTGGTGTGAAACCATCTTAAGTCATGGGAGGAAACCAGCGTGACAGCTTGCAGAGCCAGGGAGAGCTTTGCGCTCAGTTTTTGTGACTGAGAATTTTTGTACACAGCTATCACTTTATTACTCCACACCAATGGTTTTTAGCCAGTGTGCCATGACACCCTGGGGTGCCTTGAATGATGGTCAGGGGTGCCGTGGGCAAAACTGGTCTCCTTCCCTCTTTCCTTCCCTCGCCCCTCTGATTCCCTCTTGCGTCTCTGCCTCCCAAAGGCTTGCACAGCTGTTTGTTGCAGCAGCCCTGGCTACAAGCTCCCCAGGCGAATGGTGCCTCTGGAACTGGCTAGGGGGTGTTTCCCAGGCCCCTGTGGGGCAGTGCGAGGAGTGAAGAGAGTTATCCATCCCTGTGGTACAGCATGAGCCTACACTGGATATCTCTATGTTCAGAGACTGTTTTTCAGCAAATGCTATGCCCCAAATTGCCTAGCAGGTTTCACTGTTTCATAACACGAGCAGTAAAAAATATGCCTGGAATCTTACAGTGATGAAGGAGGAGAAGCCCTGAGGGACTAGATGTTCTCCAAAATTTCGACATTCCTGTAGAAGCTGCCTCTTTCCATGAAATAATAGAACCCACTGTAAGATGTTGTGTTGCAATGTAAACCCGAGAATTCAAGGACGCTTAGCAACAGAAAAGCTGCGAGAGTGTGTGTACCCTCTCTTTGGGCCATTCCGTGGTCTTTTTGAAAGCTTATTTCTTGCAAAACCTTAAAAATGAGAGATCCAGTATGTTGCACCCAGCGGACAGAAAGAGTGGGAGATTTGGCATAGGGCAGCTCAAGTTCTGGTCTTCCCACACCCATTAAATGGCTTTGGGCAAATTCTTGGCCTAACTTTACATTTCAGCGTTGCTTAACGATAAAATGCATGTAACTTCAGTGCATACCACCCCAAGTTTCATGGAGGTAGGTTGGGACACACATGTAGTGACATAGTACAGTGGAACCTCGGTTTTCAAAGGTAATCAATTCCAGAAGACTGACTTCTGAAATGTTTAGAAACTGAGGATCAATGGGCGGTTGGCAAAATCCATTGAAAAAATGGGAAAACACACAGCAGAGGCCGTTCAACTTCCAAGGCACGTTCGAAAATGGAAGTAATTACTTCCGGGTTTTTGGCGTTCAGGTTCTGAATTGTTCAGGTTCCGAGACGCTCGAAAACCACTGGTTCCACTGTAGCATGCTTGAATAGTGCATATGATTTAAACGTGTGCTGCACTGACTACTGCTTGGTGTCTTAAAACCATCACCTCTCATCTTTCAAAGCATGGGTTGCATCTGTTGCTAGGCCTACACAGAGTAGACCCATTGAAACGACTAGTTTAGATCCATCAATGTCAATGTTTACTCTGAAACGTAATTTCTATGTTTACTCTGAGTAAACCACGGCTGAATATGACCTTGTGTGAGTTATTAGGATTTCTGGCGCGGCTCTTAGTCTTTTCCCTGCTACCCTTTGGCACCAGCGCACAGGAGGCAGGAAGCTGCCTTATCCAAAGTCAAGCTCTTCGTCCATCTTGCCCAGCATATTCTACTCTGACTGGCAGCAGCTCTCCAGAATCTCCAGCAAAGTACTTTTCCTCATCACCTGCAGCAAAAGATGGAACCTGGGACATTCTGTATGCCAAGCAAGTGTTTCCCACTGAACTATGACCCCTTTCCCTGAGTTAACATGCATTTGCAATGCCTTTCTTTTTGCCACCATGATCATGGAAAAGAAGAGTGTGTGAGGTTTTAATGGAGATATTGGGAAACTTCCCCCACAATTTTATCATGTTTGGTCTATCTGAACTAACTGTACAAAGATGAGGCATTACTGCACTGCATGGCTTGGCTATTTTCTTTTTTTTCCGGGGAGCTTAGACCAGCTAAAGGTTAAAGGAATTGTCCTTCAATGAGTTCTCTTTTCAGTTGCAGTGCAATGGATTTGCTTTTTTAAAAAGGCTTTCATCTAAAAATCTTTCTCTCCTGCTTGTAGGTTTGACAGGTTTTGTAGTTTGGGGAGGGGGAATACCAGGCAGCAGCTTATCTGTCACCAGCAGGTAGCTGCTAATAAGATCTAGACTTCACGGCTGCAGGCTGGATCCCAACAGACTTCCTGACATACCGTATTTTTTGCCCTATAAGACACACTTTTTCCCCTCCAAAAATGAAGGGGAAATGTGTGTGCGTCTTATGGGGCGAATGCAGACTCCTTGGCTTCAGCGATAGCAACGCGAAGCCTCCGAAGCCTGCACTCCGGAGGCTTCGCGTTGCTTCCGCTGAAGCCAGGAGAGTCTGCTCTTTGAGGCTGGCGGTGGGGGAAAGCAGCGCTTCCCCCATCGCCAGCCCCAGAGGATGGGCGGCAGCAGGAAGGCGCGCGACGCCTTGCCGCTACTCTCCAACCCGGCTTCGAGGCTGGCGGTGGGGAATGTTGGTTTCTGCTTTCCTTCACTGTGCAGCTCTGCTTGTCACGAGACAGGTGTTTACATTCCACAGTCTGTACTGTTGGAGTTTCTCACGGGAAAGGGAGACTGGATGTGACGTACACTGGTTTCCTGTTTTTCACTGTCGTGTGATTCTCTCCGAGCTGTCGAGGAGAGAGGATGCATTTTCTGCTCCTGCAGAGGCAAGATGTCTTTCTGTAATATACCAGCTTTGAACTGTAAATAAAGCAATATAGAGTATGTAGCACGTATTCCTCATCCTTCCGCTGGGCACGACAGACTCTGCTTTAAATCAACACGTGGTTATGGGCCCAGAGGTCGAATCGGAGTGCCGGCAAAGGATCGGAATGCAGAGGGACGGATCGGAAAGGAATCTGCTCTGCGCGTAGAAGTGATTGATGAGGTATGTGCTACTGCTCCGGGCAGCCTGCCAGCTTCAAGTTAATGGCTTTATGGCTGGACTTTGAACTTTAAAGCCGGTTTTGCCGGGAACAGGCAAAAGGCTCCCAGGCACAAGTCACTATGCTGGGGAAATCGAAGTAACTTTTAAGTGCGCTTTTGTAATAAAGCAGCTGCAGCAGTGACGCAGCAAGATTTAAAGCAGCAATATATGACGCTGAAGGCTAATGCCAGAGTCATGATGGCCCTTCAGGATGCTTGTGGGATTCCTAAGCTCAACAAGAAAAATTACAGCGACTGGGTTCAGTATGCAGAGGCAATTCTGCGGAAAGAGGGTTTGTTTGAGGTGATTACAGGAACCCCCCCAGTTCCAGTTACAGATGCATGGAAAGCTAAGGATTCCAAAGCAAGGGGAACTCTTACATTGATAGTATCCCCAGAAGAGCTCTGTCTATTGCGTGATAAGACCTCAGCCAGAGAAATTTGGGACGCTCTGAGAGAGGCTCACTTAAGGACAGAAGCTGGATCCACTATGTTTTACTTTAACAAGCTGCATAATATGGCTCTTGCTGAAGGTGGAGATGTGCGTTTACATCTGATGCAGATGCAAAATCTGAGACATGAGCTGCAACAGAGAGGACTCAACTTTCCAGAGGCTGTGTATTCTTTCATGATACTACAATCTTTGGGTTCAGGTTGGGAGTCTGTTGCAACCCAGATTGCTGTGCAACCAACTGCTCAGCTGACAGTGGACTTTGTTACTGCCGTGATTTTAAATGAAGCAGATCGCCGGGGTGCTAGCTGCATGGGCAAGGGGGAGTCTTCACAGACGTCATCCCATAGTGCAGTGGAACCACCAGATGGCGCCAAAGCTTTGAAGGCAGTGAAATGCTACTCGTGTGGACGTCTAGGCCATATGAAGAGGGAATGCAGACATCCCAGGGCCAAGACAGAGCAGCGCAGCGAAAGCTCATCGCGCGGAAAAGGCCGAGGCAAAGGCAAAGGTCCGGTGTCTAGGACAACGCAGCACAAGGCTATGGTTTCACGCTTCACTCCAAAGGTTGCAGAGGTCCAGAAGACGTCTAGATCTTTCTTCGTTGTTGATTCAGCGGCCACCCACCACATGTGCAACGATAAGAAACTGTTTGTGTCTTTTACACCGCAGGAAGGTGCGATTCACCAGGCGGATGACCACACTATTCCCAGTAAAGGCTACGGAACTGTTGTTCTTCACAGTTTGGACTTATCGATACAGAATGTGCTTTACGTGCCAGACGCCAAACATAATCTGCTCAGCGTTGGACAGCTGAATGAGCGGAACATTGACGTTTCCTTCAAGAACAAGAAGTGCATCATCACAAAGAAAAATGATTATGTATTGCATGCAGAATATGTTGATCATTTGTTTGTTTTGTATTATGATGATGTGGTGCAGGATGACACTTGTTGCATTGCAGGTTCTAACAAAAGTTTGCATGCAGAATGTATTCACGATTTTCATCGAAAATTTGGTCATTTGCATTTTGAGGCAGTATCTAAAATGCCTGCCTTGGTTGAAGGTATGACTATTAAACCCTGCAGGTACCACATGAAGTGCAAAGCATGCGCAGCAAACAAGGTGAAAATGGCTGCGAAAGGTAAGGTGTCTAGTAGGAAAGCTACAGAACCATACCAGGTTGTTCATGCTGATTTGGTTGGACCACTAGCGCCCTCTTTGGGTGGAAATAGATACTTCATGGTTCTCATTGATGCATTTTCTAGATATATTTTTGTGTACAATCTCAAGCAGAAATCGGAGGCTTTTCCTAGGTTCAAGGAATTCTGTGCTTGGTTGGAAAATGTGCATGGTAAGAAGATAAAGACTCTTTTCAGTGATCGCTGGGGGAATTCACTTCTCAGCAGTTTGAAGCTTTTCTGACTGAGAAAGGAATTCAACACGATTTGTCTAGTCCTCGCTCGCCATGGCAGAATGGACTTGCGGAACGGGCAAATCAGACATTGCTTCAAGGGTTAAAAACCTTGCTGCATGATGCCAATCTTCCAGAGAGTTATTGGGCCGAATCTCTCTCGTGTTTTGTTTACAGTTACAATCGCAGGTTATCTTCAGCGATTGGTTGTACTCTCTATGAGAAGATGTTTGGCAAGAAGCCATACATCAAACACATGAAGATTTTTGGTTCTGACATGTGGGTTCGCTCACCACAAAACTCCAAGTTAGACAAGCGTGGATTGCATGGTATCTTTCTAGGTTATCAGAAAGGGTCTTACAGAATAATGATGACTGACTCTAAGACAATTAAGCTCACGAGAAGTGTTGAGTACAATGCAAAGTGGGGGAGAATGTGGGAATTTTCCAATGTTATCCTGATGACGGTGATGAGACTGAGGATAGTCAAGCAACCACAACAGCCCACACCCACTGATGAAGGTTCTGAGTCTGAATCTGAAACTGAATCGGGTGATTCAGAGGATTTCAAGAGTGCGAAAGCCTCTATGCGACCCTCTGAAAGCTCTGATCAAGAATTGGAGGAACCATTGTTCACAATAGGTCGTTTTTCTCCTAAGAAGGAAGAGGAGAGTGTTGAAGACTTAAGGCTAATTCGTAGGTCACAGAGAGCTACAAAAGGCAAACCTCCAAAGAGATTTGCTGATGAGTTTGCTAAGATAGCAGTAACAGCTGTTAAAAGCTCCAAGAAGGTATTTGAACCTTCAAGTTTCCAAGAAATCCAGGGTTTGGATTCAAAGGAAGCTGAGCCATGGTTAAATGCCATGAAGGCTGAGCTTGATTCCTTAGAAAGGAACAAAACATGGGAGCTAGTTCCAGTAGTTCCAGGAATGAAACTGCTTGAAGCAAATGGGTCTTCAAAGCGAAGACAGATCAAAATGGCAAGATAGTCAGACACAAAGCCAGATTGGTAGCCAGAGGTTTTGCACAGGTACCAGGTGAAGACTATCACGAGACCTATTCACCCACAGTGAGATATGAAAGCATTAGGCTTATGCTCAAGCTAGCTGCAGAGGAAAATCTACACATTAGTCACCATGATATTAATACAGCTTTTCTGTACGGATCTCTAGATGAATCACTTTATATGCTTCCACCTGATGGCGTACAGGTAAAACAGGGATTTGTTTGTGCTCTGAAGAAATCCCTTTATGGTCTCAAACAAAGTGCACGGTGTTGGCACACAAAACTCACTGAAGTATTGTTTTCTCTAGGTTTTCAGCAAGGGAAAGCTGATCCATGTGTATTTGTCAAAGAGGAGGGGCAAAAGAAACTGTACTGTTTGTTTTATGTTGATGATTTATTATTCTTTTGGAAAGATGTCGCAATGTACAATAGCGCCCTAGCTCAACTGAAAGAGCACTTTGACATGAAAGATCTTGGTGAGGTAAACAACTACCTATCTCTGGAAATAGAGAGAGATCAAGATGGTAACATTCTAGTACACCAGTCACGGAAAATTGCTGATGTGTTAAGCAAACTAAATCTGATGGATGCTAACCCTGTAGACACACCGATGACAACAGGTTATCAGGTAGATGACACTGAAGAAGCATTTTCTGACACTACACTGTACAGGAGTGTGCTAGGCAAGCTAAACTTCATTGCCAGATGTTCAAGACCAGACATTGCTGTTAGCTGTAATTTGCTAAGCAGACAAGTCAACAATCCTAGTGTCAAGGATTGGAAAGCTCTGAAACGCATAGCGCGGTATTTGAAAGGCACTATGCATTACAGACTGAGATTTAACAATCAGAAGTCTGGTGGTCTTGAGATATTTGCAGATGCAAGTTTTGGAAGTGACGCTACAGACAGGAAAAGTACGTCTGGAGTTTGCTACATGTACAATCAGAGTCTGTTTGATTGGTCATGCAAGAAGCAAACAACAGTTAGCTTAAGTACTTGTGAAGCCGAACTGAATGCACTGTCTTATTCACTTAAGGATTGTGAATGGTTAGTACAATTGTGCAAAGATATGAAAATTCCTGTCAAATGTCCAATCCAGGTTTACCAGGACAACAAAGCATGTTTGGCTTTGCTGAAGTCTGAAGGTTGTAAGCAAAGCACAAAGCACTTGCAATTAAAGTTGCAGCATGCTAGGGAATGTATTCAGAAGGGACTCGTAACGGTGTCCTATATGCCAGGTAATGAAATTCCTGCTGATGTATTGTCCAAGCTTGTATCGAGGATCAACACTGTACCTATGTGCAGAAGTTGGGTTTGTACTGATATTGTACAAACACGCTGCCCAGTGATGTTCACAGAAAGGGGAGGATGTTGGTTTCTGCTTTCCTTCACTGTGCAGCTCTGCTTGTCACGAGACAGGTGTTTACATTCCACAGTCTGTACTGTTGGAGTTTCTCACGGGAAAGGGAGACTGGATGTGACGTACACTGGTTTCCTGTTTTTCACTGTCTGTGTGTGATTCTCTCCGAGCTGTCGAGGAGAGAGGATGCATTTTCTGCTCCTGCAGAGGCAAGATGTCTTTCTGTAATATACCAGCTTTGAACTGTAAATAAAGCAATATAGAGTATGTAGCACGTATTCCTCATCCTTCCGCTGGGCACGACAGACTCTGCTTTAAATCAACAGGGAAAGCAGCGCTTCCCCCATCGCCAGCCCCAGAGGATGGGGGGCAGCAGGAAGGCGCGCGACGCCTTGCCGCTACTCTCCAACCCGGCTTCGAGGCTGGCGGTGGGGAAAGCAGCGCTTCCCCCATCGCCAGCCCCAGAGGATGGGGGGCAGCAGGAAGGCGCGTGACGCCTTGCCGCTACTCTCCAACGCGGGTTTGAGGCTGGTGGTGGGGAAAGCAGTGCTTCCCCCATCGCCAGCCCCAGAGGATGGGGGGCAGCAGGAAGGCGCGCGACGCCTTCCCACTACTCTCCAACCCTCCTTTGGGCTTTTGCAGGAGATGGGGGAATTCCCCCACCTCCTGCAAAAGCAGAGCCGCACGCCTTAAGGGCTCGCGCTTGCGGGCTTTCAGGAGGTGGGGAATCCCACCTCCTAGAAGCCCGCAGGAGCCACACCCTTAAAGAGCGAGCGGCTCTGGGGCTTTTCTAGGAGGAGAAGGGACTGACTGGCAGAGTCAGTCCTCTCTCCTGCGGCTTTTGCGGGAGATGGGGAATTCCCCACCTCCTGCAAAGCCCGCAGCCTCACGCTCTTTAAAGGCTCACGGCTCTGCGGGCTTTCTACGAGCTGGGAATTCCCACCTCCTAAAAGCCGCAGGGCCGCACCTTTAAAGCGCGCGTCTTGGGGCTTTCCGAGGAGGGAGAAGGGACTGACTGGCCGTTTCAGTCCCTTCTCCCTCCTGGTCGAAAAGCCCGCAGGAGTCACGCGGGGCTCCTGTGGGCTTTTGCGGGAGGTGGGGGAATTCCGCCACCTCCCACAAAAACAGGGAGAAGGTCTTGGAGTAGCGCACAGGCTGCGTGCAGCCTGTCCACTGCTCCCAGAGCTGCGGGGGGGAAATCATATTTTTTCCCTTGATTTCCCCCCCTGAAAACTAGGTGCATCCTATGGGCCGGTGCGTCCTATAGGGCGAAAAATACGGTATTTGTCCAGAAGCTGGAGGGGAAGACGTTTCTCGGTTCGGGGTCCAGCTTTTCTAGTGGGACCATGAACTGCGATGATCTCCAATTCCTTCCTGTTTTTCTTCAACCAGTACTAGGAAATCACCAGCAAGCACTGACATGACCTTTCCAAGAGAGCAGCGGCTGTTCCTGAAGTCTGTGTTTCACTTCCTTTCTGTTCCTTTTTTTCATTTAAGAAGAAATGGCTGCAGCCACAGGTCCAGAGTGCATGAGCTCCTATCTACAGATGAAGCTATCTTATCATAAGAAGCTGCCTCAATACCAAGTCAAGCCATTGTCTTATCTAACTCAGTATTGTCCACAACAGATGGGGAACCTGTGGCCCTCCAGGTGTCACTAAACTCCAGTTTCCGCCTCAACCAGCATTGCCCAATGGTCAAGGATGATGGGAGTTGTAGTCCAACAATATCTGGAGGGCCTAATGTTCCTGGACTGCAATGGTCAGCAGTGGCTCTTTAGGGTTTCAGGCAGAAATTGTTCCCAGCCCTACCTGGAGACACCAGGGATTGAACCTGCGGCCTGCCTGCAAAGCATATGCTCTGGCACTGAGCTGCAGCCCCCTTAAGCTTTAACCCATTGAGCTGTTGTCTCACCTCCTTATTTCCTTTTAGCAACCAAGGCAAACGCTGCACCTCAGGTGGTGTCTGCTGCAAAGTCCCTGCCCTCACCAGGAGGACCACTTCAGAAGGCCCAGGAGAGTGAAGACAGTAGCCAGGATTCTAGCGATGAGTCTGACTCTGAAGAAGACAAAGTGTTCACCCAGGTAACTGAGAAAGCAAGGAGGGCAGAAACTTCCACCTCTATAACTCCGGCTGTGCTTCTCATCCTGGTCCTAAGCTCATGGTTGCTTGCTTTGCAAAGCTTGAGGCGTGTGCTTGCGTCTGGTGTGTTCAGAACCATTTTTTTTAGAATATAAAAAGAAAGCCTCGAAAATTTGCTGATTGGCTGTTTAGCATGGAATGAGGATGAGGATCTGGAATTGGCCTCCTGCTTCTGAAAATCTGACAAGTGGGACGTTGGCTTCTTCAAAAGATCTGGCTTTGAGATTGTGAAGGGGTTGCTGTGTGTGCAGGGCCCCTTTTGCTCACAGTTGCTCATTCAGGTAACGGACTGTGTGCACTCACAGCCCCTAGCTATAGATTTGGGCATTTGTGTTTACTCAACGGCTGTGCCATTCAGCTCAGGCTGTAGGACACAGAGTGAGAATGAAGTGGTCGTGGTCGGCTAGGAACACTCCTCTGGCCTTGAGGTTGCATGGAGCTCTACCTAGTGCTTGCAGATAGTTGGATTGCTTTTTTCTAGTAGCCTTGTTGTCCCCTCCCTCCCCAAATTTCTGTTCCACATTTTGGATTCCAGATCTGCTTCTGAAAACAGTTCTAGGGCTTTCCACTCTTAAAAGCCACTGTTCCTTGGAAGTCTCAAAAAAGAAGAAACAGGCAGGTGCTTGGGTAGAACCAGTGCAGGAGTTGCCAAGACTGTTCCTAGTGGTGAATAAATACGTAGTTATTATTTTGCACAGCTGACAGATTTGGGTTTTAAAAAAATAATAATATTGTTTTCGTTAATCCAAGTATAACATATACAACACGGCTGAAGCATATAATACAATATATGCATGCTGGATGCATAAAATATATTTTATATTATTGTGCCAGGTGTAGCATATTATGAAGAACACATGAAAACCCCACAAAAACTCCAGCCAGTGGTGCAGGTTGGGAGAGGCTGGTAACCAACAATCTGAATAGTATTTTGTCTGAAAATTAAAAATCTAGGGAAGGCTTGCAGCTTACATACAGGGTTGCAAAAAACAAAACAAAACACCATTCTGTTTCAGAATGTGTCTTCAATGTTCTAAGCGTTACTGAAATGTACCCAAGCTAGCCATGTATTATTTTTGTAAGCAGCTTTGGGTCAGTTTTGTTAGGAAAATGACTAATTATATATTATTATCAATAATAATAATGTCTGTTAATTTCAGTGGGTCTACACTGAGTATAACAGCCCATTATACTTATGAGCACCATTACTATCACCTTGCTTCTTGGGGGAAGCAACTGTGGTCTTCTTAATGGAGGCAGCAATTAAACTTTTTTTTAAAAAAAACCCTTAAAAATGTGAGGTGAATGGCAACATAAGGGCAAGTAGAAAGATGGAGCAGAAATTTAACAACATAAAATAAATATATGTGCATATTTTGTTATATGTTGTATTTGTTGTTTGGTAACCTAGACCTTCACAGAAATAAATTCCCTTGAGTTTCTATGCATATAGAGCTTCTGCTCTTGTCACAATCTAATTATGTAATAATCCTCCCTTTTCCTAGAAACCAGCTCAGGAAACTCTGAAACCCACACCCGCTCCTGCGAAAGCTCCAGCTGCAAAGATGGCAGGTGCCACATCAGGCAAAGCAGGCAATGCTCAGCCAGCAGGAAAAGTTGGAACAGCAAGCCCAATGAAGCCTGCAGCTGCCTCTCTCCAGAAAGCTGCAGAGAGCTCAGAGACCGACAGCTCTGATTCTTCAGAGGATGAGGTGGCGGCTGCAAAGCCTGTGAAACAGGTAAAAAGAGAATCCGTTCTGCTGCACAGAATCAAAGAGTGCAGCTGTACTAGTGACTCAGACTTCAGGTGTGAAGCTGCCTGGTCCCCAGCACTAATGACACCTTTCCCTTCTCAATAGCTTCTTGAGGCAGTGGGGATACTAGTGTCATAAGGGTCCATGGTGACTGTCATTGTCCATAGGCACTTTGGTAGGGCTGCTTTACTTCTCTCGGCATGGATTTCCCTTGCCTTTCTCCCATCACCTCTGATCTTTCTTAAGTGATAGCACTTTACTGCCAATTATGTAAATTCTTGTCTTTTGTTTATTGCAACATTTATATCCCATCCTTCTAGTATAAACATGCCACTTGGGTGGCCCAAAACCGATAAAAATTACAAATCCATTAAAAAAAGTATAAAAATTACAAAAGAAACAGAGATCAGTCATTTTATCTCCCGATACCAGCGTTGGAAGTTGTTAATATAATAATGTGCTTTTTTAAAACAAAAAATAAAGATCAACTACTTGAGCTTCATTGTTGCTGGCCTCCTAAGGAATACCCAGTGATGGGGAACGGAGTTGCCCTGAAGATTCGCATTGTTCATGTGTGATATGTGGCAATAGAAACAATAATGTTTGAACCTGCTTTCTTTAGGCATAAGAATAGTCCGTTAATTCCAAGAATGGCTGGTTGTGAAGTTTGCACCCTCTTCTTTTAACTTCTAATGGACATTTCTGATTTTGTATCTTCCTGCAGCCCCCCATTCACCCCTTTTTTCTGCCGAAAGCAGTAAAAACACCTGCTCCTCCAGGGAAGCGTGCACAGGCCAGCTCTAGTACACCCAACTCTGTTTCCACCAAGTGCCAAAGCCCTGCTTCAGTAACAACGGGGAAGGTGGAGCAGAGCTCCTCCAAGAAGCCTAAACTAAGCCAAGCTCCACCTGATAAACCTGATGGGCTCCTTAAGCACAAGGAGAGTTCTGGAAGCAGCAGTTCCTCAGATAGCGAGGAGGAGGCATTGAAAACCGCCAAGCAAATCCCACAGCCTGGTAAGAGACGAGATGGGGGGAATTCCAGTCCCCTTTGAATGCGGCAAGCACAGTGAAGAGATGCAACAAGACAGCAGTGCCCCCGTGAGAGGGGAAGCTGAGAAGGATCCTACCCTATTCATGGCATGTTTACAGAGGGTGTTTAGCCATCTGAAAGCCACAGCCTCTCACCTGTTATCTTGGATGTTGAGGGGATAGGCATTCTTGTTCATCCTTAGGGGTGCACCATGTATCCCAAGACTGAGCCAGGGAAATAGGTGATGAGGGTAAACCATGACTCCAGTTAATCCTCCCCACCCTCAGTGGCTATTTCACATTAGAAATTAGATAGATAGATAGATAGATAGATAGATAGATAGGTAGCACAATTGGCCAAGTCTCAATGGGAGAGATTCCTTGGTTATATCTTCATTTTGTCTTATTACAAGGGCACTAGAGAAGAACTTTATGGTTTTCCTTCTCACAGTGTTTTCTTGATCTCACAAGGAGATTTTCTTGTTTGTTTTTTTAATTTAAAAAATTGCCCTCAAAGAAACCCTAAGTATGCCGAACCTTCTTTAGGAGACTAGTTCTAGATGCGAGATGTGGAGCACTGTAGAATTTGGCACAATTCCTTTAGGAAATGTGGCCCCTAAGTGGGCTGCCTGTGGTAATTCAAGTAGTCTTGAAAGTGGTCTGCCTCTTCGCTGGGCCCAAGGGTCACGTAGCTCTTGTCCCAATAACTCCCTCACTTGCCTATCTTGGGGAAAAAACGAAAAGTAAGGAAAGTTTGGTATTCCTATAGCACAGCTAAAGCAACCCCAGTGGCCATCACCTAAACTTCTATGTACCCTTTGCTGCGACTACCTTGGCAATGTTGGGATGGGCAAACTCTGTGGGTAAAAGTTCATAAGGCTCTTGGGTTGGCACTGTCTCCACAGTTAGATACTCTTTGTGTCACAACAGTTTTGCAGCAGTAGAAGTACCACAGATGGCAGTTTTCCCTCTTTTCTTTCTCTTTTAGCAAGCGTACCACAGAAACAAGAAGTGGGGGGGAAGCCAGAGAGCTCATCTGAAGCGACCAGCAGTGATGAAGACCAGGAGGCTTCGCAGGTATTGCTTCCTTATTGATGGGGGCTGCATGCTGAGAAGACAGCTCTTAACACTGGCACACATTCCATTGGGCTGCATTTGATGTTTTGTCTTAATGGTTCATGTCTGCACAAAGGATTTTTTAAGATGGATGGTAGTACTATAAGGCTTGGCCTCATAGCTATAAGTAATGCCAGCAAGGTGTGGACTTCACCATTCAACTGCATGGTTATCTGCTATTAACACCATACAGACTGGAGTTTTGCTCACTTCAGCAGTCTGGGGCCTGGGGGATCAGTCTTGAACCCCATCTGGAGACACAATAGCCCTGTCTCACACTTTCATAAGGGAAGACTGCAGTGAGCAAGAAGGGCATTTTACTGGTCTTGTAAATGCATCAGATGTTAAGTGTGATTGGTAAAAATAGTTCTTACAGCTGCTTACTCAAGCCTGGTGAAGGAAGGTCTCCCCTATCTGCAAGCTGGTGAGGGAGGCATGCAACTAGATAAGAAATGTAAGGTTATATTAGTGCAGGACAAATGGGTTCAACATTTATTGTACGTTTTATATTAAAAATTGGTATTGACATTACTCATAAGAAAACTGAGAATAGGAATAGGTTCAGCAAAGGTGTCGTCATCTTAAATGCACCTGCTGAACGGAATGAGAGGTTCTTCCTGGAAGTAGAATCTTGATTATATCTGTGTCTGACCTCATGTTAACCTGCCCTGCCTGATTAAGGGAGAGGTCCAGGGTGAAACTGCAGGGCTAGGCAACGGTTAAACAAGGGGAGCTGTGTTAGGCAAACGGCAGCAATTCTTTATTTGCAATTTAAGCCATGTCTAAGCTATAAAATTTCCTTTTATGAGCAGCATATAGTATGAGCTGTACATCTGCGACGCATTAGACTTGCATGTGAGCCTGGGAGTGTGGTAATGGTCAGCAGCCTCCCCTATGCATGCTTAACAGGGAGAGAACAGAGAAGCAAATTTACTGCGTGTGTTGTAAACCCATAAAATACTGGTATAAATGCTCTCTCTCTCCCCCGCTGCCTCCCAATAGGGGGAATGGAAGCATTGGACAGGTTTTTCTGTCCCTGTGCCTTTCTCCAGCTATGCTTCCTCCAGTGCCTGTGAGCTGCTTCCTTGCTTCTACCCTCACTGGGGCAGGCAGGGGCGGGACTCGTCATGTGTTTTCCTTCACGGGCTCAAAAGAGGCAGAAAATGGGGCTGTGAAGGAGGAGGTGACCTGGGCTTGCTCGTGGAATTTGTAGCGTCACTGTAAAGTTCTGTATCAGCATTTCAAGACCTACGAATCTACAACATGCTTTTCTCAGATTGGGAGCCAGAGGAAGCAAGATCGTGTCTCTGGGCAGTGGCATGCGGTGACATTTTTGTAGGGGGACAGTTACGGCCAGTTGCCTTGGGAAATTATACCGGTAGATAGTACCCAGCATTTTTTAGAATAGTTTCAGGCTCCACCCAACTGTCAGCATTCAGTGGAGCTGCTTTTACAGTATTCAATGTGTCCAATATTTGGCAGGGGAAAGTATTAGAACAGAGCGATCATACCTTCCCAGCACTTAATTACTTGATATGGTTTTTTTTAAAGCCACGCATATCCTACACACGACGATCCCCCACTCCTAGATCCTCCTATCCCCTTACTCTAGAATGGCCTTGAACAGGCAGCAGTCACTTGAGAGGATGCCACTCTGCACATGTTCAGAGGCATCAACTTTCACCACCCTCTTCTACTGACATCAGTAGAACTTAACGGTTTAAGTAGTAGGGTTCAGCTTGTTACGGGCAGAACTGTACTGATAAAGCAAATTTCTGAACATATGTCAGCCTCTGCAATTCATTTTGTCATTCCAGTGGGTCCTAATGGTCACAAACAACTACATACCATCCTTTGGGTTTAAAGCTTCTTCTGCAGAATGAATGGGTCTGAGCATCACCAATTTTAGATAGATATATATACTCCACAAACAGCTGGGGCAAGGTGGAGGTGAGTGTAGACAGTACAGAGCTAGAGGGGCCATCAGTCCGCTTCATATAATCAGGCCGCTCTGTGCCACCAGATCACCAGACACGCCCTCAGACCTGCCATGCAAGGAGTGCAGCCCTCTGGCTTGCCTAGAGTGGACTAAAGAAGAGCCTCAAGAAGTAAAGTGGGAGGAGGGAGGAGAGGAGAAGCAAGAAGGTGGAGGGAGGAGAGAGAAGGAAGGGTTTCTTCCAGAAATGAAGCACAGAGGTTTGTGTGTGTGTAATTTTACCAGAATAATGGGGAGCTAAGCTAATCCCTCTAGTCCACAGACTGCACGCCACTGGATCATCTAGGAAGCTTGGGGGGGGGGGGGAGATGCTAGACCCTTTGGGAGGCATGTTTTTTGTGATGATGGTGCAGATGATCCCGGGTCCCAGCGGGCTTAAGGCTAGTCATAACTCTACCTGAAAGTTTAATTCACTAGTATGTCCTAGTGACACCCCCACCTCCCTGCAAAACTTTTCCCTCCTCCTGCAGGAATTAGCGACTTAATTGGTCCATAAGTCAAGGTTGAGTATCTGCTTTGCATGCAGAAAGTCCCAAGTTCAATCCAGCCTGCAACCCTGGAGAGCTGCTGTATAGACCAGGAGGAGCCAACCCGGTATCCTCTAGATGGTGCTGGACTACAACTCCGTCATCTCTGGCCATTGGCCATGGGAGCTGGGGCTGATGAGAACAGGAATCCAATGACCCCTGGTCTAGGCTCAGCTGAGCCAGATGGACCCAATGGACCCAAAGGCCTATGTTCCTGTTGTCTTCTCAAGGGCAGATGGGGCTCGTCAACCTGGGAAGGTAGCCCATCTAGGAGAAGGAAAACTCTGATCCTAAACCCCTGGGAGAAGAAAGGGCTAAGGAGTAAACTACACAAATCTGGAATGGAGTCTCTAAGACAGTTGGATGGAGCCTTGTACGCCTCCTTCCAACAACAACTGCAGCCAAGCTGCTGCCAATCATAGAGCTCTGCTTTCCTTTGGACAACATCAGCGAGATTGAGAGTGGGGTCTTGCCATCTGGGCAGTCCAGGACTTCATACACACAGCCCAGGCTTATGCCCCGGGGAAGTCACTTCAGTGCTGCTAACGCAGCAGTTGGACTTCACCCCCGGAGACACACTCCATTGTCTCTCGAGACAGGCGGATGGCAACATGGCATTGTCTTCTCAACCTGCCCTGACAATTCCTTGCTCATGCTCTTCCCACCTTACACCAATGCTCTGAGGCCTCATTAAAATGAAGAGAAGCAGAGGTTGAAGAACCACATTCCTGGATTCTCACCTGTCAATATTGCAGCAGGACTATGAAAAAGTATCCAGTTAAGTGGCTACCCGGTGGTGATTTGTAAGGTACCACTTACATGTTCTTCAGCTTGAAGATGGATAGCAGCATCCCTCAATAACTTCCAGTTCCTAACTTGTGTATGTGTTCTTTCTCCTCCCCACCCCCTGCCCTCCTCTAGTCCCTCTTACAGGGCTTCGCGGGCCCTATAAAGACCCCACTGCCCACTCTGCCGAAGGGTGCTGCTCCTGCGCTATCCAAACAGAGTTCCAGAAAAGCTGCCTCTGCTCTTCGTGGTCCTCCCATCAGCATGGCTTCTGGCGACAGCTCTTCCAGTGACAGTAGCGACTCGGACGCCGATGCTAAGGAAAAGGTTGGGCAGAAGACAGGTTAGTCTTGGAGGGTGAATCCTTACAGAAGGGCTGGAGGAGAGGAATGTTCAAGTAAATCAGTCATGATGTGATATGGGCACAGGTCTACTTGTCCCAACCGCCTGAGAGCTCTCATATTCAGCACAAAGTGAGGAAGTCCCCATTTCTCAGCTTGGGGGGTGGGCAGGAGGAGGGGTTAAAGCAATGAGTCTCAGCTGCTACTTTTCCCTCCTCCCAAACTCAGTGTGGCATGAAACTTCTGACATCTTCCACTCGCTGCGGGAGGAGGGAGAGAGTATAGCAGCCACAGATTTCTGCATGGACATATTTAGTGACTCTCCTCAGGTGGGTGGGGACAGTATTTTGCACTGAAGGGTTAACCCCATGCAGTGTGTTTGTTCTTAGCTTGCACGCCATAGCCGTAGCATCACCCTTAAGGTCACTCGTCTGAAGATGGCAGCTGTGTTCTGAAGTGTGGCATAGGGGGTCTGTGTCACGTGAGATAACTAGCTCTTTTAACATCCCTAGGCTTAGGTAATTTAGGGGGCTCTGCCCTGTTTTTGACCGAAAAGGTGGTTTTCACAAGCAAGTGGGGGGAAATCTCTTCTAAAAAGCTAAAAGTTTAGCACTTTGGAGTCATGGTGTCTGAAGTGCAAGGCTTCCGTTTGTGTCCTGGGATTCTGTAAAGTTCTGTGACCAAGAACATGAATCGTTAAAATAAGGGCTAGTCGGCACAAGCAAGTCTTCTGCTGCCACCTGTTGGACATCCGTCAGGAACACATCAGGCATGCTTTTTGTGTGTGTGTGTGGTCTTATGAATCCCTTGGGCAGGACACCTGAAGGGAATAACTGATAGGTGTTGGATTTGTGGATCATTCCCCAGGGTTACTAGCGAGAGTCAGTGTGTCCTCCTACCTTTCCTCTTTCTGATTCCTTTCTTAAATTGTTATATGGCCAGCTAAATGAGCAAACTGTCACACAACGTAGCTGCTAAAATAGGAAAAAGACACACTTTATTTCTTGCTGAATGCTGGCAAAACATGGGCTACAGGACGCTCTTGTTGACTGGGTTTGGACGCTATGATAAACTCTGGGTTTCTTCTGATGGCAGTCAGCCTAGGCAACCTCTGTCTTGTTTGGATTTGTTCACCCTCATCCAGTCCATTAGTGAAGACAGGCATCACTTTAGTACTAAGGCAGCTTCCTTGGATTAGGCCTGGGCGATATATCAGTATGAGGGGCAGACCGCGATGACAGTTTCACTCAGCGGTATATCGCTGGTGAAACCACCGCCTTCCGAGTCCTGCTGCTGCCAGCGCCAAGGGAGAAACAAGCTGCAGCTGGAGGCAGAGGGACTCAGAAGGCCGCGGTTTCACCAGCGATACACCGCTGAGTGAAACTGCCATCGTCTGCCTTCGTACCAGCAGAGGGAGAGACAAGCTGCATCTGCGAGGTGCCAATACAGCTTGTTCCTCCCTCTGCCTCTTTAAACTGCTTGGCTGAGGAGTGTGCCACTGCCCTCGCTTCAGCCAAGCAGTTTTACAGAGCCCCCAATCCTCCACATGAGCCAGAGAATGGGTGGGGGGCTCCATTAAGGTGCTCCCCCTCCCCAGCTGAGGGAGCCCTGATCCGGCTCCGACTTGCCCACCAGCAGAAGCAGGATTGGGGCTGCTCAGCTGCTCATCACACTTCCCCCTTGAAGGGGGGTGGCTGTTGTTCCCCCTCAAGGGAGAAGTTAGTTCAAAAGATCCCTCACTTCGCCTATGGCTCGTAGGAGCCAGCTACGGGGTGTGGACTCTTTTAGACTGTCCGTCCCCCCCCCCCCCCGGCCAAGGCCCGGCAGGAGCTGATCCAGCTTGCCAAACCGTGATGTTTGGCGGGTGATAAATCGCAGTGTTGAAAACCCAACATTGCCCTTGGATTTAGGCAAAAAGGAGACATAAAGCTGGGTGCCATCAGCATAGTAGTGACACAAAAGCCCGAAACTCTGGACGATATCTCCCAGCAGTTTAATGTAAATGTTAAATAGCATGGGGGACAGAACCCTGAGGGACCACAGGCCAAAGGCTAAGGCTTCAAAGAGTCCCCCAGCACCACCTTCTGGCTTCGCCCCTCTATAAATTGGGCCTTTTTCTCCTGCTGTCAAACATTCAACGAGAAGCTTGGTTCCTAATTTGGTGCATGGCCTGATTTACCTCCCATGAGCCGCAGTGCTTTGGAAGTAGGAGGCATTGGAGAGGCATAAGCTTCTCAGTAGCTAGTAAGGCTGTCAAGAGCACTTGAGTCACTCTCTCTTTCAATTATGTTTCCACAGAGATTGGCCCATTACCCTCTTCTGGAAAGGAAGTGGCAAGGACCAAGGGGGCTAAGGGGGCCACAGCAAGGAAAAAAGGAGCGGGAAGCATTGGCTCCAAAGCCACCTCTGCAAAGAAAGCTGCTGCAAAGGCCCAGAGCAACGGCAGCACCAAAAGGAATCCCGCGGGGCAGTTGCCACTCACCCTGCAGGCCAGCACCCAAACCACACAAGTTGGCTCAGAGGAGGCCGCAGCCCAAGCTCCTGGTGCAGCCGCCCAGGGAGAGCCCCAAGCCACCCCTGTTGCGGCAGTCAAGCGTCCCAAAGCAACCAAATCTTCCAAGGCTGGGGCAAAAGAGAAGCCGTCCAAGAAGCGAAAGCTGGCAGCTGGGGATGCTGGCCTGGGCGAGCCAAAGGGAAAGAAGCTGAAAGCAAAGAGTGGCGTAGAGGTGCCGAAAAAGCTGAAGAAGAAGAAGAAAGACAAGTCTTCAACCGGCAGCGAAACACCAAAGAAAAAAGGCAGCAAAGAGAAGAAAGCTGATAAGAGTAAGAGCATCACACACACACACACACACACACACACACACACACACCACCATACAATCCCAGGTGTCCCTTGCCCTATTCAGCGCACACTGCTGCCCCCAGATGGGCTCGTGCGGTATTGCTAGCTGGCAAGAAAGCTTAGTGTGCGTTTGTGTTAGTAAGCAAAGGATGCAAGATTTCAGACCAGCAGGTTTCCGTCTGTTCAGCCGGCTTTGGTTAGGCTTCTGTGTCCTGGTGCCTTCCAGAAGCTTTGGACTATAAAAGTCCTGTTATCCCTGACCACTGACCATGCTAACCTGGGCTGATGGGAGTCAGGAGTCCAGCAAATCTGGGGGTCACCAGGCTGCGGCTGCCTGCCCTTCTCTACCCTGCTGCCAAGCTACGCAGAAGGCTGACTCTGAATCCTGTGTTCAGAGAGTCTCGAAAAACACGATCCCAACTTTTCATCCTTCTGTTTCCCCTAAGCCTATGTGGGTCCCCTGTTGTTGTGGATGCACCCAGATGATGCAGTCTCTGTGTTCTGCTTCAGGTGTTCTGCTTCTGTGTCAAACGGTGGGGGCAGGGCTGCGTCACAGGTGCTGAGTAGTCCTTCCACGTGGTGCCCGTCCAAGCATCTGCAGGGAAGACAGGGAGGCTTTCATGTGTGGAGCTGCACGCAGCCTCCTTACAGACACCAGCCCTGTACAATGTCAGGGGAAAGAGCTACTCTGGGTTTTGATTTAATGCAGAAGTAGAGCATCTGAATAGGGCCTGCTGTTGTATTGTCCCTATTTTGTTCCGTTACGTTGCATAGTAAGCTGCTTTGGTGGTGGTTTAACAGAAAAAGCAGGGTGTGAAAAATAAATCTCAAACTTAGGACCAGCTTGATGTGCCCTATCCTCATATAAATTGGTCCATCAGGCTGGGCTCCCTTTGCTCCCTGTTGCCTCCCAAACAATGCAACCGTGTGACTGGAGTTTCTTTGCTGCCAGTGAATAAGCTGGCTGCTTTACTCAGCAAAGCTCTTCCTACTTAACGCCGTGCCTGTGCTTGTAAGGGATTTCTGCAGTGCAATTTGGAGCAGCAAGGACCATTTTCTGCAAACGCAGGAAAGGGCAGAAGCCATATGCAGGTATGTCCCATAAGAAGGGCAGCCCTTGCAGTTGTGGTGTTTTTGCACATTCCACTTGTGTGCATGCACTCTCACCCCCAGCTCTATTTCCCCCCCATTTTGCTGGTCCTGGCAAGGCCGGGGGAAGAGGAGAAGTTCCCGCTATTAAATGGCCAGGCATCTGTGTGGCCCCACTGAGCTAGGGAATGGCCTCCTGTGCTGTATAGGAAAGGGTCTGTTTTTAAAAACAAATGGAAAAGTACCACCCCAGTTCCATGCATAGATTCACAGGAGGAATGAAATTCAGTTGCAAGGGCTGCTGGTTCTTGTGACATTTAGCAGTAATTGAGCAAGCCATATCTGTGCTGATGACTACAGTATTAAAGCTGCCTTTAAGTGCTGAGAGCTGCTGTTACCACACAGAGAGGGTGGGGAGAGGATGGCTGTTAATCATTCTCTGTTAAAAGAGCAGCTCCAGCCTGTGTGAGGCTCCTGCTAAGATTTGGTACATTCCTGTTGCTAGTATACTTCCATAGTGATTTCTCTCTCGCTTTGCTGCTGCCTCACACAGGGAAAGACTGTCCCAGCCCTCCTCCAGCAGAGGATGAGAAAGGGCAATGGAATAGATGGGAGGGGAGATTTCTGACAAAGCTGAGTTACAGCTATATTGTTGGGGAAGGATGAGGCTGTGACTTAACATACGGTATATAGCTTTTGGAAAAATCAGCTATGCACAGATATATACATATGGCTGTGTTGATCCAGGCATTGGGCAAATGAATCACTAATGTAAAAAAGAATGGGGTGTCTTGATACCTGTGCAAGGAATGTCTTCAGTTTCTCCCTCTATAAACCAGAGACATGACTGGAAAGTCATTTAATATATAAAGGTTTCTTATATGCCAGACTCACATCTAAGTAATTGTGTGGAGGGGGGTGGAGGCAATTATGCATGGGGTGAAAATCAAGGCAAGACCTTATATTGTAGCTTTTACTAAAGGTTTTGAAAAGGAACAATTTCTGTGATGCTATTATCTTAATTCCTGTGCAGCTGCCAATATTTCTGAACAGAATGCCACCTTGCATCCACTCACAGAGCAGTCTAAATGTTATATCCCTGATCTTGTAAAGGGTCCCATATAGGTCGCCAACATTTTTTTACTGTTGGGGACAAAAAGCACACCCTCTAATCAAACACACACCATAACCATTCTGTTGGCTACAGCAGAATGCTTTTCTGACTAATGTCTACAGGTTTAAGTGAGTCCCTTGGGCATATTTGGACTTGTTTGATTTTAAGATTTAGGATCGATTTCTGTGGCTGAAGATTGGTAGCAAAATAGCTGACCATGTTGGGTTTTTCCAGAACATATTCAGACACCCATCCATCACCCAGCTGTAGTTTTTATTGTGTTTTATAAATATTCTTAGAAATAAATAAATGGCATGTTAAAAATATCACCATCATTGTCTGATGGAGGAGTAGGCCTTTGGGGGTGAAGTCAAACCGCTGGAAGGCTGCTTTTGTAAGCTGCTAGAGCGTGTGTTTTTTGGTTTTTTAAAAAAGCAGGTTCTTATTTTCTTTCTTGCATAATTGTTTTATAGAGAAAAAGAAGAGCAAAAAGTTGGAGTCTCTTACTGCAGATGGATCACAGAAAAAGAAGAAGAAAAAGAAGGTAACAGGACACTAGAGAACTTTTTTGGATGGGTAAACCTGTCTGTAAACACTTGAACTTAATGGGGCTTGCTTCTGAGTAGACGTATACAGGATTCCTCCATTCGATTTAGGTTGTTTGCATTTGAAGGGGCTCCAGGACTATGTTGTTTTTCCAAAACCAGGTGTGACTGCAGCCTAGAATACTTATGCAATTTGGTCTACATATTTCCAAAGTTGCTAGGAGACGGCCTTGTCAGAGGCATTCCTTAGCTTAAGTATTATATGCAGGGGGTGTAGAAACAACAAACCCGTATCAATGATGCAAATACAGGATTAAAGAATGGAGGTGACACTCTGCCCCATGTTAACAGTCTTGTCTGTCGTCTTAAATTTTGTTTTAGTGGAGTGACTTTATTTCCACATATTTCCTTGTATCCATGAGAAGGAAGACCTATTGTCCATCTTACTGTACAGTTTGGAAACACTCTGAAAGTGAATCTTTCAGCTCAGTTTCTCTTTCCCCACCCTAGTTATGTGTGTATAGGGAAATTTTAACACTGGGGCACATTCACACATGCATCCCTCACTCCCAAATACAGTCATACCTTGGATCCTGAACACCTTGTGAGTCGAACGATTTGGCTCCCAAATGCCGCAAACTCGGAAGTGAGTGTTCCGGTTTGCGAACTTTCTTTGGAACCCAAATGTCTGACACAGCTTCTTCGGCTTCCGATTGACTGCAGGAGCTTCCTGTAGCCAATCGGAAGCCGTGCCTTGGTTTCCAAACGTTTTGAAAGTCGGACGGACTTCCGGAACAGATTCTGTTCAACTTCCAAGGTACGACTGTATATATGCACACATATACAGGTGTATATATGTACACATATACATGTACACACATACAGGTGGACGCATATATTGTCTTTCCCTTGTGAGTGTTGTGAGGAGCTTTTCACTTTGCTTATCTTGGAGTTTTAAACAAAAGTCAAGTACAATGGGATACAGTGCTGTCTGTACATTGGGTTCATTTACTTGGTCCGAAACCAAATTATTCAGCTAGTTTCAGATAACTTGTCCTTGCCACATGAGTGAAAGACTGCCAATACTCTATTTCAGTAACTAGCTTTTTACTATTTTGCCGTATTTAAATCCACGGTACATTCTAATACTGTAAGATGCGGTGCTGGCATGTGACGCTGCTCATAGGAAACTTGCATTGCAAGAAACTTTGGTTCCTCCTAAACTTCATTACCTTTAGGTTACGTGGCTGTGGGATGCATTTATCCTTCATGAAGCAATCCTTTTTAAAAAAGAGGCGGGGGGGGCAGGGCTTTCCCAAGATATTTTGCCACTTGATGGCGTCCCCTCCTCCCAATTCTATCTATAGAAGCCAATCTGATTGGCAGCTGGGGATTTCTTCAACACAAGCGGCAGGGTGGCTTTCTCCACTATACCTGAGAGCAGCAGACTAGTTTAAGGGTCTTGAGGTGGGTGGTGTGACACACACACAGTTCAGTTCAGCCTTGCATAGCTTGGTTGCTTGGTTGTCTGGAATATGGCCTAAAAGCTAAACTAGGCCATGAGGTGAAAGCCAGGCTAGAGCTACTTAATTCGTCTGACAGGATGGTATGAGTTATTGTGCTTTGACTGTTGCCCAGACTCTCCAGAATATGGGCCTGAACCGAGCACTTTGCCCTGAGCTAACATAATTTCTTCAAGGGAGTCTGAAATTTCCGTTAGTCCAAATGAGCTTGAGATTGACACCCTTCCCACCCACCCCAGGATTAAGTTTTGCACCGGAGCACTAAAGTCTTGAGATGCCCTTTCCCAGCATGCTTTGTGTTTCTTAAACAGAGAATTAAGTCTTATTTTGCCAGCATTTGAGTTTGGGAGCAGAAAAGATGGTTGCATGAGTGACTGAACCTAGGAAGTACTGGAAGGACCTGTTTCACCATCTGAAACTGGGTCTGTGTTCTCTGTACTGTGAAGGGAGCCAAGGACGTTGGAGGCAGTTCCAGTTCTTAGGGCGGTGGGGGCGTAAAAACAACAACAGACCTAAATTGTTCTGGATTTCTTTCAGAAAACTGGTGATCTTGAGGGAGCAGCATGAGCCGGTAAGTATCTTTTTAAAGTATTCTGCCAATTAGTTCATGTCAACTTGGCAAATTCCGACGGCTCTTTTTCTCTGGCTAGAGCCTTTTGCTTAGGAAATACTCTCATTCAAGGCAGCTGGCATGGGCGTAGCCAGGATTCCTCTTCAGGGGGGCAGAACCTCAGTTAAGTATTTTTATTTATTTCTGTGAGGGCACCTGCGCATCCCCCCCCCCCCCGGCAGCTGAGCCTATTCCTTCAAGGATCACTTTTAGTTTAGAGGTATACGAAGATGATTCTGTTCTAGGTTTTTGGATTGTTTTTAATTGCATTTTTAATTTGTGGCTTTAAATTCCTATCAAGAGCATAAACCAGCTTTCCCCAACCTGGTGCTCTCCAGATGTCGTTGGGCTCCCAACTCCCATCAGCCCCAGTCAGCTTTGCCATTGGCCAGATTTTATGGGAATTGTCCAGACATCTGGAGGGCACTAGGGTTGGGGAAACAGGCATAAAGCCACTTAGAACTCCGATAAGGATTTAATGAAGTTCCATAGCGATAGCAGTTTTATAGTGGGCTAGATGAGAATTGGCATTAAAAATGTGTGCTCTGAAGGAGGTTTATTTTGGAATGTGTCAGGCCTGAAATAAATCATATCTTCAAGTACCTCGAGTTCTTTCTTCTTTTTTCCTCCTCTGCAAAAGTCAAATAGCTCTAGGGTGGAGCTGGGTCATTGGTGTTTTCTGGTGGTTGGTAGCAGTGATAGTACCTCATTAACACAAGGATGAGAAAAGATGCTTGTGATGCATTTGAAAAATTATTTTCCTACTCATTGACAAATCTGTCATTAGCAGAATTTCCCTTCTTTGCAGTAGTTTTTATTTTTATTTTTAATGTGTTCTTTCTTTCTCTCTCTCTCTCTCTCCCTTTCCTGTAGTGGCTTAAAGCACGAAGTAAAGAATAAAAATATGCTGGGAGCATTCAAGGGAAAGAAACTGTTTGTTTATATTTTTAAAGAAAAGAAAGTGGGAATGTCAAAGACTTGATTCCAGTATTTATAACTATTTTTAACTGTGACTTTTAGAGCTAAGCATTGCTAACAGTTGATCTGGCTATTTGCTTGGGAATAAGACATGCCCCGATTGCTTGGCCAATGGAGAAGATGCAGCTACTGTAACTGACGGAATGTGAGGAAGACAAACACCTTTGATTATTCAATCCTGAATCCAGCAATTACTTTTACGGCTATCTCTACTTCCTCCTTCACCCAATCCCAACCCTTAAGAGTTATATTTTTTAAAGGAAAAGATCGCCTCCCCCTCTTTTCATACTACATTAAAGGAAGAAGTTTTATGTCTCTGCAATGTCCATCCAGAAATTGTGTTCAATATGTACAAAACCCTGTTGATTCTAGGTTGGCTTTTTCTCTTGTACTTTTCTCTCCCTCTCTTTCTTTTTTTAAATAATAGTATACAATAAAACCATAGTAACTGGGAAAAGCACATGTGTGTTATTTTGAAACTGAAAATGTGTAAATCTCTTGGCTGCGGCTAAACAAATCCGAAGGATTTGGTCAGCTGCACACAGCTGTCATGTTGTGTTGAACCGGCTCATGTCTTTGTGGTTTGTTTGTTTCGTTCTTAAAGAGAGCCAAGCTTCCAGCCCCCGTGGTTTTCACAGGAAGGTTTATGGAAATGTATGTTCTGTTTCTTTCCCTTTGGTTGTTAACCAGTTAATTGGAGTCTTCTCTCAGTCATCCACCTCAATGGACAAGAGCCCCGTATTAGTAGGTTATCTTTTATTTTTTTTAACTTTACAAAGACTTACAGTTAAAATCATCTTTGAGTTCACTAATAAAGCAGTGATCATATATTCAAAGGGTATAATTAGTATGTCATAAGCGTGAGTGCTCGTCTATTATCTGTCACTAATATATATCCACTCTGCTGGCTTGCTTGTGTAATTGAAGAAACATTGACTTATATTTGCTTTGGATGCGGGAGAAGCCTGTTCTTTGCCCAGATAGATTTATATAGCCTTACCTACAATTCCAGTATTCTCTTGCTAGAAACTCTACTAAAGCAAGTTCTAGGGCTATGCTAGCAAATGCAAAGGGTACACAACCAACTCCATAGGGTATAGCATTTGGGGTTTCAGGATTCACAACTATATTTAAACCTTACATAAGGTAATGCCTCCATTCCCATCAGCCCCAGCCAGCATGACTCAGGATGACGGCAGTTCATATCCATATATGTAAAGAACACTCGATAATTTCCCTTTAAAGAAGCACAAACTCAGGGCAAAAAGGAGAAATGTGCTAAGAGGAAACCCTCACCGTGATCAACTCCTGCCTGGAAACCTATGTCCCCACTGTGGAAGGACATGTGGATCCAGAACTGGCCTCCACGGTCACTTATGGGCTCACTGTTAAGACTGTGTTCATGGAAGGCAACCTTACTCTGCTATGAGTGATCACCAAAGCAGAAAGATGCAAAGAACAAATAAATGAAGGGTTCAGCAGAAATCTTCTACTTCTTGTAAGACTTATCTAAAATCGAGGAATTCAGTGGGGAAAGAATAAGGTGAATTAAACATAGAGTAATAAACCTTTGAAGAATATATTTGGGAAACAATTTTATATTCTCCCCCTCCCACCCCGATTTGAGGGAAACAGAGATTTCATTGCAGAAGATGTGCTCACTGTCTCAGAATCCTATTGTTATTCACATACATTCAGTAAATGTTCCCCTGTTCATGGAGCCTGATTAGCCACAAGAATCACTGCAGGGTTTATTCAGAAAAAAAAGAAGATCCTCTCTGCATGAGCTGAATAATTGAGGAAAACATCACCCTTTCTTGCTTGAAGCATTTTGCTGCTAAAGCTGTGGTTGTACAAGGGTTACTTCTCTAAAAAGGTAATTCAGGGCTCAGCTCAGCAGGCTATTATATTTAATCAACCTACTTTTCCCTCCTCCATTAAGGATAATGCTTAAGCCTAGGAATTTGAGAAGTGGTTGCGGCTAACATAATTCAGGAAATCAATACAGAAGCAAAAAACGAGAGCAAACTGGAGAAGATAAGCTGGGCTTCTTGAGCTGATGCAGCTGGTGCTACTGCCTGCCTTGTTTGCTTGGCATTCCTAAAAAAAGAAGAGAAATGAGAAAGGTGCATTAGAAGTCAAGCCCCAGAAATGTTTCCTAGTAATAGAGGCAGAAATTGATGGAAAGTACACAAAAAGCCAACCCACACAAAACTTGTGTTGTTCTCCCCCTTAAAGTTAATGGTGCCTTTAATCATTAGGCCTTGAGGTGGGGAGGTATCCTAATTTGGCTTGTATACCTATCGTTCTCCACATGCACCCCCCCCCACAAAACCCACTCTGCCTTTGACACCTAGAGAATATCTGTATTTCAGGCTTTAAAAAAAGTTAGGCAGAGGCTGGATGTGCCACTATCTGCACATAGAAGGCCTTGGCAACTGCAGGAACTGTGTGGCCCATTCAATCTGTAAGGTAAAGGTAAAGGGACCCCTGACCATTAGGTCCAGTCGTGGCCGACTCTGGGGTTGTGGCGCTCATCTCGCTTTCTTGGCTGAGGGAGCCGGCGTACAGCTTCTGGGTCATGTGGCCAGCATGACTAAGCCGCTTCTGGCGAACCAGAGCAGCGCACGGAAATGCCGCTTACCTTCCCACCAGAGTAGTACCTATTTATCTACTTGCACTTTGACATGCTTTTGAACTGCTAGGTTGGCAGGAGCAGGGACCGAGCAACGGGAGCTCACCCCGTCGCGGGGATTCGAACTGCCGACCTTCTGATCGGCAAGTCCTAGGCTCTGTGGTTTAACCCACAGCACCACCCTCGTCCCTATTCAATCTGTACAGACTGTTTTAAAAAGGCACCTAAGTTTAAAAACAAAGTACTTGGCTTGCTCTCTTGTGTATGTGGCTGAGAACACCAGCACTGAAATGAAAGGTGCCTTCAAGGTGAACTCCTAGGCTCTCCTGAACTAAGCCAGCTACTTTCAGGGAGGATAAGGTAATCAATGGCTCCTGCCATGATGACTGTATGCTGCCTCCAGGATCAGAGGCACCATGCCTCTGATTTGCCAGACACTGGGAACAACAGAGAGAGTGCTATGATCCTCATCTGCTTGTGGGTTCCCTATGGACATCAGGTTGGTCACTATGGGGGTAAAACAATGGTGGGCTTAGATAGGTCTTTGATTTGAGCCAGCAAAATTCTTAAGTTACCTCAATCATTTAGTCACTGAAACTCAGCTGGGAAGCTGTCACATTCTCAGTATCACCAGCTGTCACGTTCACCAGTTGCCCTTTTCCTGGAAAAGGGAGGAAGAGAGATTGATTAGCACTTTCCAATGCCCTAAGATATCCTCTACTTTCCACATCACCTTTAGGATGCTTCCTACCAGTTTGTGCTATCTCATGTTCAGCCAGAAGCACAATCATTTGCTTTTCATCTATCTTATTATTATTTTTTTAGTAATACACAAAATTATTAACATTTGGCCATATTATTTTCCACTGCCTGTAGAGAAAGGTCATTTGAAATCTGACAAATGGGCACTGACCGATTTGTATCTTTAGTCCATTCAAAAATGCAAAGTTGTGGACTTATTGGCAGGTAGGTATATATTGGTTTTATGATTTTTGAGAGGCACTATCCCTCTGGATGCAAGTTGAATGGAATCACCATTAGGGAGATTGCTGTTCTCCTCAGATTCTACTTAGGCATCTGGTTGGCCACTCTGAGAACAGGGTGCTGGGCTAGATCTGCCATTGGCCTCATTCAGCAGAGTTCTTATGATTTAAGTTTTTTTCTGCATAGGCTGTGACTAATTCCAATATTTTTTTCCTGTTGTTTTTTTTCCCATTTGACTAATTCCAAGTTTTGTTTTGTTTCTTGAGAATGTGTTAGATTGGCATAATGATAATGACACAAATGAAGATGTTGGGTTTTCTGAGATTTCTATTCGCTGTAAGGTCATAACAGTGTTTTAAATGATTTGCCATGGCTTTTGCATTTGTTTGTTACATTTGGAAAAAGCTTACTCAGGGGCAGATATCAGGTAGAAATCTGAAGCACAAAGATAGGGGTAACTACCTTAACTGTTCACAACAGTCTTCCCACTTTCTTGATGTGGGTGGTGGTGGTAAGAGAATGACGTAAGAGGTAAGAGAATGTAAGTGGTAAGAGAATGACGTAAATGGTAAGAGAATGACGCAAGTTCATCAAGCAAGACTAAGTGCAACTAACAAGGCTATTTTTTCACATCAAGTTGCCTCATAATATTGACCAAACACCATCCCCATGGTGAAGCCACAAGGAACATAAGGCACACGCATGCAGAAATCAAAGTGGGTTTATCTTCCAAGTAAGGAAAAACAATGTGAATTTGGAAGCAACAAGTATTGGCTCCACAACCAGACGACCCAAATTCTGCCACCAAAGTATTTTGTGCAAAACTAGGCAAAATTGCTCTAACTGCACTGCCTATGTAATAAGAGCTTCTTAGGGAAGTCTGGCATGGTGGATGTGGAAAGTAGTCAATGTGGTTCACACACATTTGTGTTGTGACTCTTGGGAATCGCAGCACCCCAGCCCACCCTGCCTATATGTCCCCAAAACCTCCACTGCCTGACTTCATCTCTTCTATTTAGAAAAAGGAAAGAACACTGCTACAGCTGCAACAATGGCTGTTGCACTGCAAACACTTTGGCTGTGTTTAGGACTCAAGTCCAGGTCGGGGGGGAGGGGGGAGAGACTTATTAGCTCCTAGGACTTGGGCCATTAAGATGTTGCTCCCTAACTGTAGATAATCCAGTTTATTCAAGAATATAAATGACATCTGCTTGCTTATTAACTCCTTCCCCCTTGTTAGGAAACAGAAACTCTTTACCAGTGCAGTCCAGTGGCCCACGGACTTTAGTAGTGCCCTCAACCATGGTGCCATTTTTGTAGACGCACCAGCAAAAGCCAGTGCTACCATGGCATTGCTTAGGCAGATAGTCGCCATTTTCATCACACTTGGCACAGAATCTTCCCAGGTGGACACCCCGGCCACATTCTTCTGTCTGGCACTTGGTTTTCACTTTAAACAAAACAAAAACAGAAACTTCATTGTGCACAGTTGACTGCCAGCTGCTAGCACTGCCCTTTGATGCAACTGTAAGTAACTATAACGGAACAGCTCCCTTGCCTTGCTTGAGACATATGGCTAAGTTCAGAGGTAAAGCTTGCCCTGCACCATAGCACTTCAGGTGGTAAGATGGCACCAAATACTTGAATGCTCCCCACTTACAGAAAAATAGCACAGCTGGAAGCATTCCCCAACTCCACAGAAGCAGCTTTGAAATTGAAAGTCCAGGAGAAACAATCCTTTTTGGTTTGGCTGAATGTATCAACTGCCTCCTAATATGAGAAGAGGCTGTTTCATTGTGGCTGCACCATGGGAAAGTAAAGGGGGGATGTGAGGAAAGAATTGCTTTTTGTAACAATATGCCCGTTTAATTAGGACAGCTATTTTATTGGGATGGCTCCCAGGGAACCCATTTAGCCTAATGAGAGCAAATGCTAATGAGTACTGCTTAATGGAGGCAGTATTAATATAAATTCTGCTAATGGGAATGTGTCCGACCACTGCTGAGTGGCTAATTGGTATGAAAATCTCGGCTGCGGGCTTTTATTTCAGAAACAGCTGAAATCACAGAAGGAGGAATCATTCTTTTTTTTAAGCATTGCATTGGTGCCCAAATTTGGGACAGAAAAGTGGTTGGCCATGTCGGTGTCCAAATTTGAGACTGTGTGTCATTAATAAGGCTCTCCCTCTCTCTGTGTGTGACTGTTAAAATTGTTTCAGTAGGGTTTCCTTTTTCTTTAAAAAAAAAATACTTGAAGTGGGCCTTAATTCAAACAACAGGTCTTCTTTCATCATGGGTGCATCATTTAGCTTAGATAATTGCAGTTTCAAATGAATTGCTCTTTGCCAATCACTCTTCCCAGGGGCAGACCGTGTTTTGCTTCTGCTGTGATGAGCGAAAAGAGGCTTTTTAAAAACCGGTGGTTCTATAACATGAAGACCTCGTTCATTGAATTGCAAGTCAGCAGAGAGCTCCCTTTTGCAGCCACTGTTTCCTTTGAAGAGACGGCAAGTGGCTTTGGGCTCAAGCTGTGCATATTTCAGTAGTAAAATGGTCAGTATCACAACATGTCGAAGCAGGTTTTTCACATCTTCTGCCAAGGAAGACATTCATTTTTTGCTGTTTTCATTATTAGGTCCCTCAGTGTAGAACAGCAGCCAAGGCAATGCAGAATTTGTTTAAAATGTAACAAACAACTGTACAGTATAAAGATGTTCCATACTTAGACAACCGGTACAGAAGTTGTTGGAAGGCCTCTCTGAAATCCAGAGCTGCAGTGCCATTGTTGAGAGTGCCCTACTCTTGGCCCCATGAGTTTTCAATTGAGATAAAGAAGGAAACCTCACCCCCAAAAACCAAGGTCTGCACAGCAGATCTCTTAGGACACAGAAGCTGGTAGTCTGGGCCGTGTTCCTGCAGATATGGAAGCCAGCAGCTAAGCAAGGCCCAGAAGCTAATGGAGGGAGCTAATGGAGGTGAGCCAACAGAAGTCAAATATGTTTCCATGTTTTGAGTACAAGGCAAAATTAAGCACTTTTAAGTTGCTCTGATTATAAGGAAAGAGACACGCCACAATCCTATACACACTCACCTGGCAATAAGTCTGACTGAGCATCCTGGGATTTACTTCTGAAGAGGCAGATTACCGTATTAAGCACATTCCCAACTCTTCCCGTCACAGATTCATACTGGAAGGGACTTGGAGAGCACACAGCAGCTGCCTGGGGACCCGGTGCTGTTCATGCATGCCCTCCTTTGTGGCATCCACAGGATGCCATCTTCATCAAAATGCCATTCCGTGATCTCACCCACCCTCTGGAAACAGTGGATATGGATCAAACACCGACTGGATGCTGCACAGAAGTTACACGCGTGAGCAGTGTCAAGTGCACAGTAAACAGCCGTGTGGAATCGCTCTTCGAGTGCTTAGATCTGCCACTGAAAATAAGTGGTCCTGGCCAGGGAATTGCACCCAGGTGGGCAACGCTTTCTGGCAGCACCTTTCAGCAGCCTCCTTCAGCAGCTATGTTCTGAAATACGTTGTAGGGCTAAACCTTTGTTCCTTGCATAGAAAGGCCAAGAAATAGTGAATGAACTGCAGCTGGAAGTGAGAATACTGGGCTTGGGTGGTCTTTGTGCTAAGGGTGAGCAGTCTTTTTCCCCCCAGCCCAAAGCTTGCCAGGTTAATTGGCGCTACAAGGCTTTCGCCAACTAATTACTAGATTTACACTTGCAAATGAACCCCAGCTGGGAGAGCATTGCCTGTGAGTGGCTCTCACACCCTGGCTTGCTTGAGGCTAGTGGGGCTGGGCATTGGGCTGGATCCAACCAACTGTGGGAGTTCTCAGGTTAATGCAAATTCGCTGCTTCCCTCCCATCATTTCAGCCCCCTGTGCCCCTGAAAAGTTGGGTGAGATGTAGGATGGGGAACTGCAGGTGAAGAGGGAAGCCTGCAGAAATTGCAGGTGCCCCCTTGTATGAGAGGAAGGGCCTTCCACTCACATCCTTCAGATCCAAACCAATGCAAGGGACATGGAGCCGCCAGCACAAAGAGCAACACTGTGTTGAGTTCTCCTCCACAGGCACACCTGTAATAGTTTCTAGCCACTTTGTGTTGTGATGTCTTCGTGCTGTGCATTACAGTGGTACCTTGGTTTACGAACTTAATCCTTTCCAGAAGTCTGTTCTTAAACCAAGGTGTGCTTTCCCATAGCAGTGGGGGACTCAATTTACAAATGGAACACACTCAACAGGAAGCGAAACATATTCTGCTTCCAAGGCAAACTAAAACACCTACTTCCAGGTTTGCAGCGTTCCAAGTTGTTCATAGACTAAGCTGTTCTTAAACCAAGGTACTTCTAAGTTGGGGCTGTGTGGAAACACATGATGATGTATCACTGGTTAAGTGATGCTATGCGTTCAGGCCCAGCGCAAGCAATTGGCCAGGACAGGCACTGGCCAAGGACCCTAGAGGCCCAGAAGCCCCCCCACACACACACCTGGCCCAATCCTGTTGTGCTGCCTTGCCACCTCCTTCACCGGGCCTCTGGAAAGCCGTTTTAATGGTGGGTGGGTGGTTGTGCTGCTTTTGAAGGGGAGCCAAGCTCTGCTCCTATCCATGATGACTATCTGCCATTTTAATTTACCCACAATATAAGGCCCCAGACCATACATCTATAAAACTGCCCACCACTGGTGGAGTTGTCATTACCATGAAAGAAAAAGAAAAGGCACAGCTGCATTGGAAGGGGGCATGGGGGGCACCATGTTGCGGCCTCCATAAATTCTGGTGCCAGTCCTGTCCATGTTCCAAAATAAAGAGGGGAAACTCCACACAGGGCTATCATTTTCAGCAGCAGATCAACGTCCTGCATAATATCTCCTTCCACCCCCAAGTCATCAGCATACATTAACATGAGTCTTCTGGCACGCAGCAGCGCCCTTTCAGTCTCCCCTACAGAAATGTACTGTTTCTATTACATTGGGATTTTGTTTCGCATGATTTCCTGCATCTCTTTAGGATCTGAAGCTGCAGCAAAATGGCATGTTTTCTGTTGTCTTGTGATTTGAGCCCTTCAGAGAATTTGCATCCATCACCCTTAGAATTCCTTTCAGTGCTACAGTCCTTGCATACCTTGTTCAGCTGGAATCTCATTCTTGGCCATTTGGAAGAGCAGCCACTTGTGCATCCAGGTTTCAAAAGACTGCAAGAGATCAAATGCAGTTAATAAAAGGCATCCCTATCCACAAATAAATAAATGTAAGTTAACCACTGTCTAATTGCCAAATGATGAGAAGTCCACCATATGTTTCACTGCTGGGTGAACGCCACTGTACACTGCGGGAAAGGGCTTTGATATAGTTTAGCCAATTTTAACTACACTAATAAACCTGAGGCTTTGTTGGCATAATTAACAGAGGTCCAGCGCTGCGGTCCCTTCATGGAAGAACTCCCTGCTGCCAGTTCCCAAATATAATTCCTAGAATCTCAGGCATTTAGCAAGTTTAACTGAGGCCTATTTAAATCCCACACATGAACAACTCAAAACACTAGATAGCAGTCAAGAGCAAACTAGGAAGCATTGCAAGTGACAGTGGATACTTGTATTGTACTCTCTTCCTGAGCACAAGAGGGGAAGGACTAGGATCCATTCCAAAGTCTTAGATTCCAACAGGAATAAGTCCCAAGGCAAATAAAATTAACAGGATAGAGAGCTTCTAGAGTATGAGACTGAATCTCAGGGCCATGGGTTCAAGCCCCACATTGGGTAAAATATTCCTGCATTGCAGGGGGCTGGACTAGGCGATCCTCGTGGTCCCTTCCAACTCTATGATCTGTTAAATGAGATATTGCCTATCCATTGTGACACCATGTTCTCTTCAGGGCAGGGGTGGGGTGGGGGAAGGATTCTGTGAAAGATGGCAGCACTTACCTTCCAGTCCTCAAAATCCAAGCGGTTCTTCAGAGTATTCATATTTTCCATGAAGCTCTTTTTCAGATCAGGAAATTTTATGAGAGGGTTTGATTGCTGTAGGGAGGAACATGTTAACAAACATTATGTAAGGAAAGTAAGTCTGCTGGAGGCCCGGAAAGAGATCACCTAGCAAAGCAAGACTATGCTCAAAGGATTGGGTCAGGACTGGCGGCACGTGAAATACTAACTCCATCTCATGAAGAAGAAGAAGAAGAAGAAGAAGAAGAAGGAGGAGGAGGAGGAGGAGGAGGGTTTGGATTTGATATCCCGCCTTTCACTCCCCTTCAGGAGTCTCAAAGCGGCTAACATTCTCCTTTCCCTTCCTCCCCCACAACAAACACTCTGTGAGGTGAGTGGGGCTGAGAGACTTCAAAGAAGTGTGACTGGCCCAAGGTCACCCAGCAGCTGCATGTGGAGGAGCGGAGACGTGAACCCGGTTCCCCAGATTACAAGACTACCACTCTTAACCACTACACCACACTGGCTCTCTGGGCTCTCTGAATTCAGCCAGATGCAGTGATGGTGAGGTCCAACCAGAGAGTATGGCAGCAGACCCATTCATAGGAGTTGAATCACCAGCACAATCTTCTAAGGCAGGCAAAAGGTACAGGTGGGAGGGATTGCTTAACTATCTCTGCCCCCACCACCTTTCATCCTAAAGCTGCCTCCCTCAACTGCTCCTCCCTGCCTTGGAGAGTTCAAAGTTTGGATGCAACTCCTTTTAAGAGGAAAACAGCCACAGCAGAATGATTTCAAAGGGAACATACAAATGGAGAGAAAGGCTCCTCTCCCTAGCTTTTTCGCTTGCATAGCTTTTGCATATTCTGGTGGCTGTTTTGGAACGGTTAAAATTGTTTTTAGTTTATGTCAGTAATTGATTGTATTATTGGGTTTAATTATATTTGGGTTATAGTGTTTTGCTGCCAATTTCCTAAATACCTTGGGTTTCTTGGGACATACCTTGGGACATTGGGCAGGGCATGGGTTTGGGGAGGAAAATACAAAGAAACAAGCAAGCAAGTGCATCCAGTGAGAAGCTGAGATAAAAAGAAAAGCCTTTGCTTTCCCTAAAATTTAATGATAATTATTCACAGCATGCACCACAAACTCTCACTGTCTGAATGTTTATCTAAACTCCCTATTATCTAATCCATCTTTGTCCACATAGCCCCATATTACGAGTATGCCAATTTATCTAAGTTTCTCATTTAACAGATGCTTGCCATGCCGCCCTCCAAGGTCATTTGGTGTCATGGACTGGCAGGATGATGGGGATTCTGACGAGGGGTGTAGCTGGGACTGGGACACACTGGGGCAAGCAGGGGATGAGGAAGGAAGTACTCACAGAGTGACGGGGGATGGCAAGGAGCCAGAGTTGCAGGACCCATCACCAGAGAGGCCCCTGTCTCCATGAACATGGTGGGCTCTGAGGCATAGGGGGCAGCAGGAGGGGTGCTCTAGGAGGCTGAGGCAGGCAAGGTCCCACAGCCCAGCTCACTAGCTGGCCAGGTGGGTCTCGCTAGCTCTGGGAGGAGGGGTGTGATTCCTCAGCTGGAGTGGGCCTGGAACAGGTGAGGGTCACATGCATCATCAAGCCCAGATGCTGCAATCAGCATACAGAGTATAAAAGGGAAGCAGAGCTGAGGTGTTTTATCTGCTCAGCTGCCCATATTCATTGACTTGGATGTTCCTGGACCTTTGCGGGACTGTGCTTTGGGTTTGGCTCTGGACTGTATCCTGACTGCTGGACTTGACTACTTGGATTGACCCTGGACTGTGTTTCCTGATCTTTGGACTTCGTATGGATTGACCCTTGGGCTTTGAACTTGGCATACTGACTTGCTGCCAGGTAGGCCAGGGGTTCAGGACACTTGGGAGAGTGCAGTAGTGCCTTCTTTGGGTGCAGGGAAGTTTCCAAAGTGTATATGTAGTTCCAAACCTGTGCATTATTCACGGTTAATGTTATGACACTTAGGCTACAGTGCTTGGATCTAAAGAGGTATAGGCACATGGGAAAGAAAGGCATAGGTTGATGCAATTGTGCCTTGCTGCTTTTCATGCTGAAGAAATAACCAACTATTCAATCTAGCAGTAAAAGCACTGGTGCACTAAAAGCAAGGAAACCCATGTGCCTGTCCACCCTTCCCTCATTTGGATCCCTGCATAAATACCATATCCCCAATCCTTCCCGGGAACACAAACACACCTGTCAGATACTGTGGTTGGAAAACAAAGAATAGGTTAGTGATTTTTAGGAACATAAAGAATATCTTGTTCTGTGCTATGAGTTTCAGCCAACAAAGTTGTGCCTGTGCATCCTCTACCTCCCTCTTCAAATCTGCCCCAGTGGGTTGGGTGGCCCACAAGAAGGGGAGTGCTAGAGGGTGTTCCATTGAGCAAGTGGAAGTTATGGGGCTAACAGGGTGACTTCGTGGGATTCAGCCCTAGGCCTCCAGCAGTTGAGTCTGTAGCTGCAAACTTGAGTACTCTCCATCTAGGACAAGCAAAACTGTTGCACAGGCAAAGAGACGAGGCTCTTACCATGAGCAGACGTTTGATCTGGTCTTCAGTGCTATTGGTCAGCTTCATTTTATCCTCTGGAGACTGTAGAAGAGACGACAACAAAGAAGTTAAAACATCATTATAGATCTAGGGTACCAGAGTCTGTTAGTGAATGGTAGAGATTAATAAACGGTAGTATTTAGATAATATGAAAGGAAATGCAAGCTGCAGAACTGTGCCAGACATGGGTTAGCTTATGCAAACCAGTCTGCTGGGGGCAGCTAAGTGCAGAGTCATTGAGAAACAATGGGGAGTCAGGTGCTGGGCCATTTAGGACAACTGGCAATGCACAAAGCCATCCTCCCCCCCCCCCATGCCACAGGAGTGGAGAAAGACAGGAGATTTGGGAGGTTACCAAGGTGAGCGGGGCATGATATCACAGGAAAAATTGTCCTTTTGAAATCTAAAGGTGTTCTGGGAACAAGGAAAAAGTAGGAATGGATCACATTGGATGGAGGAGGCTGCACCAAGAGACCAGGAGCCATGACTGCCTGGGTGTAGCCAGGATTTATGTTACGGGGGCAGGCTTTGTGTTGGGGGGGCAGAACTGAGCTATCTGTGACACGATTGGTCAGTTAAGTATTTTTATTTACTTACTTGATTGGGATGGTAGCTGCCCCCCACCCCCTTGGCTAGGCCCATGCATGACTGACTGCTGCTTTGAACCCCGAAGCTATGAGAGAGGCAATGAGAAACACTCTTGGGGTGTCCGGTTCTGCATCCCCTCCATTGAAGACTCCAGGTGTAAATATGTGTACAATAAACCTTATTTCTTAAAGATGCTAGCCTCCACTGTGCCACGATTTTCCCAACAGAAACACAGCCCTGGGTGAGCGCCTGGAACCTCCCTGGAATCTTGCTACCGCTTGGCATAGATTGGAGGTGGCATGCAACTTTTGTCACACTTTGAAGCTGCTCCTTGCCCAATCCCACAGAGCAGACTACACAAAGGGCTCTTCCCTGTCCTTCACACACTGCAACAGATACAATGGACTTACTTACACCCAGGTCTCTTTGAACTCAACGTGAAAATTTAGTTGTGACTTTGTGTGTGATCCAGATCTCATTTAAGTATTGTTAAAGGGAAACTACATGGAATGAACTTCAGTTGGGATCCAAACCATTAGTATGAACTTCCTCCCAAGGGTTCTGGGGTGCCCCTAAACCAGCTCTGGCACCATTCCCTGGCTGCCGCCACCTCTAGGGAATGTTGACAAGGAAGGCTAATTCCCTGGCAAACCATTCCTGCATACTGCAAAGTGACCAAATAAGAACTGAGAACAGAGCTGGCCTAATAGGCTGTCAGCTTCACTCATGTCACATTGACTCATGTCGAGCCAACTCACTCTCCCTGCTCTGAAGCTGCTGTTTCAAATGGAATCTCTCTGCACAGCTGAATTTGAGGCAGGATCTGTCAGTCTCAAGAGCCTAACATTTATTTCCAACACTGGTGTAAGGTCTAGGTGCTGGGAGCATTGCATACTAGCCAGGAGGGGTTGTTTTTGTATTGGCAGACTGGCTGGAAAGCAAAGCCCCAGAAGACACAGCGAATGTCTTCCCCCTCATCCATAGCTGTCCCCTGCAAACTTGGATCCATACCGGGCAAGTTGTATGGATGAAAAGGAGAGGTTCTGAGGTAGTAGGCAACCCTAACACCTCCCTGCCCTGTGCTAGTTAAGCAATTGTCATCTTTACCTCTTCATCTGGGTCCCTCATGACCATAGGCATAATGTTGGCCATTGCCATCCTCTTCTGGTTAACTGCCTTGGGAGCTGCAGGAGAAAAGAGTGGTGCAATTAAACATGTAGGGAGATTTTTTTTATATATAAAAAAGTGGTCTCCTCCAAGGATATTCTTCTTATACAGATGAGTCAAACATACAAGAGTACAAATTATATTGCACAGAGAGTTCATGACTTCAATCAAGATGTCTGAGCTGGACTCAAAAGTGGAAACTTAGACTTGTGTCCCCCCCCAGTAGTAGACACCCCACCCCCCAATCTCATATTAGAAACTGCTTTCCAAACTCTACCCCTGGGAGGGAAATCCCTCGAAACTGTCCAAAGGCTCAGATAGCTTTTTTTTAAAAAGGATTATTCAAACTAATGGAGGATACCATGCTGCCACCAAGCTATACCCCTTCGCATATCCAAATATATTATGAAGGGCTCTTGCACAACTGACAACATTAATCTACTATAGGGTGCATAACCTTGCTCAAGTTGTACCGTGTCGGACTTCAGGGGCACAATGCTTTCCATGTTTTTATAAATTGTAAATTGATATAAACTGTTAATGTACAATATATAACAGTCATGAAAGCAACTCAAGAGCAGAATATAAACTGAAGCTATAAAACTCACAAAATAAGCATGACGAAACCTGATCAGAACAGGGTGACTGCTCCCCAGATTAAAATGTCAGCATTCTGAATCTGTAGATCCACTAGACCTTCCTTTCTTTGGGAGGAGGGGCGGGATATAAATTTAATAAATAAAGTAAACTATCATCTGGTCTGTCTATCCAAGCAGACGAGAGATGGCTATCAGGATTCAAGTGCATAAATAGCTGACAGACCTAGGCTCAGTCCTTTCAGCTCTGATTTGCCCAATTAACGCACAAAATTGAGAAATGTTTTAAGAATTCAGAATGCTTGCAAATATATCATGGTTAAACTTAAAGGTTAGACAGTGTAGGAGTGGGGGAGAGGGCAGGAAGGGGAAAAAGGAAGCTACTAACCATGAGGGAGATTGTTGGCCAGCGACTGCAGTTTCAGCTCAGTGGTGGTCTTGGTTATTTTGGAAATCCGGGTGTTGTGCTGATACACAAAGTAGCCGGTCACCGCCTGGCCCGCGATAAGCAAGGCTATCAGGATGGAAAAGGCAGCATAGACAGGTTTACGGCTGGAAGAACCCCTGCAAGACACAAAAGAGGCATGTCAGTTTGTCCAATCAGTGGTCCAGATGTCCAGGTTGAGCGCTTATTTTCTTAGAACAGGTTTGGATTCACCTGCATGCAAATAACCAAGGCATGACATATCTTCTGCTTATAACACAAACAGAATGCTTTGACTTGGTTAACTAAGGGCTAAATAAGGTGAAATTGGTTTATTAAAAGTTTGTTTAAAAAAAACAACAACCACTGTAGAAAACCACCAGGGCCGCAATTCCCTTTTACAGTTCCTTTCCCCCAAGCTACTCATACAGTATTTAACAGCCCTTCACCCTGATGGAAAACACCGTGAGGGAAATTCCCAAGCTGTAGCCAGTCATTATCTGTTCTGCTTGTCACCTCACTTGTTGCTAGGCAGACAGAACGTGAAAAGGAAGAAATGTTTGGGGATCTAATGCCATAGGCTTTAATGCAGTAAAAGCTGTATGATTTCAATAATTATACAAGTGTAAGTGTGTGTGTGTGTGTGTGTGTGTGTGTGTATTAGAATCATAGAACTGTTGAGTACCCCAAGGGTACAACCCCCTGCAGGAATATTCTCTTTCTCTCCCCTCTACTCTTGCATCAGAATACAAATGTTTTCACTTGTATCACATAATCCGTGCCTTTTTTTCTGGGGGGACACAGGAGTATGCATACCCCTAAACGTTCTGTGAATCTTTGTACTTTGTCCATTTACTGTATTTATTTTTCCTGATTTGAACTATAAAATGGTTGTTTTCTTGAGTCAAAATGAGAATATCCCTAAACATTTTTAAAGAAAAAAAGCACCGTGCATAATTATGATTAGCCATCACAACAGGGGGGCTCAGAGAAACCTCCCCGCACTCACATTCAAATAGTACATGGACTAGCCCATGGATACATGGATATGCCAAGTGGCCACAGATCTCCTTGTGTGTGTATGAAGAGATTCTGCATGCATACCAGTACAGGCATGTAGATCTCTTGTGCATTAGCAGTGGAGCAGGGGGTTCCCTGAGCCAATCCAGCTCACCCCTTACATGGAGGAGCTCAATGCAAGTAAGTCAGGAGGCACACTGAAGCTGCTATGAGCCTCATTGATTTTATTTTTTTAAGTATGATTTTACTAATGGGGTAAGTAGCAGGTTGGGTGGGGTGGGGGAAGTTCATTGGGGAAATAGTGAAAGGGGAAAGGGATAATTATTTTCCATATGCTGTGGTTCCATATTGGATGTCTCTCTCGATGTCCCCTTTCCCCTCCCCACAGCTACATTTTAAAGAAATGGAGAGACATTTAGGCATGTCTGTTGTAATGTGAAGTTTGACCTTCAATTACATCAATAATTCTCCCTGTATTTATTAGGGCTGTCGCCAGATTAAAGATACCTTGACAGTTGATCAATCATAGGCGTTTTATTCAGTCGAGTAAATTCGCATTAATCTGCACATGAATAAAGCAACAACAACAAAAAAGTGTTCTCCCTTTCCAATGATGCATGCATGTGTTATGTGCAGCAGACACCACCTGAGAAATACTCATTTCTGTGATTAAAAGGAGAATGATGCCCTTTTTAAAAAAAGAAAAAGGTTTATTTGCTTTAAAATAAAACACAAATGCAGATAATTCCATCTGAATTCTCATATAACCATAAACACAAAAACAGTTAAATATAAATCAATCATTTGCAACATTTCAGATAAATAACATTTTGAAAATATGTTCTAGTTCCAAGAATCAACAAATGTTTAGTAGTTCTAAATATGTTTGTTATGCTTCTCTTTTACCTTCTTTTATATAACGAGCAAGCTTTGCAATAATGGCATATTAATCTCTTCTAAACTACTGCCTGTCGCACACATTGTTTTGTGAGTACTTTTATTAAAAACAATTAACTTTTAGAAAGAGTACTCAATCACTCACAGCAGCTTATTATTCTATCAGAAGAATTATAATTCTACTAAACATTGAAGTCCTATTATTTATGTCCCCTGTCATGTACATTCAAGACTTTAAAACCTTAGCTATATTCATCCGCTTTAAATGATCTGGATCAGATTCAGAGAGGAATATAATGCTTGTTGCTTAAAAAAAAATCCATCTCCAGTACAGTTTAGCTCCATGTAAATCATCCTGTAGGACAAAAAGGTTGCTATAATGTTTAAGTATGGTTTCTGAACACCTTTCTCCCTAGTAACAAGTGACATAATCACATCTCTATTATTTGATTGGCTTTGGCTGTTCAGTAATTCCCCAAAATGGTACTGTTGTTAAAAAATCATTATTTGCCATATAAAAATGAAAAGACAAGAAACCTGAGAACATGACATGCATTTCTTAGCGTGCCTCCATTTTGTAGGTGTGGTGCAGGGGTTAGAGATGTTGGCTTGTATGTGAAAACCCAGCTCAAATCAAGCTTACTAGGTGCTTTTTTCCAGCTCTTTAACCCAGACAATTTTATGGGGCTGTTAAGATGCTAAAATGTTGTGTTTTAGAGTTTCTTGAGGGAAACAAGTAACACAGTAACTGCATGTGTAGGAAAAGGGAAAGCAGTTGCATTCCATTTCCTCCTCCCTCAGAAGTAAAGTAGCTTTTCGGGCCGGGGGGGGGTAAGGGGGGGTAGGAACAGATCCCCACAGATCCCCATACTTAGTGGTCACTAAGAAAACCAGGATTTTGTTTTTTGTTTTAATGGAAGAGATGTTTGGTTTGGCTGTTTAATATTAGCAATGGGACTGAATATTATGCTAAACAGAAATTCTTGATCCTATTTGCAGTATACATGGTGCTTACAAAAATCTAAACTGAATCATGAAATACTGTACAGTGCAAGGGGGGCTGTTTTATATTAATACTCTCAATAATCAATATTATTTTAGTAACAGTTACCAATTCTTTACAGCACCTGCTTAATCTACCAGAAGGTACAGTGTGATGCAGCAGCAAACACACACACACACACACACACACACACACACACACACACACCCTAAAGGCTGCATCAACAGAAGTGAAGAGTCATCATCAAGGGAAGTCACAGTACAGCTCTATTCTGCCTTGGTCAGACCACACCAGGAATACTGTGTCCAGTTCTGGGCGCCACAACTTAAGATGGATATCGCACAGTTCCGCCACCTGTGCGATATCCACAGGTGGATAGAAAAATAGCACTATTTTTCTAAAAAAAAGAGGTGGCGGAACTCACCATAAACGCCTCCCTTGTTCTCTTACAACGGCAAGGATGCCCACCTGAGAGGTGCCAGAACTCAAAAAAAAGCCCTGGATATTGACAAGCTGGAACATGAGGAGGGTGAACAAGATAATAAAGGGTCTGGAAACCAAGCCTTATGAGGAATGGTTGAGGGGTTTGCGTATGTTTAGCCTGTAAAAAAGAGGTGATTGAGAGGAGATAACCACCTTCAAATATCTAAAGGGCTGTCATATGGAAGATGGAGCAAGCTTGTTTTCTCCTGCTCTGAAGGCTAGGACCCAAACCAATGGCTTCAAGTTAGAGGATTTTGACTAAACACCAGGAAGAACTTTCTAGCAGTAAGAGCTGCTTGATAGTGGAAAGGACTCCCTTGGAACATGGGGTGGGGCAGGCTTTATGTTGAGGGGGGGAAGAACCTCAGTTAGTGAAGTATTTTGTACTGATTTACTTGATTTAGGGCGGCAGCTGCCCCTCCCTGCCCCCTCTTGGCTATGCCCATGCGCCGGGAGGCTGCGGACTCTCCTTCCTTGGAGATTTTTAAGCAGCGGTTGGATGCATAGCTGTGAATCTTCCCCTTTTCTTGCGAGGAAGCCTATTCGGAATAAGGGAATTTCCCTTAAAAAAAGGGAAACGTTGACAGCTAGGGTTGAATGACCAGCTATCAGGCATTATTTATTTGAGATTCCTGCATTACAGGGGTTGGTACCTCGGGGTACCTTTCAACTGTACAATTCTATGATTCTGTGATTCTATAATTCTATGAAACAGTGAAGTTCTAATAGTTATACTCTGTCATGTAAATTCAAGTCTAGACAGCCCAAGGGGAAGTTACTCGCTTTAAATGTGATCTGATTCATAAGCAGAATATAATGCTTGTTGCTTTAAAAATAAAAATCCATCTCCAGTATAGTTTAGCTCCATATAATTCAACATGCGGGACAGAAAGTCTGTTATAATGTTAAAGTATGGATATGAATTTTCTGAACACCTTTCTCCCTAGCAACAAGTGACATCACCATGTCTCTATTATCTGATTGGCTTTGGCTGTTTGGTTTGGCAGGAACTGCCTATTGCCAGCGTCGCAGCAGTGTAATTCCCCGAAATGGTCACTGTTGTTAAGAAATCATTATTCGCCATGTATTAATAAAAAGACAAGAAACCTGAAAGCATGACATACAAAATGGAGGCACACTAAGAAAAGTGTGGTGCAAGGGCTAGAAAGGTTGGTTTGCGTGTGGAAACCCAGGCACAAATCCTTACTAAACAATCAAGCTCTCACACTGATATTTTTTACTTTCCATTTCCTCCTCACTCAAAAGTAAAATAGCCTTTCCCGCAGGATAAAAAGGTAAGAAAGAAAGAACACCCCCCCTCCCCTCAAATGCTTAGTGGTGGCTGGTAAATACAAAAGTTCCAAAGAATTATTATAAAATATAGGGCTGAGACTATATAAAACATACCAATCGCCCCTTATTTGGAGAGGTGCACGCAAGAATAAAAGTTTAAAAGCATCAATTACACCAAACTTTTCCTTTCAGTTATGAAAAACAGCCCAAGTATGAGACAACACTGTGGCAGAACTAACTGTAGCAAAGGTCTGCAATTCAGCATGAGGAGAAATATAAAGTAGCTTTGTTCGAACCTCGCTGGTTTGCAAACAAGCAGGAGTCATTTGTGCAACGCAATCCTATTCCCAAGTCTCACTGTGTACAAAGGGGCTTACTCCCAGGTAAATGCGTACAGGTTTGCAGCTTCAGTTAATTCCACCCCCCCTCAACTTAGGCCACCAAATATTTTTTCTGTTTTAGCCTTTCATTTTAGGGGAATTGAAAGCTGAGTGCCATACCTTACCCTAACTTTCTGCCTGCGTAGTTGGGACCTGCTGGCAGTTACACAGAAAATACGCACAGTTACACTATCTCTTGGCCTGATACAACATCATGAGCAACACAAGGTGCCACCCTACCACCATCAAAAAGAAAAGAAAAGATGCAAAATGTCCAAGACCAGTCCAGTTATTTTGGTACCTGAGACAGAAAATCCTGCAAACACCTTCCCACCTCCCCAGCGATAAAAATATAATACACGTTAAATACCTTTCAATATGATGCCTTTTCATGATATCTAAAACCTACTGACTGAGGCAGCTGCCGCACTTTGCCTAATGGTGGGGCTGGCACTGCCAGGCTGCCTTTCTAGGGGGCAGACAGTTTACAGTGAGAAACCTTGATGCTTATTTACCCCATACAAATTATTAAAAGTGCAAGGTAGTGGGGGAAAAGAACACACACGCAATCATATGTACCTTTCTGGCACTGGAGCAGAGCCAGTATATGTATTGGGGAGAAGGTTGTTCCTGTCATCTTCCATGGTGCTGTCTCTTTTGATGTTCTTCTTGGTGGCTGCAAGTTAAGATGTTCTGCCTGGGACCAGCAAGGGCTCTATAAAGGCTGTTGCACTCCTCAGAAGCTTCTAGAAGCACAGAAATGGGAAGTGAAAGTGGCAGGACCTAAAGAATTGGAAAAACCCTTCAAGTCCTTCCTCCACCCCCACCAGTACCCACACACAGGTCGTAAGCAAATTATCCCAGCTTTAACTTTTTTAAAAAATCTCATTGGCTACTCAAATGACATCACCGGTTGTCAGGTAGAGTTCTGCAGCTTCTCGTGCTACCACATAGACTGTGCGTTTTGAGAACACTGTAACGTAGCTCATGGCTCTCTTTATTCAAATAAAGTAGCTTTTTGTTCTTTGGAGAGAGATTTTACTTCAGATTGGGCTTTGGAGCGGAGATTTGGAAAGTGCATGTGGTGAATCTTTAACATACTGGTGCATATTTATGAGGCAATATGCCACAATATAGCAAGTTGTGATGAACAATACTGTTTTTATGTGGGGGTGTAAAACCTAGATTAAAATCTTCCCTGAAACAGTGAGACGCAAGGAGTGAAGATCATATACTACCAACCTTTTATTAACTCATTTGCAACCAAACAAAAACCACCAGCTAAATTTAAAACACCACAGCCGAGAACTCCCAGTTCCAACATTCAATAGCAGGACCTGTGTCATCACCCCACGAGAAACAGAGAACAAATGAAAGTCCCCGATTTTTGTTCTCTCATAGGTGGATAAAGTGAGCAGGCTTCGTAAATGTGCCAGCCAGTCCCAATATAAATGTCAAGTTTAGACTAAAGAAAAAAGACTGCAGAGATTGGGTATTTTTGTGTTAAACAGCTTCCTAGACAGTGGTGCCATATATTGAATTCAGTATAACCGAATAACAAGGGCATGATTAAGGGTCCAGAGGGGTAAGCAGGTCAGCCTGTTGCAACAAATTCCTTTGGCACATCACACTTTAATGCAATTGGGCCAGCTTCGTCAAATGTATTACGTGTTGTCCTCAGTCAGCATATTCCAACAAAGAAAAAATGGGGGCAGTATTGTAAAGTTGGGCCAGCATTGCAAGAGATGCAATGTCCAATGCTAACAAGGCCTGTTGAAAACATGTTGAGATCCAAACTAATTCCCTTTTCCCCAGGTGATACCAGCACTAGGGAGTACAGACCCTCCAAGTGCCCCTATTTTCTAGGGACATCCTGATTTAGAGAAGATGTCCCGGTTTCTGATTTGATCCTGGAATGTCCCGCTTTCACTTAGGTTGTCTTTATTTTCATCACATAAATGTTGGAGGTTATGGAGTTATTCAGCCCCTGAGCCATCTGAAGGCAATCCTGTACAGTGGTGCCCCGCAAGACGAATGCCTCGCAAGACGGAAAACCCTCTAGACGAAAGGGTTTTCCGTTTTTGAGTTGCTTCGCAGGACGAATTTCCCTATGGGCTTGCTTCGCAAGACGAAAATGTCTTGCAAGTCTTGAGATTTTTTCGCTTTTCGCCCCTTTATCTAACCTGCTAAGCCTTTAATAGCCTTTAATAGCCTTTTAGCAGCTAATCCGCTAAGCCTTTAAGCCTTTAATAGCCGCTAAACCGCTAATAGCGCTAATCCGTTAAGCCGCTAATAGGGTTGCTTCGCAAGACGAAAAAACCGCTAGACGAAGACTCTCGCGGAACGGATTAATTTCGTCTTGCGAGGCACCACTGTATAGGGAAGTTTTTTTAAATGTTTAATGTTCTATTGTGTTTTTATGTACGTTGGAAGCTGCCCAGAGTGGCTGGGGCAACCCAGTAAGATGTGTGGGGTATAAATAGTAAAATTGTCATTATGGAATGGGACGTCTCTATCTTCATCAGAGAAATGTTGGAGGCTATGGGAGTAAGTGCCATGAACTGGCAGGAGTTCAGGGAGGAGGAAGAGGATCCTGGCCAGGATTGCAGCTGGGACTGGGTCACACGGGGGGGGGGGGCATAAGCTGGGGGTGGGAAAGGAGAGGTTGGTGTTAGGAAGTACTCATGGGGTAACAGAGGATGACAAAGGGACGGGGCCCAGTGAACAGGAAGTCAAACAGCAGGACCCCTTGCCAGAGCCAGAGGAGCCCCTGCCCCCATGAACATGGTGGGTCCTGAGGCGTAATGAACAGCAGGCAGGGCACTCCAGGAAGCAGAGGCAGGTCAGGGCCTATAGAGCAGCTCACTAGCTGGCCAGGTGGGGCCTGGATCACAAGGAGGCTTGTGATTCCTCAACTGGAACAAGCTGAGAGCAGGTGAGGATGAAGCCCAGATGCTACAACCAGCAGGCACATAAGACACCAGAGCTTAGGTGCCGTGTCTGCTCAACTGCCGTGAAGGACCTCGTCTTGTGCTCTCCTGGACCGCCACAGGTTTCTACTTTGGGCTTTGATTGACCCTGAACCTCATTTCCTGACCTTCAACCTTTGACTTTGGATCTGTGGACTTTGCAGATGCTGATTGACCCTTGGATTTTGGACTCAGTCTTGGCACACTGTCTGGCTGCTGGATCGGCCAGGGGATCAGGACAATAAGTCACACTTGCTCAGCTAGAACCTTTCACTGGATTGTGTTTACATTGGACAGTCACTGCACTGAAATGGGGCCTGCCTCTCCCTTGCGGTGCTGGGCCCTAACATATGTCAACCAGATGCCCTCTAGATGTTTTGGACTCCATCTCCCATCAGCCCAACCAGGTTTGATTGGTGAGGTCTAGTTCAAAACATATTGTGGGTACCGTGCTCATTACCAGTGTTAACTGATTTATTACAAGACCTTTGTAGACTGGAAGTCCACATTAGCAGATAAATCATCTACATTCAGCTAGTGTCTTAACTAGCAGGTTTGAAAGTATGTTGGCAGTGACTAAGGGATCATATCTGAGGACTAGGGGATCATATTAAAGATTTCCAGACACTGAAGGGTATAACTTCAGTGCCTGTATATCAGCTTGCATCATCACATGACCAGCAAAAGCCAAATAATGCAAAATAAGCAAAGATATGCTTGATTTGTACAGCAGATGTAGCTCAAACATTTGAGCTTCTCTTGGTACAGAACAGATTTAGTAAACAAATCCCCAAATACTTTCATCTCTAAAATAACACACTACTTGTTGCGTGGCTTGTTCTTGCATCCTGTGATGTGCAACTCTCATCCGTAACAGTGATATTAGTTCACAAGCACTCTTTGACAAGAATATTTGTAGAGCAGTGTCACATGTAGTTTTAATGAAATTGGGTGAGTAGGAAGAGTGGGAGAGGGTGAGTCAACCTTCCACCTACAATACCTTTGGTATTCATCTCCTGCCCCCTCCACCCCCCAGCTTATGAAACTAGACGTGCAAACATTGTGAACACACCCCACAAGGGCACACACATGCCTGTATTCTGAAGTGAAGTGTCATCACCACTATAATGGGGTATTGATTGACTGATTGATTGAACGTTTGGTCCCCAAGTAGGAAATGGGAGAAACCATTGTCTGAAGCCCCAGAGAGCCACTGCCAGTCTGTGTGGACAATAAGAACATAAGAGCCTGCTGGATGAGGCCAATGGCCCATCTAGTCCAGCATCCTGTTCTCACAGTGGCCAATGAGATGCCTGTGGGAAACCAGCAAGCAGGATTCGAGCACATGAATCCTTCAAGGTCAAAAGGAAATAGGAGTTCTGCCCTGTAACAATCCTGTGCTGAATGTGTACAAGAATATACATTCTTTTTATTTCTCTTGTCTAGCTACTTCTGGTGGAAATTTTAGTAGCTCACCTCTTTTTAAAAATGACCTATTTGCTTAGGAAGCATTGGAACACAACTGCTAAACAAGCTACTGCTCTCTCAGAACAAAGGCAGAAGTACAGCTTGAGCCTTTTGTGAAGCACTTTCTACCTAGCAACTCTAAACATCAGGAAGTAGCCAATTTCTGATTGGCTAGAATCATTTCCCCTTTTCTATTTCTTAAGGTTTCCACATAAAACCACAAAAGAAAATGAGGAAGAAAGTATTTATTTCCAAGTTCCTTTTCCACGAAATGATGAACAAAAAGAGATCATTTCAAGAATGAGTTAGCAGTCATTAATCCAGGGACCAGGTGAATAAGGGCTGGTAGGCAGAATGAGGATTTTGGGTTTCATGAAAAAGCTGATTTTGTTGACATCTGTCTATCTCAAGAGACAATGTTGTGTGCTTCGGGGGCAAAGTCAAATTGCTGTATTAGCAGCACCCAAGTGACCTCTCTGGGCTGCAAGCCTGGGCAGCGTGTGTGAGGTTGTGGGCTGCCCAGAAGACCCCTCTCTTGACTTCACTGATGTGGTCCAAAGGAAAGCAGAGCAATACATCTGACACCAGCTTGGCTGCAGTTGTCAGGTGGCGGCGTACAATGTGCCATCCAATCACCTTAGGGGCTCCACTCCATACTTATGTAGGGTTTACTCCAGGCTTCCTCAACCTCAGCCCTCCATGTTTTGAGACTACAATTCCCATCATCCCCAACCACTGGTCCTGCTAGCTAGGCATCATGGGAGTTGTAGGCCAAAAACATCTGGAGGGCTGAGGTTGAGGAAGCCTGGTTTACTCCTTAGCCTTTTTTTCTTTCAATGATGTCCCACAAAACGGTGGAGCCATTTATTTATTATTGCATTATTAATACCAAGGAGGATAAGCATTGCTTCAAGTGTCAAAATAACCTGACTGCCCTTAGGTACAGGGCAGCAGCTCAATTTGGAGAGAAGGCGGTGCCATTTGCTGTACTGCCTCAGGCAGTAAAATGTTTTGGGCTTGCTCTGAGAATACGCTTTTGCCCCTTGCATATTCTCATCAGCCTAAATACAGAGCCTAAATACAGAAGTAGACCTCAGCTACATGCAAGGTCCTGTGACATTTTATGTATTGTTTCTCCCGAGTCAGGAAGAAACTAGCCTGCCACCAAAACCGTGCTGCGGAACCAAAACCTGTTTTGAAGAAAACACTTAAAACACTAGAACTGTACAGCCCATAATATAAAAAGGGAAATAACCCAAGGCAGAGGAACAGTCCAAAACGCCAATAGCTCCCTTTCTGCTTTTACATGCCATTTGGTTATCAATACTATTGTTGCTCCAACTTGGACACAGTTGGTATCCAGAAAAGGTCTAGCATTCATTTGGCATGATGGAACTAGAGAGACTATTGAACCAGGCATGGCCTTACTGAAATAATAATGTAATAATTTATTATTTATACCCCGTCCATCTGGCTGGGTTTTCCCAGCCACTCTGGGCAGCTCCCAACAGATTAGAAACACGCTAAAACATCAAACGTTAAAAACTTCCCTAAGTAACGCTGCAACAATTTTTAAATATTATTTTCTAAGTTCTTGCTCTGAAAGCCTCCATCTTCAGACACCAAGGGGTAGTAGCCTGAGATATGCCGTATTCTATAGTGGCTCCTGGCCTGTAGAGCACCAATCATAACTTTCAATGTAAAGTTAACTTATTTGTCTGAGATTTTAATTAAGTTTAATTTTAGTACCGTGATTTATTTTTTTAAAAAACAAAACCCTGCTGCTTTCTCGTTTCATGCCTGTTTATATTAATGCAATTAGTTTCTGAACAGTTTTGTGCCTGTTTTAGTGGAAGCTATCTTGTGAATTTTTAGCAAAATTAAAAGAGACAGGATATAAATAAGTGCAGTGTTAATAAGAATGTGAGCTATGACAAAGTCCTTATTTTTGCTGGTGCTCATTCCAGCACTATTTAAACCAACCCCGTGGAGAATTTGCACAGATAAACACTTCTCACACAATTGCTTGACAAAAAGACAAAGACTGCAATGCTATCCACTTACATGGGAGTAAATGTCATTGAAAGCAGTGAGTTACTTCTGAGAAAACAAGCTTGGGATTTCTGTGCAGCAATAATGCAATGTAAATGAAAATTCTCAATTCAGATCCACAGCTCTACCATGGTAAATCTGTATTGACGATCTGCATGTGACAATGCACTAGTGAATACAAAATAATGAAAAGCTAAGGTGCATCGAAAAAGGCAGATGGGGAAGAATCGAATTATTCATTTCATACAGATTTAAGTGTTTTTCTAAATGGATCCCTGAAAGGTGTATGTGGCAAGTTAAGATGAGTCCAGAATTCTGTTATACAAAATCAAAAGAACACATTGCTAGCCTATTGCATCTAAAACCGAACAGTTCTTTGGGGGAAATGGCTGACCAGGGTTGTGTGTGGTTTTTTTAAAGTTCAATCTATATATGGAATTGAGATGCTTTGTCTCTACTTCAAAACCACCTTCAAAATCGTCCTTAGACTGTAGCAAGATTTTTTATTTTTGCTAAGTAGTATTGAGTAGCTTCATAGAAAAATAACTCAGTGGAAAAGTGATACAACAGAAATCCCGTGGAAGCTGTTAATGCACAGAAATACTCCCCAAAAGAGACTGCTTTTCATGTAATTAGTGAGAAAAGGTCCACTCAAGGATGCACTTCTAAGGACACCAGCGGTGACTAGAGTTGTATAAGAAAAGAACAAATGAGAGCAGAGGTTTATTGGAAAGCTTTAATGATGAAAGATAACAGCTACTGTTTACAGACGGCGACCGCGGCGACCGCCCTTTCTGCGAGTGCTGTCTGACGGGATAGGGGTGACATCCTCTGTGGAGAGAAATAAGGATTTCACATTCAGAAGACTTTCTTGCATACACAGGTCCCACAAACATACAAAACCCTCTAAGTCACTTTTCATATGGAAAATGAAACAATTTTCCAATGCAGAAGGCTGGTGGTCAAAATCTAACACTAAGAACCCAATTTACTGCAGGATCGCAAGTCAGACTGAGAAGCTGTACTTCCAATTTACAGCAACTGTATTTTAGGGTGTGAAAGTCCAAGTTCAGACAAGTCTGCAGAGACTTTAGGACTTCCACTTTACTTAATTAAGAAGGGACGACACAACTACCAGGGGAAAACATTTCATAATCCCATGGTAGTTACCAAAATGCAGCTTAGCACCAGTTTCAATTCTTTCTAACTAAAGGTCACAACTACCTGATGTTGGGACATCTCCTTGTCTAATCTGCAATATTTCTGTACTTCATATCTTAAACTCAGCACCTTTAGCATGTACCCCACAATCTTGAAAAGCGTTATCACAGGAAACCAAGAGGGTTTGTTTAACACCTGAGTAAGAATGGGACATTAAGAAACAGCCGTTTTCTAAAAGAGATGGTTTCCAAGGAGATGCATTCTTCAAATGCATCTTCGGTTGACAACTCACCAATGCGCCCTATCTTCATGCCAGATCGAGCCAGAGCTCTGAGGGCTGACTGGGCTCCAGGCCCAGGAGTCTTTGTTCTGCAAAGGAAAAAAATGAGGAACTACATGAAACAGATAAGCATTTACTAATTATCTCTGATGTTCAGTTGGTCTCCACTGCATTTGTTTATATATACTGGATGGTTCTATAATAATTCATATGGAGGGAATAAACTGGTGACAAAGACCAATATGGGACAAGCAGGGAGATAAAATGGCAGTTCAACTTCAGGCTTTTGGTCTAGTGGCAAATAGGGCTCTTACTGTATTTTTATAAAAGCCATGTCATGTTCAGCTAACTTCATAGGCTCACCTTTATGCTGAAATCTGAAGGAAAGAGTGTAATGGAGGCATTTTATATTAACCAGCAGGGTTTTTTTGTGTTTTCAATTCAGACATTTAATCTACTGGGAATGCCAATCAGTTTCTGTGATTCATGAAATTATGTTCTTTTTTTTTGTCTTGGGTACCTGCTACCCCTTGGGAATTATCGTTGTCATAATCCATGTGGATTCTCAAGATATCTCTGCTGCTTGTCTTTTCTACCCTATGCAGAACTGAGAAGGCTTCCCTCTTTTTTTGCTTCTGACTGCAAGGCCTATGTCTAATGGGCATAGAATATCTCTGTTCTATTAAGGGAAATACATAGAAGCATTCAAAAGAAGTGGCTATATTAGGGTTGTCATATTTCAAAAAGAAAAACCAGAACACCCCAAGGCTATATTAGATGCAACCTGATCTCACTGACAAATAATGTGGACAATACTTTTTATAAGATCATGGTGGTCCAAACTGCAACTTAGTCTATCTAAACGCAAAGCTTATTTAGGAAAGAGGAAAAACAACCAAATATCCACAAAGATATTAAGCCAACCAATATATGCATTCAGTGCCAAGAGGGTATCCTCTCTGTTCCCCGCCCCCACCTTGGTCTACAGAATGCTACAAAATTATATATATGGTAAAGTTTTCATATGGTATTCCTGCATAATGTTGACTGTTAAGAGGTGAATGCTGAATGCCTTAGATACTAATTAGTATCTGATTAATTACATTTTATAAACTCTGTGTGGGAGAGAATGACACACATACCTATTTCCACCTGTAGCCCGCAACTTGATATGAAGGGCAGTGATTCCCAGCTCCTTGCATCTCTGAGCTACATCCTGGGCAGCCAGCATAGCAGCATAAGGAGAAGACTCGTCCCTGTCAGCCTTCACTTTCATGCCACCAGTTACTCGGCAGATTGTTTCCCTGAGAAAGAAGGAACAGAGAGATTATTTGAGGAACCTCAAGTCTAGTCTCACTTTCACAGGAGATACAAAGCTACAGGGTAAGCAGAGAAATTGTATTCTTGGCTTCTTTGCCAAATTGTTTTTAAAATATGGAAGCAACAACTTCCAAGCCTTACTGTCTCTACTGCTGCCCACAAGTCCTAAATCCTAGCAGATAAGACACAGAACCAGCCACATGAAGTTTAGCTGTCCCTTATGTTCCCACTTACTCCCGTATGCCTGAACACCTTATAGCAGGTCATGGGGAACTGGTGGCCCTCCATTTTGTTGGATTCTAACTCCCACCAGTCCTAGCTAGGCAGCACAACCAATGGGATTTGTAGTTCAGAAACACCTGGAGGCCCACATTGTTTCCTGAGTCCTGACTTATAGGATTTTAAAATAAGAGAAGCTTTCTGTACCAGTGTGAGTGTGTCTCTTGACTTCTGCATTTGATCAAGGGTCTGCCTGTGATGTCCAGCACTATATGTCCAGGAGTTGCATTAAGGAGTATTGAGGTGTAAAAGTTTACCAAACGTCATAGACCAACATTCCCTGCCCCCATATATCTTTCATTTTAAAAAACATGTTAAAGAAAGCAGTCATAAACAGGTGCCCACTCACTTGCCAGACAGGTCAGTTACATGGACAAAAGTGTCATTGAAGGAAGCGAAGATGTGGCAGACTCCAAACACATTCTCTCCTTCAGCCACCTGTGGTCCCAGACTGATAACTTGTTCTTCCTTCTTTTCCTTGCCCTTACGAGGTGCCATTTCTGTTATAAGAAAACAACAACAAATTATGGAGGATATGGAAGGCCTTAAAGTACTGTCTCTTGGAAGGGATCTACTTATAAACCTTTAAGATTCCAGGGTAAGGAAAGTAAGTAGTTCAGACCCAAGTCACACAAGCAAGCTATTTTAATAAGCAGCTACGTGGGGCTAGTTCAAAGCCCTTTTTGCATCTCTGTGCACAGAAAATCCTTTCTGTACTGATGCCAACTTCCAGCTCAGTCAGGCAGTACAGCAGCCTTCACCAACCTAGTGCCCTACAACACCCAGCAGCCCCAGCCAGCATGGTTGTGCTGTATGGGGCAGAAGGGAATCTTAGTCCAAAACACCTTGGCAAAGGTTGCAACAGAAGCACCTGTGCCTGAAGTTCCAGCTTCTAACTGCACCTCACTCCCAGCAACATCCACTCACCCTTGCAGCAACCCAGCTTTTCCTTGCTTCAGAAAACAAGGAAATCACTGCATCAGGTACTTCTCTCTCACAATATATATGAATCCGAGGGGAAGATAAAGGACATCAATAGCACCATAGTTTACTAAGTTCACAGTCTTGATTAAGATATATCCAATATATTAACTGGCAGGAACAGCTTTGTGAGACCAACAACAACCAGAATTGGGAGTTCTTGGAACACAAAACTTGTGCTAATTTACACTGACTTTTAATAATTCTTTTCATAAAACAGGGCATAGAAGCCAAATGACTTAACATAATGGCCTCCACTTTCTTTTAAAAAATTTTTCAGGCCTATTAAATGAACATCCCTTCTGTATGAGTGTGCAACACTCAGCATTTCAGTGAAATGTGTTGCTTCCACACTATACTAGCTAGCAGGTTACAAAAATTAACAACCTCCCTGAATGACTTGCACAGTAAGAATAATGCTAATCAAACAGCACACATTACCACAATCACATCCCTATAGGAAAAATCCTGCACTCCTCAATCAGGTATGCTTATGCCTATAGCATGATACATTTCCCAGCATCATACATGTGGCAAGATCCCCGCTGCTCTTATCTGTAATATTTAGCAATATATATTGTACAGATAATGCCATCAAGAAGATGGAGTAGGGGCAAATGGACAACAGCACAACAGCACTTAAGTACTTCTAAACAAAAGGGTATGTAAAAAACAGATATTTATCTTACAACAGAGAAACCCTCCAGTCACTACATTCAACATTCAAATAAAGGGGATTATAGGCAGAATGTATGGAAACCTAGATGGCAGCGATTTTGCAGAGACAGTAATACAGCACGGGTAGTCAACACGGTAACCTCCAGATGCTTTGTAGTACAACTCCAATCAACCTCAGCTTGCATGACCATTGATAAGGAGCATTAGGAGTTAGAGAATACAGTGTCTGGATGGCAGCACATTGGCTATCGGTGGAATATGGCAGCAGCTTTAGCATACTTAAAAAACAAAATAAACCATGTTCCTAGCCCAAATGACTGCAGAAGTAATCCTGAAAACTTTTCCAGGTCTGGCTGAGAATTCTCATGGCCATAGAGAATATATTAATCTATGCCATTACTATGATTTACTGTTCTCGTGGTTAGAAAAGAAGGGTTAGCTGTCTCTCCTATGTATAAAGCTCAACCTACCCCCCACCTAGAACACAAAAATTCATTCTATAATTATGAATGGTGGTTACAACCGGTTTAAGCATATAATCTCCAAACAGTGAACAATCCAAAAAGAGCATGCACACACAACAGTGTGTGTGAGGTATTCCAGTTGAAAAGAACCAAGCACGTTTTGCTCTCTAAAGCACAACTGATTTCCAGAAGTCAGTCCTACGGAATTGAAAGCAAACTACTGCTAGGTAAGTGGGCTTTAGGATTGCAGCCTTTGAGGTGAAAACTTTAAAAATACGGCTATTAAAGGCTGCAATCCTGCAAAACTAGGCCGTGTACTATATGTAACCTTGCAGATGCAGACGACTCCGTGATACGTGGATCCCCCCCCCTCCAATATAACAGGACGGCCTGAAAACACAAACATGATGCCAGATCATCTCTGATCTCACAAGGCCGCAATCAAACCCAGAAAGTTCCCTTCCTAGAGATGAGGGAATTTGTGAGTTGAAGAAACCGGCAGCTACTAAATAAAGAAGCTTCTCCCACGTCAAACCATCTCAAAAGGAAGGGAGCCAGCCTGCCTCCCGGAGAGCAGACTCAGCCACAGGCCCAAGCGGCGGCCCTGGGGGAACCTCTCAGCCTCGTCCACTTTGGCCTTAATGAGAACCACAACGGCCTACATCACGGAAAGCGACTCAAGTTACTGCTTCGCCTCTTAATAAAGAAAGAGGCACGCAACTAAAACAAAAGGCGGAAAGACGGGCTGCGCTACGAGGCTCCATCCCCGCTTTGCCCAGCCGCGCTCCTTCCCACCGCGGTGCTGCCTACCCCCGCGGACCCCGGGGGCACCAGGCCCTCCCCTCCGCCGCCCTCCCCGTGCAGCCGGCGGAGGAGAGGCCAGGCAAACCGCGGACAAATTCGGGGACAGCCGGGTCCCCGAGGATGGGGGTGGATGGAAGTTCCCCCCCTCTCTCGACACTTACTCGCACGTCTCCGCAGGCAGCAACCAACACCGGAAAGGAAGAGGCGGGCGTCACGGGGGTGAGAGGTCACCTCGCTTCACCCGGAAGCGATACCGCTGACAAAGGCGGGTCACTTCCTCGAAAGACGATCCGGCTTAATCTTTAAATGCAGATACACACACACACGGAATTTGATCGATTGGGGAAGTGATGGAAGATAGAGAGAAAAAAAGGGGGGAAGGAAAAATAAGGCAGGAGTCGGAATGACCTATTCCAAAATGGCGAGGGGGGTAGTGATGGAAACCCTCACTAAAGATGGCGGAGCCTAGATAAAGTCCTTTCCTCAAGATGTCGGGCGGCGGCTCTGACGTCAGCGCGTTCCACCCAGCCGCACACATAAAACGGGGGTGCGTTGTCCTCGCCTTTTCCGAGTGTCCGTGGCGAAGATGGAGGCTGCGGGGAAGGAAAGCGGGAACTGGCGCATTTATATAAACTTCAACATATTTGAAAAGGGCAGACGCAAATCGTTCATTGATTCCCCGCTGTGCGCGAGCGCAGCTCATGGTCCTGTTGGGTACCCGCTTCCTCTGCGCCGGCCTTTCTCCGCAAGGAGAGGCCCGCGCTTGCTCTCCCTTGGTTCAAAGGGAGCGCGCCTTGCTTTTGACACTCGAATGTGGCTGGCCCCGTTTTCCCAGTGCCGAAATGTGCTGGCTCAGCAAGTGTTTTGTCTGTGCCAAAACCCAGTCCTGAGTTTTTCTGCCCATCGGATGAAGTGCTTCTGCCGAGGGGTGCTTAGGCTCCGAATGCCATGTTTAATTGCATATACAGCATTACTTAGAAAAATGGTTGCGGCAATTACAATCGAAATGGCTACAATCGAAATGGCCCATTTCTGCAATAACCAAAGTGTGGTTTTCCCAGAAGGTGGGAAATCTGCCTCTATTCAGAGATCAGAGCTTATTCCACCCCCCCAGCTGTTACCAGCATTTATTATTTGCAAAAGTGCTTATATAATGGAGGTCAGAGGGTAGGGTTGCCATATTACATATTTCAAAAAGTGAGTGAAGTTGTTGAACTTGTTTTGGGTTGCGTGCCAAAAAGCTGTAGAACCATTGAGAATATCTGTACCTGGCCCTGCAATCAATTTCCTTTTCTGAGATGGAGACCATTTGCCATGGGTAGGCAAACTAAGGCCTGGGGGCCGGATCCGGCCCAAACGCCTTCTGAATCCGGCCCGTGGAGGGTCCGGGAATCAGCATGTTTTTACATGAGTAGAATGTGTCCTTTTATTTAAAATGCATCTCTGGGTTATTTGCGGGGCCTGCCTGGTATTTTTACATGAGTAGAATGTGTGCTTTTATTTAAAATGCATCTCGGGGTTATTTGTGGGGCACAGGAATCCGTTCACCCCCCCAAAAAAAATATAGTCTGGCCCACCACATGGTCTGAGGGACAGTGGACCGGCCCCCTGCTGAAAAGGTTTGCTGACCCCTGCCCTTTGCGCTAGTGGTAGATTGACAGAGCAATCCATATCCTTGTTATGTTGGGCTGCTGCTGATGGGGCGGTGTCTCTCTGGTGCAGATCTCCCTTGTCTGCCTACCAAGAAATGGGGCTTTCCAGAGGTGGGGCTGAATGTTCTCTGGATCTTTTGGAATGTGAGTTGACCATGCTGCCATCATGTGGCAGTGCTGAGTGAGCTGGGCCCAGTCTCTCCCTGCACCCTTCACCTGGGATGCTCAGCAGAGCTATGAAAGTGACAGTGACCCTGCTGCTCTGTAAAGCCCCACCATGCTGGGTGGGTGGAAGTGTTAGGTTTGCTCCCAAAGAAGGGCCTGTGGTTTTCCTACTATAGTGCTGACACAGTCTATTAATTTACCTCCAGAAAATTGCCAGTTACAGCAGAATCCTTGGCCCTCCAGATGTTGCTGCACATACCACTAGCTATGCTTGTTGGAGCTGATGAAAGTTGTAGTTCAGCAACATCTGGAGGACCAAAGTTCCCCATAGCTGTGTTAAAGGAATGACCTAACCTAAAGCGTGTGGGCTGTATCCAACTAAGCGCTTCTCAGACCTATTGAAATTAATGCATGTGACTTAATTTAGGTATTTAATTTTAAGAGGTCTGCCCTGAGTAGAAATGAGTTGGATGCAACCCTGTGATTTTCATAATATCACTGGTTTGACAATTGTGCAGACGCTGAAAGACAGGCAGACAAACAGAAAAATGTTTAATTTTTATTTGTATTCATTGCAGAAGCAAAACATGGTTAAAAAATAGTATTGCCCAAAACTGCACTAGTTTTGATTGATTGCATTTACGCATGTATGGCTTTCATTTTTGATGCATTTTGTCAGATATCCTGTGTACATGGCTTCCATTGCATACAATACAGCTAACTTGCATCGGTCATAGTTTGTCAGCTGTGTACTTGTATAGGATTCATAGGATAGAGTTAGCTGTGTCAATGAAGCAGTGTTTGCTTCTGTACAAAATACATGATGTAAATGCTAATTTGTAGTTGCTGATGAAAAATAATTAATAACTAAGCAGAATTTTAAACAGGTTTATGGTTAACCCCACCTCCTCTGCTTGCAAGCCTGCTCATAGCATTACTGGTTATGAGCTCATGTGGCTTGTTTCCATCATTGTCAGGCGGAAAGTGCTGACTGTGCCTGAATGAAACACAAGGCTGTGGTTATTAAAATATGAGTTACGTATGTGCTTTGATCTGTGGGGGGGGGATTTTCTCTGAGACCCCCAGCAATTTCCCAAGTGGTCTGCTGGTGGTGGGGTGCTTTGTACAATACACATTTAGTTATGTTGCCTTTGCTCCACCCCCAGCCTGCCACCACTCATGTGCATAAAACATCCCCAGCCAGCAGCCTAAATATACCCGGCTGAAAGTATAGGCCTGGAATCATGATTCCACTGAAGTCAATGAAAGATTTATTAAGCACTTCAGTAGCACCGTGATGGCAAGCAAGGCAATCCATCCATCACTACCGTCCCTCAAAATCATATCTGTCATAGATGAGGCAGCTCATGGAATCTGAAGGTGTTTTGAAATCCCTCAAGTGGAAGAAGCAGAACAAGCAGGACTCCTGGCCAAGAAGTAAATGTGTTGCAGCAGAAATCTGCAACGAGTTCCAATCTCTTTATTACCCTTTTCCTGTAAAGGAACTCAGGCAACATTTTACATCTCATTTATCTTTCAAGGAGGCTTGCCGGATGATTTTTGCAACAGGATGGGCTCTGCCACCTCTCATTCATCTGGAACAAATCTCCATCCGTTTGCATCGATTGAGAGAGAAAGAGAGAGATTTGCCAACTATTTCAAAGGGACCTTTCAAATATCACTCTGGAGCCTGACGTTTCCTTCGCATTAAGGTTGTCACAGCTTGATGGTCCTGGAAGGATTTACACAGGGGAGTGGGAGGCCATGTTGCTGTAAGAAATCATTGATTGGTAATCATGAATGGGCACTCGTCCATTCCCTACTTCTCTGATGATGATGAAGTAGCTTTACTTTCAGCAGCCTGACTGTCATTTCATTTGGGGATCGGGGGGCTGAGAAGAAACCCAGAGTCAGGGAATTAAAACAAACAAAAAACACTGCTGGGAACAAAAGCACATAGCATACATGCAGGGCTGAATCTTCTTGTAAAGTAAGAGTAAGTAGCCACACATTCATTCCTAGCTGAATTGGATTCATTATTTAAATAATTTACTTTAAGTAATTTCTTCTTTGTGTAAGCTTAATTTCAGATCCTGCTCTTCTGTTGGAAAGGATTGCTGCAGATACCTCACCTTTCACACTTTGGGATTGTGGTGGGAGTTTCAGGGCTGGTTCTGATATTGGGAGTGTTGTAACTGGCCTCCTTGCAGCCTGTCCTATTCATGTTTACCCAACAGTAGGCGTGGCTCATGTCACCACCACTACCCAAAAAGTACCATAATTTTGCTCTGGCTTCTAAGACTCTACTGATTTGGGTGGCAGCAGCAAAAAAGGGAAAGTAAATAAAAGTATACACAAAGCTGTGGCATGGGTGGAGCCCTGTTACCTGTTGGGGCTGTCATCAGATCAATGTCGTATGAGTGGAGAGGGGGTGAGAATCCTTCTTAGATGATCTGCATGGATTAATTTAGGAAATGGGTCCTGTGCATGTTCTCTGGCATGCAACCCCCAGAGGGTTGACTACAGATCAGGCCCAAAAAGGTCAGCCACTCTTGCTTTATAATAATTGTAGTTGTGTTCACTCAGACTTGCTCCCTGGTAGTTTTGCATACTTAGTCACCTGCTCACAGAACCTAGGGGGTACACAAAAAGCAGAGGAAGCTGTGTTGGTTAATGGGTGTGGGGAACCAAAACCCATAGTTGAACCTCATGAAGATCAGAGTGCTCAGCATGTCAGAGGTGTTACCTCCCGGATCACAGGCAGCATGCAGGGGAACAACAGCGGCAGGAGAAGGCTATTTTGCCCCTGCCTTGCATGTGGGATTTGCATCAGCATGTGGCTTCCTACCGTGAGAAACAGGATGCTCAGCTAGAAGGGCCCTTGGCTTGATCCAGGTTCTTGATCAGGTGACATTTTGCGATATTTGTGGAATCCTCTGTGTAGCACCCCGAGATGGATTTAAAGTCTGTTTCAAAGAAGCGGGATAGTTTTAGGTGCGCTTCAAAATAAGTGGATCAACCACTTGGAGCATTGGGCCAACCAGCAAGGGAGCCATGGGACAAAACTGACATGCTGGAGGTGGAATGGGGGGGCCTGGCCTGTCCGGCATATGAGAACTTCACTGCATGCCTCAAAGCTGGCACCTTTGTAGTGGTTGATGTCAGCTGGGTGCTGAAAGAGTTGCACATTTAAATAACATGCTAACAAAACAAAAACAGAAAAACCCAACAACCCACATGCTGGTCTTTTCACACTTAAAAGTCGTCTAAGCAATAGTATTTGCTTCTAACCTTTCCCAGTGGTGCATGTCTCTTTGCGTTAGAAGACATTTCTATTAAAGACAGAATAGGAATGTAATGCAATTAATATCAAATGAAGTCCCTGCGAGACGACTCCATAACACAGCAATGGCCTTCTTGTGAAAATTTATCTACAGTGGAGTATAAAGGGGTCTTAAAGAATAATGAAACTGTATGTGGGGATTTTAATGTACGTAATAATTCCCTGAAACATTTTCTCTTAAAAGATCTAATTGG